TAAACCTGAAAAATGCAAGTTTTCCAAAAAAGAAGTCTCTTACCTCGGTTTAATCATATCAAAGAATCAAATTAAGATGGATGCCACCAAGGTTGAAGCAGTAAAGAACTGGCCGGTACCGCGGAATGTCAATGAAGTACAAATCTTTCTCGGTTTTGCAAACTTCTATCGCAGGTTTATATCACATTTCTCTAAAATAGCAAAACCATTACATGAACTCTCACAAAAAGAAATCAAATTTGAATGGACTGAACCTAGACAGGAAGCTTTTGACAAACTCAAAATTGCATTTACCTCTGCTCCGGTACTGAAAATAGCCAACCCGTATCGACCATTCATACTGGAATGCGACTGCTCTGACTTTGCGCTAGGAGCAGTCCTCTCGCAGGTGTCAGAAGACAACGAAGAGCTTCATCCAGTGGCGTATTTATCGAGATCTCTCATTCAGGCAGAACGAAATTATGAGATTTTTGACAAAGAGCTATTAGCGGTCGTAAGTGCCTTCAAGGAGTGGCGACAGTATTTAGAAGGAAATCCTAACCGGTTGAACGTGATCGTGTACACGGACCACAAGAATTTACAATCCCTGATGACCACGAAAGAGTTAACACGACGCCAGGCAAGATGGGCAGAAGTACTTGGAAGCTTCGACTTCAAAATTAGGTTCCGCCCAGGAAAGCAATCTACAAAGCCGGACGCATTGTCACGACGACCCGACTTAGCGCCAAACAAAGACGAGAAACTGAATTTCGGGCAAATGCTGAAGCCACACAACTTGCCAACTGACGCATTCATTGATGAGTTTGACGCACTCGAGTCGTGGTTCATACAAGAGAATGAAACTGCTATCACTCACACGGGAAATGAGCTAATTGAAATCATGAATTTAGAGGAGAATGAGGAAGTTGAGTCATCAGTATGGAGCGACACCGAAATTATAGAAGAAGTAAAAAGAGTATCAGGAGAAGACCCAAGAGTGAATGAAATCATACAACTCTACAAAGACATGCCCAACTCGAAACACCTGAATGAGTATTCGATGACAAATGGCCTACTCTACTTTCGTGAAAGAATCGTGGTACCTAACAATACTAACGTAAAATTTCAAATTCTGAAATCAAGACACGATAGCCTGATTGTAGGTCATCCAGGAAGATCCCGAACTCTAGCCCTGGTCAAACGGACCTTCCAAGGAACTCGACACCTGGTAAAAGCCAGTAAACGGGCTAAGTCCTTCTGGTTCTGAACACCAAGGACAACAATACTACACACCTGGTAAAAGCCAGTAAACGGGCTAAGTCCTTCTGGTTCTGAACACCAAGGACAACAATACTACACACCTATTAAAGGTGAAAGGGACAAGATTCAATACGCCTAATTTTCCTCAGTGGACTGATATTATCATTAATCATAACTTAAACAACAGACCTGGTAAAAGCCAGTAAACGGGCTAAGTCCTTCTGGTTCTGAACACCAAGGACAACAATACTACACACCTATTAAAGGTGAAAGGGACAAGATTCAATCTATACAAAAGGAGGTAATAGAAATAAGAGCAATTGATGAATAAGGTTGATATGATTGAGTTGAATATAATGTTAGAGAAAAGAACTCACACGCCTAATTTTCCTCAGTGGACTGATGAGGAAAAAGAGGCGCGCGCGGAGTGGCGATCAGTATGAACTAAGTTGAGTGATACAATGATGATACAGCTAAATTTGTAATTAGGTTTGAGTTTTTGTATTGGTGGATTTGTATAGGTGATCATATTGTATCGGTGACTGTATGGTTTTAGTGAGGTATGTGTTTGTCGTGATTGAAATAAATGATATATCTTAACAAAACGGACCTTCCACTGGCCGTCAATGAAGGCATATGTCAATAAGTACGTTGATGGATGTCAATCTTTCCAACGAGTGAAATCAAGAACTACCAAACCGTTAGGAACCTTGCAACCGCTGCCAATCCCTCGAGGACCGTGGACAGATATTTGTTATGATTTAATAACGGACCTGCCAGAATCAGAGGGAAGTGACTCCATCTTAACTGTAGTAGATAGGCTGACAAAAATGGCACATTTCATCAGTTGCAAGAAATCTATGACGTCGGACGAGTTGGCAACATTAATGATCCGGAACGTGTGGAAACTCCATGGCACTCCCCAGACTGTCACGTCAGATAGGGGAAGTGTGTTCATTTCAACAATCACGAAACAGATCAATAAGAAACTAGGAATTAAGACACAAGCATCAACCGCGTATCACCCTCAGACTGACGGACAATCTGAAATAACGAACAAAGCTGTGGAGCAATACATTCGACATTTTGTGAATTATATGCAGGACAACTGGGTGGCGTTGCTTCCAACAGCCGAATTTTCTTATAATAACAACTTTCATGTCTCTATAGGAATGTCACCGTTTTGAGCTAACTACGGATTTGATGCAAACTTCGCAGGTACAGCGTCAGTTGAGCAGTGCTTACCCACTGTGGAAGAAAGGTTCGAGCAAATCAAAGAAGTCCAGGAGGAGTTGAAATGCGCAATGGAGGAAGCACAAGAAACAATGAAACTTCAGTTCGACAAAAAGGTGAATTCAACACCGAAGTGGAAAGTAAACGAAAAAGTATGGCTGAACAGTAAGCACATATCAACAACACGCCCAACAGCCAAATTTTCTCACCGATGGATAGGACCTTTCCCTATAGAAAGCCAAGTGTCTACTAACGCCTATAGATTGAAACTGCCTGAGTCAATGAAGAAGATTCATCCAGTGTTTCATGTTTGCCTATTGAGGAAAGCCAACAAAAGTCAAATTGAAAATCAACTACAATCACCACAACCACCGGTAATAATTCAAAATGAGGAAGAATACGAAGTGCAAGAAGTGTTAGACAAAAGGAGAAGAGGGAGGAAAGTGGAATATTTAATTAATTGGAAAGGTTACACACCGGAACATGATACATGGGAACCCAAATCAGGACTGAAGAATGCGCAAGAACTGATTGAGGAATTTAACAGCAAATACCCATCAAGAGAATTGAAACACAAGAGGACACGGAGAGTAAAGTGAGGACGAGGCTTTTTCCCTAAGGGGTTTTTTAATGCCAGTCCAGGGAAGATGTCAGACCCAGCAAGAGGGGGTTGGGACATAAAGGGGGAGTGGTGTTATGATCCTATTATGATCATATATGCTTGTATGCTACTACTGAGTTCACTCTATACTCGAGTCTCACAGAGTCAGAGATTTTACATCTCTACGTTGCAATCTCATTATAACTCAAGGACGCCCTTTTTAGCATAGACTCTTGATCTCATCTCTCAAGGTCCTAATAGCTGTTTTGGGGCTCAGATTCACAACTTGAACCACATGAGCCAATGCATTGTGAGTGGGTGACCCTACAAATGTGTACAAGATGCCAAACATCATGGCTGCATGTCAAACTCAACTAAGCAATTAGTGGGGTTCAAGTCAAAAAATTTGAGCTAAGATTATAGGCAACTCAAGCCACTTTTTAAGTCTGCTTGGTGCTTAAAAAACACAATGACAGCGTGTACAAGTGCTTATATATAAGTAAAGTTGGTCTAAAGTAAAAAAAGAACAGGCTCTGAAACCTTCTGAAACAAAGGTACAAGAGGCTCACAAAGTGCATTATCTCTGCTGTTATGGATTCAACAAGAGAGAAAAAGAAAAAAAATCAACCGTTGAGCACTAAAAAAAAGGCCATTGACACACAATCCAAAAGACGTTTTTTTCTTTGTGGAAAAAAAAGGTTGTATTGCTTAAAATTATAAGCATCAACTTATAATTTATAAGTCACCCGAGCAGCTCTAAAGCTGCTCGGATGGCTCATAAATAAAACTATAATTTGTGACTCCCAAACATTGCTTAAAATTCATTATAAGTCCAATTTGTTTTAACTTCAACCCCACTAATGTCAGGTGAAATATATTTGAATCCCTGAGGTTGATTGTGCTTCATTCAGAGCTTGCAAATGTTTCACCACAGACCTTACCATGAATGATCTACGGCAGTTCCAACAATGGTTGATTTATTTTTGCAAGAATTCTCTCCCATGCAAAATTCATACCGTCAGTTTTGTTGAGTTTTTCTTTTTGCACACTCAAACAACATGGAAGGATGATGATCCTCCCTTGTGACCCTTCATCTGGAGATCTTTTGCAATACACTTGCTAAATCCTTTATGATTGCCATTCACCTTCATGGCCAGTGGCAAGAACATCCTTTTCTCAACAGTTAGTAAGATTTGACATAGGCACTCTACGGCCAACATGCTCACCAGGTGCAGTTAAGTTGATGGTAGAGAAAACTGGCAAAAGCAGTCACATTTGTTCTATCTGCTTGCTGCTGAACTTTTTGCAAATTTACAATCAACCACTCTTGGAATGGCTGTATATGGAGACCTAGATATGAGTGACCAAATCTAGGTCTCAACTTCTCACTTCAGGCTCCTAGAGCTTCTTGCTTTCATCATGTTGTGAAGCTGTGTGAAGGTTGGAGCCAACAACGCTGCATTTGAATAGACCTCACTGACTGATATGGAATCTGTCTCACAAGTTTCCCCACAAGTTTCCGAGCAATCTGGGTGGAACAGGTTAAAACCTTACAGGGCAAGCCTTTGAAGCTATCCAATTACAGATGATGGATTGGACATTTATGGGGTGAGAAAAATCACACCCGGCACAAATCATGCCCAGCCTGTGTTATACCAAAATATCCTCAAGGTCTAGTGAGTGCAACCTGATGCAGGCTGTGACTCGAGTGAACGCACAAATTTGCACAAGATTGCCATATCTTCCATATTGCCAAGTCAGGGAATAGACCTAACTCCCGCTTTGGTCACAGATGTGAACGGCCAAGGCTACCTTCGTTGACTCCTCGCTGTATCAAGGAAATCGCGATGTTCTAGAGTTGGTACCGCACTTTGCAAAGATTTTACAGGAAGACTATGGTAGAAAATTAAGCTGATGGCCCGCCGGTTCACTTGGTCTTCAGGAGGCGTAATGTGTCGGGGGAGTATAGATAATTGTCTGAATCTACAGTGGTTTCCGACGAGATGAGGATAATCATATATATCATTGCGATGAGTGTCGATCCCTGGTTGTCTAGCTGATTAATTGAATGCCACTTACATGATTTGACCTTGAACTTGATAGTCTTGGGCTCTTGAACGTAATACGGCCAACCTGGTAGCATGGATTCAAGAAACAAGAGGAGGAACGGAGATAGAAAAAGGATATCATATCAGACTTGTCCCAAGTCTTCATTTGGGTTACTAGATTCATTAATGAAGACGACATTACCTTGCTTCTCGCAAAAAGCAACCGCTTCATTCGATGATCCGAAATCCAATTGAGTACCTTGCATGTAATCAGCTCTGCAGTTTTCCAAATTCAAAGTTCAAGAAGGATGAATTCGTCAGATCATTCCACTCCAAGTAAAGTCTTATGCCTGACTGTCCCATATCCACATCACAACTTATCAATCATGAATTCAAACTCAACGAAGATGCCCAACCCATCAATGGATTCTCCCAACGTCCAGCTCCTTGCATTGTATCCCAGTCAAGTCTCCAGGTATGTGAAGTAGCTTTGGCAGATTGCATCGTAGTCGGAGAAGGCCGATAGATACGAACTGGTCGGATAGAGAGCTCCTCTGCGTATCGAAACGGAAGTATCGAGTTTTAAGTTTCTTATCTACATTCTCGTATGATCTTCTATTTTGAATGCTCACCAGGCGCCCCACTGGTCATCCCAGCTGGAATGCTGAGACCCTCAGGCCGCGCTGCAGTAGGTTCAACCTCAGTGGTACGATCTACTGGTGTGAGTGTTTTGGAGCTGTCGGAATAACACATGCGACCGATGGTCTTTGAAGGACCAGACAGGCTCGCTGATGAAGCAAATCGAGGAGTGAAGCGCAGAACTGCTTGAAGTGCCATGACTAGCGATGATTGATTGATTGATTGAGGATGAATCGATGATGGTCAAGTTCTTGGCTGCCCTGTTACACCCGTCATACGGTTCAACCTTGGTGTCAAGATACATATCACGAGGCCTGTTCAGAGGGTGTAACAAGATCGTATGTCCCGCCTTGGAGCAGCGGGGCTGACCTAGGCCGCAGGAAGCTCGACGGGTCGACCAAGTGTTTTGAGCAGAGCTTGAAGCCCAACAAGTTGTTAAGTTAAAAAGAAAGGTGATTGAAGCTTGAGGTGAGACGACATTCAAATCTCACGTAGCCATGTGGTATCATTTCCTGCTACTAATTTCTACATAGACCAAAATCTTATTTTCTTTGTCTTCATCTATGACTTCTTTGAGTTTGTCTTCGTCTTGTTGCGTTGTTTCTCAGAGGTCGAACGACAAGTACATTGCTGGAAAGGCAAAGCTTAAGATGTAGTTTCATGAACGTGACTAATGGATTCAGACATAAGGTGCTGGATCTTCAAATCTGATTAATTCAGATCAACTAGAAATGAGGTGTATGAACAAGAATGCTTGACATTCAGGATCCTGGAATCCTATATGTCAGGAATTACTCAAAGAGGCTTTTGAGACACATCTGGAAACATGATTTTTCTCATGATTAGCTGGCTCAGATATTATTAGACTTCATGAAATAGTCCCATATCAGTCCGGAATTCAGCCCTATCTTTTCCTAGGAAGTGAAAACAGTGTCTATTTTGTAGATTCTGTTGCATTCAAGTGGAAAATGCCTTGATTATTTTTCTCAGCTCAGCCATTTAGCACGTGTCCTATTGATGTTGTCTTCCTTGCCGCGAGTTCAAGACTAATGACTGTGATGTTCATTGGTTGAGAAGGGTTCCAGCTCGATTTCTCTCCAACTTACTCATGGATTCGTATCATTGAGGGTTTCGAAATCCAATCATGTATTACATCTGATCTCACTCTTTGCGGACAATTCGTGGGGTTGATTTCTGATCACTCGAGGTCTTCACTAGTAGATCGGTATCAATTTGCTCGTTGGATCAGGAGAGAGGTAGGGATTGGCTCAGGGGATAAAGTGGGTCGAAGATTCCACATATCGCCGGTTTTATACTTACGCTATTGGGACAGGCGTACAACAAATTTATTGGTAACAGCAGATCTTGTGATGTAATCAAGCAAGCGACGAGGTCACGAAAAATAACTCGAATACCTCATAGATCGGAAAATGGAACATCCAGCGTTCAAGAGTCTTCAAGACTCATCTACTCACGGTCGAATATTGAGGACATTAGGGATTGGGCGAGTAGCGGATGCAATGTTTCAAAGTTATGTCAGTGAATCTGCAGAAGTTAAGCGTCTTGAACCGCTGCCTAGTAACATTTTACTGCGTCGAGGAAGAAGGCCGTCAGGGGGAGTATATAGGAAAGAGGGTACTTGTATCAAGGAAGTCGTGAATCGGTTATGCTGTGACTTGGTTCAAATTTCGATCGAAGGACATACAAATGTTGTACAGTCATTTAAGAAAAGCTTGCCCCAAATTGCCCGCAAAACTCAAGCGAATTGGCGGGGAATTTGGGGCAAGCTCTTCTTAAATGACTGTATCGTCACCTTTATAAGGAGTTCCTCAATCTTAGACCGACACTAGGATTGTTAATGGGATCGGAGTTTGAAGGCATATTTGTATACACAAGTTATCAAACAAATGATGGCACTGTACTGTCAGTGGGTTCGATGGGCGATTGACCATTGGTTCATGAACCGTACTCTCAAACGACTACATCATTCACTCCAAGTCTCGAGATAAGACACATCATAGTCTTCGATGACTTAGACATCGATCAAAGATACATAGAGGTTCATCACCATGATATCCTCGTTCTCAATAAAGCGATACATCCGCGTTCTCATTAAAGCTACCATCAACTCAATCTATGGACAATTGAATTCATCTTATCATCATACTTTTGCGATATATCCAAGCAGGGAACTCAATCTGAATGGCCTTTCGCTTCTATAAAATCCAAATGTACCCAAATCTTGAAGCATCATCGAAGGAAGGATGATACATAGGATTCAATGAAGAAAGTTCAACCTTTGACTGTTACACACCCGGATTTATCTTTTGTTCTTCCCCATTAGTCAGTTCATGATATCGCATATCGACTCCCGCTTTATTCCTTTGTCGACATTCAGCTCGATTTCCTTTTCGAAACTGTTTTGCCATTGATCACCGGGTTTAGATAAATTACATAGAAGTCTTGTTTGCCCTTTGAAACTGAGGAGGATGGCTTCCGATACTTTGAACCTCTGAGTCTGATGGATGTCCAATCACTCGACTTTTTCTAATTATTTACCTTGATCATCATCTAACTAATACTCAAACTAGATGGATATCGTATCTTCTGGTCAATAACAATCACCCATATATCTTGGTCTTGTTCTTGTTCCTTCTCGTTGTGTTGATATAAATATATTCGTCCATCCACTTGGAATCCTTTTTTTGTCAAGTCGATCGATCCATCAGTTATGCCTCGACATAGAGGTCAAGTCAACTTTCCATTGGACTCCTCCACCTCCTCTACACTCGTCTCCGCGCCTACGTCTCCCATTCAGTCCAATTTGCCTAGCGTAGAACCCGTCCCCTTTCCTTCAACATCGATTGGCGAGGATGAAGAGCGCCTTGATCCGCCCCTCAGTCGTTTTCCGGCACTCGGATTGATCCTATCTTTCACCACCAAGTTTGATTATTTTCTCCTGCTGATACCAGGTGTTATCAGCTCCATAATATCTGGTCTCTTGCCATCCTATATGACCATTCTACTTGGAGAAGCTTTCGAGGCCTTTACGCTTTACACGCTATCTAGTGGCGAGCTTGATTCTTCATCTGCAAAACACACTCTCCGTTCTTCCATTGGTTCAGTGTCCCTTCGACTACTACTCATCGGCGTCGGAAGCTGTTTACTAAGCTTGCTCAATCACGCATTGTGGTCAATCTATGCTGCACGCGTCTGCGAGCAACTTCAAACCGCACTCTACAATTCCCTCTCATCACGACCTCTTAGCTGGTTTGACAATGGAATGCGCACCTCGCAACATCGCCTACTCCATTCGCCTCCACCCAATGAGTCGGCAGAATCAGACTCAGCCACTTCATCGGCCGCTGCCGGTGTGATGTCCAGATTTGCAAGGTCAGATATTTTTGATCACCTTGTTTCCTCTCAAATCATAGCATCAGTTTAATTCCTCCTGACGTTTTCAATTGTTTCTGCTCACAGAGAAACCGACGAAGTTCGTAGCGCCTTATCCTCTCGCGTTGGCCTTGTACTGCAGTATTCGGTCACTTTCCTGGTCAATGTAATCTTGGCCTTCACAAAATCCTACAAGCTCTCACTGGTCATCCTTTCAACTATACCTCTTATTGCTATCATCACCGCTGTCATTTCTAGTCGGGTTGCACCCTTTGTTGCTTTGCAAAATACCCTCGAAGCCGCTCTGTCAGGCGAGTTGACCCGGGTACTTCGAACTATCACTCTTGTCAAGGCTTTCAATGCACAACCACTTGAGCTTTTGAACCTGAATCGCCTTGCGCGTCGACTTTCCCAGAATTACGATCATATTGTTTTGCTTTTTGCCCTCCGGCTCGGCACCACTCACTCTTTGGCACTGCTGATGTTTGTACAAGGCTTTGGGTTTGGCTCACATTTAATTCTCACCGGACAAGTCACACCTGGTGACGTCAACACAGTCTTTTGGTCATCCTTAATAGCTAGCTCACATATGCAGATGGCCATTCCTTTGCTCGGTCAACTCGAGCGTACAAGACCTGCTATACTCGATCTTCTCAGTCTTCTGGAGACTCCTCGCCCGTTTGGAGGTGGTCGCAAGCGGCGTCCTAGCCTTATACCCCTGCGTGAGCTCAATCGGCCGGTGTCTACATCCCTCAAGCGTGCACATTCAATTGCGACCTATCCTAATAGCCCTCGACCCTCGATGCCTTCCTCGGTCACCACAAAACATCACACGCTCGATGGCTACCAAATGAGTGTCAACAAAAGTTCATCGAGAATCGGAAAAGAACGCGGATCTCAGATAATCAGATCAGTCAAATCTATAGGCTCGCGTATCTTTTCTTACACGAACAATCCGGTTCTTCCTCCCTTTCGCCCACTCCGTAAGCGAATTCCCACGAATTTCCAGGGCCAACTCGAATTCGAGAACGTTCACTTCGCCTACCCGAATAGCTCTGAGACCGACTCTCACGATACAACGACATCTCAGATTGTTGCTCCTATACCAATCCTCAAAGGTGTTTCAATGTTTTTTCCAGCTGGTGACCTCACTTTTGTTTTGGGGGAATCCGGAAGCGGGAAGTCGACCGTAGCCGTCCTCGCGCTTGGGCTTTACTCACCTGATGTGGGATCAGTGACCGCTGACGAGCTTGGGCCGATTAGCGGACTCGATCCGGACTGGGTGCGTACCGAGTGTTTCTTTCTCGGCTCATTTGCGGCTCAATTCCTCTTACCGGGCACGATTCACGAGAACATCGCCTTGGGGGCTTGTCCGCGGAGACCAGCCTCGTCTGTGTCCAGAGATGAGGTCACCAGTGCGGCAAAATTTGCACTCCTACATGAGTTTGTCTCTGGACTTCCGAATGGCTATGATACCATCGTAGCTGGTCACGACAGTCGTCTCTCGGGCTTGGTAGCCGGGCAAGATGAAGTGACGGCCTCCACTGAAGATACTACCTTCTCTACGTCTGGGGACGCTTCCGCTGGTAGTCTTGCTACACTGAGTGGTGGTCAGCTTCAGCGCTTAGGGCTGGCTCGAGCTTATATCCGGGATCCTACTGTCTTGATTTTAGGTAAGCATGTCCAGATCTTGCACCTCAAATATCTCAGTTGCTTACAATCAATGTTGTGTGATGATGGCTTTAGATGAGCCTGTTTCTGCGCTCGATCTTGTCTCTCAATCACTTTTAGCAGCTGCAATCCGACAATGGCGGCATTCAAAAACAACTATCTGGATCACACACGACCTCAGTCCCATTGAACCCGACGACTTCGTTTATCTGCTCGATTCTGGTCACGTGATTGAGGCTGATTATCTCGCAGGACTCAGAGATCGACTTGCTTCTCGAGGAACCCATGTAAATCACTCTCTTGCCCGTCTGATCGGAAACACTACCGCCGCTCTTCCCGCACAGTCTGTGGCACCTGATAGCTCACCTTTACCCCCATGGCAACCTCTCTCGATCACTGCCACTCCTAAGCCTACTCTTACTACTAAGGCCCAGAAACGCGCAACCCTTGTTGACGGTTTTTTGCGTGGCCTAAATCCAACCACTGCCTCAGATGGCCTTCTCACTGCTCCACCGCCTTCTGCCGCTGTCCGAGCTAGTAACATGCTCCAACCAATCGACCCAAGTAGCTTTAAACCTCCAAACAGGCTCTTTCTGACCCCCATGGGCGATATTGGTGGCCAGGACAGTAGAGAAACTCGTAACCGCAGCTGGCTTCGATCACGATCAGCTACGCCTTCTAGTTTCAACCACACCGCAAATCGGAGAATGACAAACACGATAGGAAAGTCACAAGACAAAGAGGTTCAGACAGAGGAAGAATACAGAGAGATCGCCATGGCACTTCTACGTGTTGGTCAATTGGCTAGTGAGCGTCGCGGCCCGGGACGAGAGCGTCGGATCTGGGCAGATACGGAGAAAGGTGACAAGGATTTGGAAAACGACAAGCGAAAGTCATGGTGGGGTCGAAGAAAGAAATCGAAGACAGGCGGTTCTAACCCCGATGACAAAGATTATAGTAATGTATGGCTTGTGACTAAGATCTGGGGCACGCTAGAAGCAAAAGTGCGGCTATCATGCGGGATAGCGGTGAGTATAGTAGCTGGTGTGTTGACGCCAGTATTCTCAGCGCTACTCGGTCAGTTATTGGCCCGGTTGGCCGACCCTCCGGACGGCTACATTAAACGACAATCGATTCTTATTGCCGTTGTCGCTGTCGTTGACGGTCTTTTCTCAGCTCTTAGGATTTGGCTGATGGAAGGCGTGGGTACCGTCTGGCTGGAAGACATGCGGGGTCGAGGCTTGAGGCGAGTGGTCTTGAAGGATTTGACTTGGTTTGCATCACCTCGAAACGAGTCTAGTAAACTCGTGAATAGATTCATCAAGGATGGCGTTGAAGCTCGAGAACTAGTTTCTCAGATACTTGCTGATCTCTTGACTATTGTTACGTTGCTCGTGGTAGCATTTGGCTGGGCGATAGTAGTGGGTTGGGAACTTACATTGGTTGGATTGTCATTGGCGCCGATATTTTTTGTGGTGATTGGAGGGGGCGGAAAGATCTTGGGGCGCCTAGAGCTTGAGAACAAGAGATGGCGCGAGTCAGTGGCCATGGAGTTCTACCTTGTTGAGTTTTCTTCGTTTCACGCATCTTCAAAAGCTTAAAAAATCTCTTCATTTCCAATCTTTAACATCGTATTTTGTTCCATTTCCGACCCCAATCGTAGACGATGAATCAAATGAAAGCTATCAGAGTTTTGTCAATTGACAGCGTGATGAAAGAACGATTTCATCGTTCGGTTTTGGGCTCGAAAGCAGCATTCATCCGAGCCAGTCCCTTTGGTGGTATTCCCTACGGATTGAATACCGCGCTGGCCTATTCTGCTGAAGGTAAGTTTGACATTATCATAGCCAAATGATTTTTGTTTCCCATCTAAAGAGTTCAGGCGTGTGTTACTGACTTGTAACATGATATGCCACAGCTTTGATGTTTTATGTGGGATCGCAGTGGGTCGTAGAAGGAAAATATTCGTTCGAAAAGATGACTCAGGTATTTTCCTTGATCATTTTTTCGGTCACATTTGCTGGGCAGATGATCAGCTATGGTGAGTCTATTGATCCTGCATAAATAATCAAATGCTCGACCCGTCTCTTACATATATCCACACATCCAAAGTCCCATCGATATCTAGATCTGCTAGAGCCTTCATCGACCTTCTGGCGATCTTAGAAATGTCGGTCGAGTCTAAAGAGTTGAAAGGAGACATCCAGCTTAATCGGGTCAAAGGCTCTATCCAATTCGATCACGTCTTTTTTTCTTATCCATTACCAGATCTTCAAGCTGAGAAGGAGGAAGATCAGGAAGAGAAAAACAGAAAACTACATAAAGTCGATCTCAGACCAGGATCAGTCCCCGTTCTACGCTCGGTATCCTTCTCTATTCATCCCGGGGAATGTGTAGGGATCGTAGGGTCGGTATTGTCCTCGATAGCTCTTTCTCCATCTCTTTGATTCGCGCTGGAAAATGATACATGGGAGAGCTTGTATAAAACCTGGCGTTGTATTTTACTGACTTGTCTGTTGATTTGTTTTTTAAGACCATCTGGAAGCGGAAAATCCACAATAGCAGGCCTGATACAACGATTCTACGAGCCCGATGAAGGTAAGATAATGGTCGACGGGTATCCACTCAATGAGCTCGACGTACATCGACTTCGAGAGGTGATTGGAGTTGTCGGTCAACACCCAATGCTTTCCAATGAGGGAACCATTCTCGAGAATGTATGTTATGGACACAGCTCAACGGGAGAGGTTGCGGCAGAAAGGGCGGCATGGGCTGCGCTTGAAGATGTCAACCTGGCTGGGCTCGTACGTGCAAGACCAGAAGGTCTCCATTCTAGGTTAGGACAGCTTTCTAGTGGGGAATCAGAGCGTATGGCCATCGCTCGAATGCTTGTGAGCCGCGAAAGCCGAGCGATTGTGGTTCTGGACGAACCGACCGCGGCACTCGACTTGCTCAACCAGCGTATCATTCTCAAGACCATCATGCGATTGAAGGCCGAGGGGAAGACAGTGGTTTTAATCACTCATCAAATGAGTGTCATGAGAGCATGTGATCGTCTAGTGGTTCTTCAGGCTGGACAGGTGATTGAAACAGGTTCGGTGGATGGACTTATGAGGGATCGACCGACTGGGATTTTTGCTACACTTGCGCGAGGTGGTGAATGGGGTGGCGGATAAAAGAGTACAAGGACAAGCGCTATCAGATATCTGATGTTATCTGGCCGAGCCGATCTTCAATCTAGACTCTCTCAACGCCGCCGACTCTTTTGCGGTAACATGGAATTATATACCAACCTCACCCGCAAAATTCCCAAATACGTCGAATCGAGCTGCAGTTTATGGACAGCAGTTCTCAGTTAGTTGTTTACCGAATCACACCGGTGTCGAATAATCTTCGCAACTTTGTTTCGACACGTCAAAAGTTTGATTTTTTTTTTGAGAATGCTTTTATTTTTTCACCTCTATGTCTCCTGCGTGGACCAATATACACATGGTGATATCTTGCATTTTCAATTGTTTCTTTTTTCAAGACTGTTCGTTATAATTCATTACCACCACCATTTGTGAAAACTAATGTCTCGTTTAATGTTGTAAAAATTTATTCTTTGCATTTCTGGTCCTTATGATTGTGTATGATCACGGTGTCCTTATGTATAATCAGACGTATTGCACATGTGGATGTCCTATTTGAGAAGGCGCTTATTTGTACCATTTTCTTGGGTCTATGCTCTACTGGTGCAATCTAAAAAATGTGATTTTGCAATCTAGATTTCTGTCTCAATGGACCGGTCAACTCCTCAAGGGGTTGTGAGATTCTCACCACATATGCCTCAAGGTACTGCACCCTACTACACCCTATGCCTCACCGGGCACCCTGAGCATCTCGTTGGCTGTTGGCATCCGGTTTGTTTCTTGCATGGCCACTCTTTATCTCGTTATCACATTGAATGCCTGTCGGATCCACTTGTTTTGTCTTTCTCCGTCTCACTTTCCACAGCTATCTGCTTTCAGTTGGACTCAGCAAAACGAGTTCGCATCGTATCGAGCTCATTGAGATTAGGAAAGGAACTAAGCTGGTTGGCCGAAATCTTTGTTGAATATCAATCGCGTCCGAGAGAATTTCGTGGGCTAGCATGGTGAAAGACGCCAACGTTATCTATGGAACGTGGTCGGGCTATCCCCTTGTTCTGAAATATTGAGAACACGGCTCGTCCGGACTGATGTGGTCAACTTTGCCGATAACAAAATCTGGAGTAGTGTGAGGAGCTGTAGAACTTGGCGCTTAGCCTTGTCGAGACAAGTTTGAAAAGCGTACAAAATGTTGTACGTATATTAAGCTCATGTATACGGCCTATATCATGCCCCACATGCCACATGCCACGATCAGGATTCAGGGACGAACGGTTGCTTTGAAGACTTTTGTCAAGAGTTAAGACAATTCGTGAAAACCCCAAATAAAGTCCTCATCCCGTGAATGTCACAGAGAGATATATCTTGCCATAATTACCCAGACGATGTACACATGGCCTCAGTCTATCGTCCGTCTTGAATAATTTGCGTGAATAATAGGAGGCAATAGGAATGTGGGTGGCACAACCAACCTCTGAGCTTGATCGACATCGAGTCGTTCGACCTCCCTACGTTGTAGCTAACAAGGCGGTATGGCTCGAGCTGAGATGACAAGCCGCATCGATGAGATGACTGATCATGTAGGTGAATCATCACCCAATAACTTCCACATCAAACGCCAACCAGGACCACGATCATAACATCATTTCAGGAAAAATTGCGCCTGTGCACAGCTTTTTGTGTGCGCAGTGAGACTGACGCCAGCGTTCTAATGGTGTACACCTTTTGGAAGATGTATTTAGGGCGAATGTCCTCCTTCTGACTGGTTTCGATTGCTTATCAAAGTTTCGTGTGTACTCCTGTGTACTCGTATTCCTCTGACATTCGCTATGCGCACAAGCGTACTGATAAGAAAACTCCTTAGACTCACAACGTGGCCTATCAGATCAGTGAGCCAGTTTACTTGATGGTTGCAAACCTTTCACCTCCGGAATCGCCTCGCGAGTCTGTTTGATTACAGCCGAAACACGATACATCTCAGTTCATAACCAGTTGTATCTGTAGCTTCTGAATCCACAAACGCTAGCCGTGTTTCCTGCTCATTTGTCCGAACAGAAATTCCCCCTTGGAACATGAGACTTTGCCCACAGTCAGATTTTGAAGAATGTCGCAGATGAATGAAATGTGCTTGATACGAGGACGTATCAAAGAAGGCTAAGCCGATGGGTAATCGCAGCTTGGATTCGACCACTGATCCAAGTTGGCCAGATCCATAAAGCTAGGAGCCGCTACCCAAGACATCCAAGCCCACCTTGTCTTCTCGATTCAGATCGATCGCATTCTTCTCCCTTCGACTCAGAATAAATTTTATTCAGCTTTCTGTCGTCTATCTTAATATACAATAGCATCATGTTCTCTTACTTTGTCCATTTTCGCATCTCCAGTACTTTATTATTTCTTTCTGTTGTCTTTGTAAGGTCAGAGCAGACTGAAAAGGTCAAGCTGTCGATACCCATCGTGAACTCTCTCAACCTTTACACTCTCAATGTCGGAATCGGCACACCTCCGACACCCCATGCCTTAGGGATCGCGACTGGATCAGCAAATACCTTCGCTGGTGCCTTCAATCCTGGTACCTTCCAACCCACACCTTCCACTACCAACCTTCAGAAACCCTTCTTTATTCCTTACGGTTATGGAAATGTCACTGGCACCCTACTCACCGAGACTTTAACTTTCACGGCCAATGAGAATTCACTTACCCTTCCTAACGTGACGATTGGGAATGTTTCAAAACTAGTTGTAAGTGAAATCCTTCATTCACAAAATCGTATTTGACTCTCTCTTCTAGTACAATGGCTAGGCACTCAGTCTCACCACTCTTCATCTATACAACAACAGGGCTTCGATGGTTTTGACGGTCTTCTTGGCTTGGGCCTATCATCCGAATCCTATCCTAGAGACGCAGAAAATATTGGAGAACTTCTAACTCCGACTGGAATAATGTATGATAGAGAGGTCTTAGAAGAAGTTATGTTTGGGGTCAGTTCAAGATCCTCACTTTGAGCTTAACTGAGGCCCCACGGACAACAACCTTTTAAAGAGCACAAGCTGATGGATATTACGTTGATGGATCATTAGATTTCATTCATGCCTACAAGGAGTGCCCCAGACCCGAACGGCCTGATAACCTTTGGGGGAGTGAATCCTAACCGGTTTATTGGAGACCTGGTATGGTATCCATGTAGCTCATATCAGTGAGTCCCACCGGTATTTCTGATGCAAGACACTAGAGTCCAAGAGTTGACCGAAGCTTTTCCTTGCAGCACGTGGGACTGGAAAGCATCGATTTCGTATGGTGATGCCACCTTGTCTGAAACTGAGTTACGGGGTTCATTCGATACGAGTTGAGTGTCTTCATACTCCAATAGTTTTTATGGCTTCACACTCATCTCTTGAACCACAGGCTATACGAACTCTCCGGCTATTCCACGATACCTGTTCGACAAATACGTTGTCTCGATTCCTGGGGCAGTTTGGGATGACTCTTGGTTAGAACTCAATCCCGCTGGACAAGTCAACGAATACATGCTTCGAATCCCGCGTGCTTCTGTGGCCGAGATGGAAGACCTCTGCTTCTCATCAGGCGATCGAAAGTGGTGTCTGGTTCCCGAAGCCCAATTAGTTCCCGATGGTATCGTCCCTAATGCAGACCCAGCATATAGATATGGATACGTCAGCCCAGTTCAGACTGCTGATGCTTCCCAGCAAAACTCTACATTTGTTTGTAAGTTGATCTTCAATCTCTGATAAGCCCTAACTTGTTGGGTAGCGGACTGACCTATGCCAATGATTGATAGTCGGTATGAAAGCCATGGAAAGGTTTTACGTTGCCTTCGACCTAGCAAATTATAGAGTACGTCAAGCTCCCTTCTGACACCTTGAACCTCAATCTTAATAATAGACTCTTATTTGGAATCCTCTTTTGTCATTGTAGATTGGTCTTGCCGAAACAGAATGGACAAACTGCACCTTTTAAAATTCGAGTCTCCGACCTTCATAGATACAATAGTTCCTTAATCCGACTAGTACATATACATCATTTTATTTTCCCGAATTTGAGAACCTAGATTCTCTGTTCCCGCACGGGTCTCTGTAGAGACCTCGAGTGGATCTTCATATGTTGATCAGGACTTGTACATTTATTCTTGCCCGTTTGAAGTCGTTGAACGCGTTGAATAACGCAGGTCTTCCACATTGTAATCAGATATCACCTTATATTAAATTTAAATACATATTGTAAAGATAAAACATCTAAAAAAAGCTATGTACTCCTTTGGGAGCTGTTTCGTTGACAGACTGAGGCATACTGTCGAATCGTGGTGCTTGAGAGTACGCCAAGTTGCCTTTCTTTCAAGTCCAACCTTAACGGACATGATAAATTCCGTGAAGAATTCTTTCCGAATATTCAGGTATGTATGAAAGAGCCATGAAAGATATTTGGCAGGGAAAAAGTTCCACGTGGAAGTAGAGCTTGCAGTTGACCTCCCAATTCAATCTCATTCAACTCAAGACAATCAACAAAAAACACAAAACCCTGTTACCTTTTAGACATCAAATCCAAAAAACAAATACCACCAAAAAGATTGATTTCAACTTTTTCAAAACTCTTTAAAGAAAAAAAACCATAAACCCAATAAATGGTTGATAAACAAACAATGATACACTAGTTACAACATTTCTATTGATGTGGGTGAGGTGGAAGATGAGGTTGATTTGAAGGAGGAAAAAAACGAGGATTATAATGTATACCATTCACTGAAGGTTGTTGAATGGGCAACGAATCTGGATTGAATGAACGTTGTTGTTGTTGCGGCTGCTGCTGAAACTGAGCGCTTCCCATGGATAGTGGACTTGGAGTATATGGAGGGTAGTAAGAAGATTGAGTAGGTTGATATCCATTGATGGCAAATCCATTAGGAGACATCGTAGGAAACCCTGTTTGACCTGTGTATCCCTGTTGCTGTGGCTGAGAAGGAAAGGTAGGATATGTTTGGCATGTTGGTATTCTTGACATGTTAGGAAGTGATGGTGCGAATCCATATGAAGGGGTATTGTGACTCGCAGTGCCTGAAGAGTTGGCCAAGTTATAGTTGTAAGGATTATAAACAGGAGGGTTAGGATTATAACCACCAAAACCACCAAAGGCCTGAGGGACGTATTGTGGAACTGCATGGGTGGGATTTGCAGGAAGAGGGTGTATAAAAGGAGTGAAGGATGTGCTAGGGAGAGTCGATGAAGAGCTCGGGTTAGACCAGTTAGTTGGTGTTGAGCTCGGTATAACATCAGCTCTTGAGGGTGAAGGAAATTGGGAGTTCGAAGGGCCACTGTTATGAGGTGGTTTTGAATGGGTATCGCGCTGATCTGAAGACGAATTATTCCTTCCACCCTTCATGGAACCTCGACTCCCCCTTGGCTTTCCTCGTGAAGGGCCTTGGGATCTGTTATTCCCTCGAGAATCTGACCCACGTTTGTTGGTTGATCGAGCTGAAGTATTACGGTTCTGGTTGTTGTTGTTGGATGCTGATGCTGAAATGCTCGGTGTTGTCATGTTAAAATCTAAGCCTTTAGGCCTCTCGAGTACCGAGTAATCTGTGTCAGCTCCATCGCCATCTTCATCGTTGTAATTCAACACATCGGATGGTCGCTTATCAAGCATATGTTTACCAGCTGAGATCAACAGATCAGGGTTTGGAAGATAACTTGGCCCCGATTGAACCTTGTTGGCTCCCGGCTTGGTCTGCTGTCTCTTCTCCATAGCGGCTGCCTTCCTAGCATTTCTACAAGACCTAACATATGCAGCTTCCGCTTCATCATCACTAAACTCAATCTCATCTACATTCGTGACTTCTTCGTCATAAAGGTTACTAGCATCGGTCCCTTTGGGTTGCGCTTGGATATGAGAAGTGAATAAAAAGCTGGTTTGAGAGGGAACGAAGTAAACAGGTGTATCGGTCGAAAAACGTTTGTTCTCAGTAGGGTTTTTAGACATCTCTTGCAATTTACTTGGAAGACGAATGCTATAGTGTGGTTCAGTGACAGCGCCGAATGTTTCAAAGACCTACAAAAAATATATATCAGCTCATGTGGCATCTCCACGCATTGGTAGGGAACAAATCGAAGTCACAGTTACTCACTTTACCTATCAAAGTGCCATCCTTCCAACATATCATACTACCCTCATCAAGAACGGTTTCATATCCCATATTGATATCTCCTTTGATGACAACAATGTTATCAATCAGAGAGGCAATCACTCCAAAAGATTTGATATCTTTCAAATCGCTTTCAGGTACATTATCGAATGGTAGCTCAATGATTTCAGCTGGAACGTCTTTCAATTCGTGTTCTGTGGTAGGACCAATCTTGATAGCTACGTCCATGTCATTGACATCTGAACCAGAACCAGATTCAGATTCGTCATCTTCTGCCGTTGTTCGGTTCTTAGGTTTCCTTTTGCGGGCTCTTCGACGAGATTTATTACCGGTAGTAGGCTTTGCAGTATCCTTTGTGTCAACTGGATGTGTTGGTGATACTTCCCTGTCAGATGGAGTGAAAGATCAGTTTCGCTTTTCCGCTTCATATTTAGTATGTAATTGAGTCAAGTAAGCTGACACTCACTCTTGATGAGTTGATTCGGAAGCTGCCGCCTGATTTGACACCGCGGGAGTCTTAGTGCTATCAAGATGAGGATCTTGCTCACATGAAACAGCCGAGCCCTCCGGTAGTGTCTGAACCGATGTTGGAGTCGGATTAGTTGAATCAAGAGTCTCAGAAGATATCGGCTCGGAATTGTGGGGTAGAGATTCATTTGTGTTGTCAGGCTTAGAATCCATAGCGCAGCTTTCGTCAATTTCTGCCTTGATAGTTTCCAATAATTTGTTATTCTTAATCCGTTCAGCTTCTTCGTCTCCACTTCCATCCACATCTGATTCATCAGTTTCACTAAATTGGTTTTCTTCTTCATCTTCAACTTTTTCGCCATTGCTAGGACGTAAATGAGATTGAATTTGAACTTCATCCGAATTACTTTCAGTCTCGGTCTCACTACCTGACATCTCATCTCTAGCACGTTGATATCGACTAAGTCGAACTTTGATCCTCAACTCTTCGGTGATTCGACTGAGTTCTGTTTCTCGTCGTTCGTCAATCGTCGTCCCATCTGCATTAGTAAAATCTGACTCTATTATATGTAAGATATCCTGGGGAAGATTTGGAGCAGTAGGTCTATGCGGTGTTTGTGAATCATTTCGATATTGCAGAGGATCGGATCCTATAAAGTGAGGATTTGAGGGATTTGGTACAAAGTTGCGTGCCGGTTGAGTTGACATGGTAGGGTAGGTAGGATATGATGATGATGAGGCGGCTAAATCTGTGACAGCATGTTGAATAGGCTGAAAGGTCGAATCTTGAGATTGACAAGGGTCCTGAGAAGTAGCTTTTCGAATCGCTTCTTCAATTGCTTGATCCAAGCTTTTCAAGTCCTGTCCCTGAGGCAAAGTGATCTGTGAATTCGATTGATTTACTATAACATTCTGTGCTAGCTCAATCTGAGGGGTTTCTCCAGTCACTTCAAGAAGACCATCAGAGTTTGGCTCGGATTTGATGCATTTTTCGTCTTCTGTTTTGACTGTTGATGAATCGATGTTAGTCGTACTTTCATTCGTTTCAGCATTGAGTTCTGAATTAGAAATTTCCATTGATTCCGAGTTGGACTTGATGTCTGTTGATGTGATTGATATATGCGCTTCAACGGTTAAATTAGTTTCAAGAATTGGTTCATTTGAGTTGGGAAGCAAGACGATAGGTTCATTCTGAGGCTTAACAGAGAAGTAAAAGTCAAATTAGTGATTGATATTTTAATGAGATGCTGATGATGATGATGAAAAGCGAACTTACTGATTGATCCATAATGTCCAATTGCTGAGCTGATGGGTTGGATAGTACTGTCACAACTGAACTTCTTTCACATGTTGTTTGGTTGTTTTAATAAATTCGAATTTCATCAAACTGTAATCGATTCTTGGCCGAGATGTGGTCAATCTCAGCTGTAAACTTGGTGTTTCTCTCTGTCACACTCGTGTTACGCATACGAAAGGCTACATAGGTTTTGCCATGACATCTCTTCATTTAGTTCATTTACAGTCGTTTTCAAAAAGCTTGCCGAAATTTGCCCGCAAAACTCGAGCGATCTGGCGGTGAATTAGCGGCAAGCTTTTTGAAAACGACTGTACAAACGTCCTACTCACACAAGAACTCACCCGCCCATCCTTTCTTTCTCAAGCGCTTCATTTCCCTCCCTAAAGAACGTTGGCGTTGATCCAAATCTTACAGTGTCATTTCCTACTCCGCAACAAGCCGTCGTGATGTGATCAAATTTATTTACTCGCAGTTGCAACATCAATGAACTTGTGCTACGGATTTGTATCGTGGCAATCCATCACGACGTTCTTATAAGGTTGACAGCATCTTCATTCGTACCCATGACGGTCGGATTTGACGTTCTTTTGGACGTGGGTCTTCACTTTTGCGCAGTTTGACTTTGTTTTTCTGATGAGCTTCAAGTTCCCTCTTTTACTTAAAAGATCAAGCGTTTGGCGACTTTGAATCGAGCATAATTGTACCACCTTTTCTGTTACAAACATTCGATTTCAAGAGAAAGTCAACTCTTTTCGCCTTTAATATGTTGGGTTGTCTTCTTCCGGCTCTAAGTCTCTTTTCCTGCCTTGTTCTAGCTAAGACACAAGACAATGATACCCATTCCATTCCAACCAATTTAAATCAATCTTCAAACTTGCCAGCTAGTTATCAACTTTTAGTAGGAGGTCAACCTGGTCCATTTTATACCTTTAACTACGATGTCTCTCAGAAGGTGATCACAAATTCGAGCATGACTGTCGATTTGGGCACAGGACCGTCTTGGGTAGAATTTGATCAAACCAAAAAATTCATGTTCAGGTGCGTGATAAATGTTCCAGTCACTTCAGCTCCCTCAACAAATATAATCTCATGAATTGGTTTTGCGTGCTATAGTTCTGATGCAACTAAAACCTTCAACGACGTGAATAACACGGGTGGGGTATTCTCGTCTGCCATCGACAAAGATGGAAAGATTACAGTGATATCCTCCTCGGCTACCGCCATTCAACCTGTCCGAGTAGCAGTTGACAAAGAAGCTCTTAACCTCATCGTTGGTACCTAGTGAGTCTCATTTGATGTTCTGCTTTAATATCCTCCTCTCATGCAACAGTACTGACGCTTGAGTAATCTTCACAGTCTTGGTGCCACAGTCGAAAGGTTTACAATTGATCCAGAAACTCGTGCATTATCAGAAGAACCTGCGCAAAAAATCCTTTGCGTAGGTCAGAGTATCAACCCTAAACGTCAAACTAAGGCATATATCCATGATGTTCAATATACGCCAGATTATACTCAAGTTGTAGCTGTAGATTTAGGAAGTGATTTGATTCGTAAATTTCAAGTCGGTAAAGATGGAAACTTGACAAAGATTCAATCTGTGAATGTGCCTCCTGGGTGTGAGTACGAATCAAGTTCCAATCTATCAGTCTATCACACATACACTCAAGAGCCATACTCACTAAATTGTCTTCTTTGAATCATAGGCGGACCCAGACACTTGGCCTGGGGGCCCAGGGCCGACGGGAAGTTGGACGCCTATGTAATCTGCTCCTTGACACGTGTATTACTCACTTTCGAAGTCGATATTGCCAGTGGTCACAACTTTACCTTGAAGGGAACACCATTATCAACAGAACCCGCTGCACCGTTGAATAGCACAACATTAGAAGGGTCCGAGATACTATTATCACCCGATGGTCGATTTGTAGTCACCTCTACTACTCAAACTTCTCGCGATGAAGCTGATCTACCTGATAATTTACTCGTCTCTTTCGCACGAGATCTAAATACCGGACTTCTTGACTCTAATCCGATCCGAATTCCTACAGGTGGAAGAGTACCTCGACAATTTGCATTTGATCCTACTGGTCAACTGATTGCTGTGGCTCAACAAGGAGCAGAAAATGTGGTAGTGTTTGAGCGTGATGTAAAAAGTGGAGAAGCTAAGATGGTAACACAAGTTCCTGCAGAAAAAGCTTCTTTTGCGATGTGGCGAAGCGTAGAAAATTAAGTTGAGAAAATAAACGGGTTACATCATAGGTCAAACTACAAGAAGATCTTGTGGGGATGTAACCACGGATTTGTCTGGACACTGATGATCGTACTTTCACCTCGATTCAAAATTGGCTATATTAGCTTACAATTATCTCTGATGATATTTATTTATTTCTCTTTTTACTTCTTTGTTATTGTACCTGGCTTTCTGTTGTGTCTTGATCGTCTTTGCTATTGACATATGCCATGACATCTTACTCGCACGATGTCTTACCCATCCTTTTTTATCTCAACTCTATGCAGCAGTAGTACCCACTGTCTACGGAAGAGTAGCAGAGCTTGCGCGAAGCGTAGAGGATACCCAAAAGTGGATTTCTGATCAACACTGCTTCCAAACAGACCTATCCCATTGGAAAGCAAGAGAGCATCCATATGTGTTACCTGTGCTGGTTGAAGTATCAAATGTTTGAGCCAACACCGTTTGAGTCAATATGGTGAAGGATAAACCAAGCACACATTGACGCTTGGATAAAAGTATGATACTGGAAGAGAAAAGCATCACCTGATTGACATAGCGATAAGATGCGATTGTAAGACTCCATGACTCACCTTGATGCTTGTGATCCCGATTGCAAATCAGTAGGAGATTATTTTTGACCCACATGAAGTACCCCGCACAACACGATGGGCTCAGGTTTAGATGACATCAGATATACAGATACGTGATACTTACTCGATAGACCTTCGAAACTTGTTGGTTGAGGCGCATTAGACGTGGCTTGTGTGGAGCAGAAAAGAAGCAGCCCTAGGCAGCCTCACCTGAAAATCGTGCCGTAACATAGACAACCATTGGCCTTCGAGCCAATTCTGAGGGTCGCGTTATCCCAAAAGAGGGGTCTCTTGATCAAATACCTTTCTCACAGCTGAGTGGAAAAGTCTTTACAACTATATTTATCTAGCGATCAACACCTTCAACTCGCTCGTGTTTTCAACTTCGATTTCCACTCTTTCTTGACTGACATTTTCGTTTTCGCTTGCGATCTTTTTTTTGATTTTAAATTAGTGCAGCGCATCTTCTACTTCAACTCTTTACTTTACAAACAAGATGTTAGGTCAACTTCTTCCGGCTCTAAGTCTCTTTTCTTGTCTTGTGATAGCAAAAACAAAAGACAGTGATAGTCATTCTATTCCAGCGAATCCCAATCAACCTTTAAGTTTACCACCTCATTATCAACTCTTGGTAGGAGGCCAACCTGGTCCATTTTATACCTTCAATTATGATGTCTCTCAGAAGGTGATCACAAACTCAAGTATGAGTGTTGAATTGGGTACAGGACCGTCTTGGGTTGAATTCGATCAAACTAAACAATTCATGTTCAGGTAGGTGATAGATGTTCCAGATAGCTTCTTCAGTCGTCAATATGATCTAAGTGATTTTTTCTGGTGCTCAGTTCGGACGCAACTCACACATATAATAATTTGACTAACGCGGGTGGAGTTTTCTCGTCTAAGATCGACAAGGATGGAAAGGTCACAGTTATATCATCCTCTGCTACTGGTTCCCAACCTGTTCGAGTAGCGGTCGATAAAGAAGCTCGTAACCTGATCGTTGGCACTTAGTGAGTCCCGTGTGATGTCAGGCTCTGGTGTTTTCTTACCATGTATCACGCTGACCTTTGATTGACCTACCTAGCATTGGCGCCACAGTCGAGAGATTCACGATTGATCCAAAGACTCGAGAACTATCCAAAAAACCTGCTGAAAAGATGGTTTTCACAGGTCGAAGTGTTAATCCTATCCGTCAAACTGCTTCCTTCATTCACGATGTTCAATATACACCAGATTATACTCAAGTGGTGGCTATAGATTTGGGAACTGATATGATTCGTAAATTTCAAGTCGGAAAGGATGGTGAACTGACAAAGATGGCTCCTGTCACACTTCCTCCTGGATGTAAGTGCAAAACATTCATGATCCCACTCCACAGTTTTATTCTTACTAAAAATCACTCTCTTTGAATCATAGGTGGACCCAGACACTTGACCTGGGCACCCAGAGCCGACGGCGCAAAGTTGGATGCTTATGTTATCTGCTCCTTGACACGCGTTTTGCTCACTTTTGAAGTTGATATCGCTAGTAATCACAAATTCACTTTGAAAGGTAAACCACTCTCAACAGAACCTACTCATCCACTTAACCGTACCACACTAGAAGGATCCGAAATACTAGTATCACCAGATGGTCGATTTGTGGTCACCTCCACAACCCAGACTTCTGCCGATCCAGCCTTTCTACCGGATAATCTATTAGTCTCCTTTCCAAGGGATTTGAAAACTGGTATACTTGGATCAACCCCAATTCGAACACCTACCGGTGGAAGAGTACCTCGACAGTTTGCATTTGATCCAACTGGTCAACTCATCGCTGTAGCTCAACAAGGCGCAGAAAATGTTTTGGTGCTTCAGCGTGATGTAGAAACTAGTGAAGCTAAGATAGTCACACAAGCTCCGGCAGAGCGAGCTTCTTTTGCAGTATGGCGAACTTTAGAAAAATAAATTTTGATTCACATATTCTAGTTGAATGCGATGTAAGATAGATTTGAAGTACACCATGAGATTTGACTGGAGTAAACACAGCTACATAGCAAAAGATTATCGTGTTACGTATTCCACCTATAATCTTGCTAAATATGCACAATCTTATTCGAAGACACCCCATACGTCTTCTAAACCTTTGATTGAACTTCTTCCAGCTTGAGAAGTCCGAGTAAAGATAAGGCTCGTGAGTTTTTATGTTCATTCAAAGATTTGATTTCAAAGGATTGCGCCTGGACTCTGGACGTCAGGAAAAGGCATTTCATTCAGTCCTGGCCGTGAACGTCAGGTGACATCAGTATTCGTTATATGCATCGGAAGCTAGAGTATGCCTATATCGCGAAACTATGCCCTCGAGCTGAGACAGTCTGGAATTGCAATCGAGCTTCATGGACACTTCCTGAATGAAGAGTCAAGACTATCCTATTACCAACCAACTAAGCTTTCAATATCAAACATCTCGATTCAAAAGAAACCGACTTAAGAAACTAAAGATTAATCAAATCCTGGAAATCGAACTTGACTAACGAAAAAATGACACCTGAACTCAAATCAGAGTCTTCAGGATTTCTTATTCAACAAGAAGATTATAATCACCAATCAGAATCTCATCAAGACTCTAATAAAGCTACGAACCAAGAACCCAAGAATTCTTCCAAAGATCATGAAATCAAAAGCCTAGGCTGTAAGTCATCAATCAATCAACCAATCATCTTGATCTCAAAGGTCATCATTGTACACTAATGATTCAATTTGTTTAGGTAATAGTAATGAAGAAGAACTTTACCTTCCATTCTCAACATTCTTGGCTCGTAGAATAATCAAACCAGAAAGCTCAGCTCCAAAGAAACCTATTTTACAAAAACTAATCAGGTCAGCATCATTTCCAAGTTTAATTCATGAAATCCTTCCAACAAAATCACACAAAATTAATTTAAATTATTATTCTGTCCAATAATTGTAGATCGATATCACATTTGATTATCAAGAAATTAGCTAGATTAGAAGATATCTTTATACGATCTAAACTTTATCGACTATTTCAAAAACTTATACCATCCTTCTTTTCAAACTCATCTCTTTATCCTTTCTTAATCAGTTTAATTATTTCAGGATTTCAAATTCGTAAGTTTTGGATTTGGCAACGAAAAAGTTTAATTCAAGTTCTTATTACCATCGGACCACTTTTAAGTACATTTAATACACTTACAAGACTACAACAACAACAACATTCGCCACATTCTACTACGACTGAAAATAGTGAAATCACACGTTGGTTATCTTTTTGGATTATCTATAGTTTAATCAATACATTAGAAAGTATAAAAGTATGGTCAAAACCTCAATCGATTCTACAAACAAATCAACAAAAATCAAAATACCCAACAAGTTCATCACTATCTAAATTAATCACTCAACACGTTCAATCAATCTGGATTCAATCAAGTCGAGTTTTATACGATATGATTTCAAAATCTTTTAATTTCAATCAAACCTCAAACCGAATCCGATTTCCTGAACCTAAACCTCATTCTTATCCAACTGATTCTCATGATCTTTATCATACAGTTCCTTTTCTTCATGAAAAACTTTTAGGAAAGAATAGTATGAGTTATTTGATCATCAAAGTGATCTTTCTTAAATGGTGTTCAAGTCATTCAACTCGAGGTTCTGAACAAATCTGGCACAACTTCTTTTCTCCTCTCTTTTCACTTCTTAATCCAACTTCTTTACCTAATCCTGATCCTGAACCAAACCGAGAAATCGAAATCATAGTAGTTAGCAAACTTACAGATTTGGAAGTAGATCTTACTTCAATTAATGTTCCGGCTACAGATCTAAGTCAAGATATTCCAGAATCAAATCGTATCACTGATTCACAACATACACTTCGTAGAATTAGATCTGATCCAATCCCATCTTCAATTTGTTCAGAGCCTGAACTTTCGATCAAAACTGATGAATTAACTGATTCGTCATCTAGGATTAGTATCATTAAAAAACCACTCTTCACACATGAGTTTCGTACTCCTGAAAACGCTTGGGATTCTTTAAGCTTTGTGGCTTAAAAGATTTCAATGATAACTTTTAGTCATACCCAACTTTCTGATGATCATGGTTTTTGATACAGATCTAAAGAAAAGCAATCGAATTTTTTACTCTTTGGCTATTGGTTTTGATTTTGTAATTGTAAATTTTTAACATTATATTCATTTTGATTTTTTTGAGATGTTTGGTTTGGTTGTTTGGTTTTGTAATGATATCTTCAAATCTAAAGATCTGTTCACAATCTACTCTACCAATCCCATGAGGAGCTAAATTGAATGCATATCAAACTATTGCCTCATCAGATCCCTAATTTCATCAGTCAGTAAATATCTTACTGAGATCAACTCATTATTGATTATTTGAGACAATCAAATCACCAAAAGGTTCTCAATCAATGATTGCTATACATATCATGATATGAATGTGAATTTGATTTAGAGGAAGACCATGATAATTAAGATGATCTGTAAGAATTGAAAAAACGTTCCATACAACGGAGTGAAGTTTGCTTTGGAAAGAGTTTGAATACAACAGAGGTCAAGAAGTTGATGACAAGTGAGATGAATTGGGGTGATTAGGAAAAATGAAATTTAAACTTGTGAGTAAAAGTAGAATTTGGTCTGTTAGATCAATGAGTAAATAAACGTTCGAATGATAATACTTGCAATATAGCAAAGTGAAAACTTAGAAGGATTGGTTGAAGGAGACTACAATGGACTATTGAGCAGATACGTCCTAATCAAATCAATCTGATCAATCTTCTTCAAGGCTTTGATGATTTGTGACGATCAAGTAAACCAGGATACAGAAATCAGGATCAGAGCTAAGAAAATGATCTCAAAACAAGAACAAGATTCAGTCAAACACTTACGTGATCTTGATCAGATTCAACCAAATTCTCACTTGGACCAGGGGATGAAGTGATGGTGAATTTGAAGAAAGAAGATGGACCTTGATCTGGAGTGAGTGAATGGTTTTGTCTCGAGTGATCCTCATCAAGGACTGAGCTCATTGACTCATCATTCTCACTTGAATGAAATTTAGATAACCTCTCTGTATCACTTTGGAGTAAAAAGATAAGAGCTCCATGTGATCTACGTAAGATAGAGCTTGACTGGATCTGTTTTGATTGAGGATCAATAATTTCAGTATTTGATCAAGAACGCCATTGAGAAAAATATGGTCCAGAGATCTCAAGTCCACTTACAAAAGGCTGGTAAACAGAGCATAATAACTGTAAATCATACCTCAAACTTGCGCATTCTCTTGCACCTGGCTCTGATGTAAGACAATAGACTGCTAATGCAATCCCAGCGCTGAGCGCAAAAAACTGAAAGGGAACTAGAAACCGTAAATCAAAGAGAAGAACTCAGTTTCCGGAATGCTGGTAACTATTCCCTTGCTATTTAATGGGTTCAAGGGGTGATGAACTTACCGCGTTTTAGTGAGAAGAAGTCTCTTCGCTTTTGTATCTCAAGCAGAAAACCTAATAAGAGATTTATCAGGTGATGATCGAAACAAAAAACTTTTCATCTTCAAAATCGCTCACGACCATAATAAAGGATCCTTTTTCTATGCAACTCTACATCAGCCAAGGTGACACCTTCTCTTGGAGAAATAAATGATCGATGTAAACGAATTTGAGCACCAGCCAAAACAGCATAAGTGCTCAATCTATCAATATCAAACATTGGGTTATCTGTTGAAGGAGGAGAGATGGAAGATGTATCGGATTCATAACGTGTTCTAAACCAACTAGGAAAGTTGGCTTCGACCTTTTCTAGTTCTTTATCTAAGCTCATGATGGTTTCATGCTTTGGAGGGTTGTCCAGATCACTGTACGAAAACAAAAGTCAAGATCAGTAAACAAAAAGAAAGAAAGATGATGAAGTTGATAATGATGGTAAGATCACCTAAAACTAATACTAATAAGCTGCCAAACACAACCAACTTGATATCTAGCAATCACACCACTCATGATAGTCTGTTGATCTCCATTACCAACATATTGACCATCTTGATCATAATCTTCATCTGATGCATTCTGTGGTTCTTTAAATTTAAAATCAAATGGAGATTGTAAACCCCAACGTTTACAAAACAATCCTCCCATTTTAAATTCTTGTGCTAAGATTGACATCATTAATCTTCTACGCATATCTTTTTCAAGAAAACTACTATTCTGAAGTTCAGGAATATCATCGGGGTCAACATCCTGAATTGAAAAAAAGCAAACAAGAAGAGTAGATTGGTTAAGTTGAATTTCTAAAATCTTCCTTGATCGGATTGAAATCTTACCAGTTGGAGTCGTTTCGCAAGATTTATAGTCGTGGTGGTGAAATCAATGGCTAAGCCAACAGATTCTCCATTCTAGATCATCAATCAATTTCGAGGAAAAATCTGTGAGCTCTTTGCTTCTCTGATATGAAGGATTGAAATTTGAATTACCGAGATATATCTGTTGAAGAAATTGCAATGAATAAGCTCAAGGATGATACTTTAGATTAGGTCAACTCAGAGTAAGTCTCACTACCACTCACAGAGGGAATTTCGATAGTATAGCCATTGCACGCAAAGCGTCTATGGTTGGCCGTTTAGTGTAGTCTATCAAGAAGACAGGAAAGGAGAATTTCAAATGAAAGCCAGGTCAGTCACTGTCTCAATAAAGTTTGTCCGATCATGTAGAGTGATGATGATGATTTACCACCGAGTATCAAGGCGCTTGTAGCGCATTGTAGCCACATCCTAGCGACTTGCTGTTGAGAAGCTTCGCCAATTGGTAAGTGGCTTTCTTGACACTTTTCCTTATTGATCTCATCACTATAAAGGCCTAAAGCGCAAGTCGCGAAAAGGATCGCTAACCAATGAAGGGCTTTGTAACCATTGATTGAGTTTACGATCTTCTCGATGGGATTCGAGCTTTTGACGATTCGTTCATTTACTTCATTCCAAAATGTCGGCCGATGAAGAATCCGATGAAGCCAGGCACATGTCCTTTCGTAGCTTTCGAGACATTGAGCTACTTGGATTGATGTGGGAATCTTATTTAACAGGGTGGGTATATCAGCCGGTCCATAACCAAGTCCCAGAAGACCGATACCAGTGGCCTGCGGTTCGCTAGCTTCAAAGAGACTGTCTGGAGGATTTTTAGATACGATTCTATCTACCTATTACTTGTTCCAGGCCAGAAACATGATTCAAATCAGTATATCGTCTTCTATGGGTTGATGTCGCTTAATAAGTGGTGATGCAGAAGTATCACTCCATGAACTCATTCCGAAACTTAGATCCAGGGCTGTGCAGGCATGAAGATGGGTTTGGAAATGATGCAGGGTCAAAAGCAAACTACGAACATTGGTTAAGAAAGATTCACAAAATGGACCATCAGGTAGTGGCTTTAGAGGTGCATGCTGCAAGTGTTCCAGCTTAGGCACAGCATGACTTATGGCGAATTCGCTCAAATGAGTCGCAAGATTTTCAACTTGGAAGATCGATGGTTTAGTAGTTGGAGAAGAAGTACTACTACCATGACCGATAACTTTTGTCAATCGATCAATCCGAATCTCTAAGGCCAGTTTCTCATTCAAAAGACGTCTTTGTAAAATTGCCGAATTCGATAAAGTTCTTGCTTTACCGTTGGATTCACTCGATCGAGTTTGACTTCTTGAAATGCCTGATGTTGATAAAAAAAACTGAGTCAATCAACACTTTTAAAATCCCTCTCACCCAAGATTATCATCTTGACACTTACGATCAGGAGGATCCGAAGAGCTTCTTCCACTCCGCTCAGCTTGACTCTGACTCTGAGGATATAAGACCAAATCAGATTCTTGACTTTTACTTCTCACAATTGGAGTAGAGCAATGATGTGTTAGACTCTGAGAAATTAAGTCGGAAACCATAGTTTGAATGTAAGTAATCAAAAGAATCACTTGAAAAAGAAGAAGAAGATGAAGGAAGGATTGATGATAAAAAGATCTCTACTATCTAGGGCTATTAGGATGTTATGATGGTAATTTCAAGAATTCTTAAAAACCATTTACGTATTTAAGTAACTCACTCTGATCAGTGTCTTCCATGATTCTGAAGTAATCAAGGCTGATTGATGATGTAGGTAAGTGGTATTAGATTTAGTTGGAATCTCATGATAAATTAAAAATCAAGTCTGATGATACGTATTTTGAATGCTGTGTGTGATTCTGAAGCTGAGTTGATTGGTGCTGTACAATACACAGTCTAACTGCTGTGTTCATGGCTGTGTTCTATAGAGGATCTGAGCCGCGGCAGTTACAAAAACCCAAATCCAAGTCTATGTGTTGATGTTGATCCGGTTTTTGACTTTCATCCTTGATTATCTGATCAAATCGATCGATAACTCAACTAAAAACTTGAATCACACTCTCACCATACGACTCTCCACAGGTTATCAGAGACTATATACAATGTATCGGTTTTAAATCTTTATCAAACATTGTGGAACCCATATACATATTCCAGTTGACAAACTTCATCTATCAAGATTCAACAGAGCTGAACTTTTCTAATCGATCAAACAAATATACAACCCCGCTTTTCATAAACAAGGAGAATTCAGAAATTTCAAGACATTATCTCTACACAGCTCAAACTCTCTATAGTTTCACTATGCATCTCCCTTTCATATTTATTGAAATCGATATATGCATTTGAAAGGAAACATTCTCGATTGTTGCTGTATCGGATTTCAGGCCTAAAGTTTTATCTCTCCGTCTTGAGGACATTGATTCTGATTACCTCTGAGAAATACAACTGAGAAGGTGCATTCACAAAGATGAAGCACATTGAAATATTGAGTTTATTTAAGAACATGGTGATCAAATCAATTGAATCATCTAAAACTGAATGATAAGACTCTGGGTTTCTCCAATCACTATCAACTTCTGATGCTGATTATGATACCAAGAACCAATTATGATAATAATTCACTTCTAGAGAGTTGCCCTCAAATATGATGTAGATTATCAATTACAATTAAATAAAGTTAAAGAAGAAAAATGTAAATTTTAAGAATAAGAAATATGTAATACACAGTACTACCTATGCAATTTTTTTTTGAGAGAAAAAAGGAAAATTGAAACAAATCCGAAAAAAAAGAGATAAGCTTAATAATAATAAAAGATCAATACAATTAGAAAACAAAATTAATTGAAATGAAAAATGTAAGATTTAAAAATGATAATGATGAGCTGATGATTATATATACTCATAAGATTCGATTCATGCAGGTGAATAACAGGATTTAGGACTCAGAGCCGTCTCATTTGTTAATTCATCTTCCTCTTCATTAAAGTTTTGAGGTAATGCATCAGGTTCTTTTGGAAAACTAACGGGTGGTGTGAAAGCTCTTAAACATGAAATCTAATTTGGGATTTCTTGAAAAATCAGTACAAACTGAACTCAAAGTCTTTTAAGGAAATGGAATTCAAAACTTACAATTCCTAATACAAGAGCTGCTGGATGCCAACTACATGCACACCACCTAACACTGAGAATGATAAAATCGTTGGGTGACATCTTATTTGGAACTTGAAATGCATTAGTGGCTGAATTTAAAAAAACCAGATCAAGAAATGTTAAACAGATTTGATGTTGATGTTTTTGTTTTGATCATCAAAAATATAAAAAACAAAACTCACCAATACCTAAACAAAATGCAGTATAACCTGATGCAATCAATAATACAATAAACACATGCCATTTAATATTTGCCATCGAACGACCAAGTGTATAGAATTGTTTAGTAAGTATATAATTATCTTTTGCAGACCAATCATTTTCATTATTAAAAGTAGGAATTTGCCAAAGCATAGTGATATCAGTTGAAGATTCTCTTAGGAATGGTAACCATTGAGATCTCCAAGTTTCTTTCATCTTATTGGATTTTTCTTCTTCAAAACTTTTCTTTCCACTTAATGGAATCGTTGAAGCAGTTTCTGAAAATGGGATTGGTAATTGAGATCTACGCATCTCTCGATCTAAATTGATTAATTGATGTCGATGTAAAAAACATTCTTCTATGACTGTCTTTTGTTTAACTAATGCTAATAAAGTAGTAATCGATGCCCAAACAAATACACTTGTGTGTATTAATATTAAAAGAGTGATTAGACCAGCGTAGAATCGAAACCGATTGAGAAGGATATCACGAGTGTCTTCTATCGTTCGTAAGTGAGAAAGAGTAGCGTTCACTAGAGTTTCTTCAGGTCCTGAACCTGAATCATACCTGAATAAGATCTCTTCAACTAATTGATCGAGAGCTTCGAGTTGTCGATAACCCGTTGAAGTCAATACATAAGAAGTCAAAGCCCATGGAAGTGCAACACCAATTTCCACAAAGCAACCCAAAATAAAGATCGTATTGAAGACGATCGGTTTACAACCCTTGGAATGTTGAGAACGAGTTTGAGTAGAATTCTTGGTGAATCGGGATGTATTGAAATTGAGAAGTGAAGGAGGTAAATTATAAACTGCTCCCCAAGCTGTGATCCAACCAAGTAAAAACATTCCAGCTTATAAGATAGAACCAACAGAATCGTCAATGTTTTGTTTGTTCCAATGAATTGATACATCAAGATTTGATTTTTTTTTTACAAAGACTCACTTTCTGAGATGATCCTAAGAGCCTCTGCCCTCGCAGGATTTCCTTTTCTTGTAAGATCGTGTTCCAATGAAGCTATCCAAAGCAAACTAACTAAAAAAGGATTATAAAAAATGTCAAGAATCTGTCTATGACGGCACATGACTAATTACTGTGGAATTATATATGAGAGGAATTAAAACTGACGTATAGAAGAACTCATTACCAAGATAGGTACAGTGATTGCAGAGTGAGGAGAAAGATAACCATTACGAGATTGTTGAGGCAAAAGTGACTTGGTTTTCCACCTTTTAATGATTCCAATCGTATAAAGTAAACAAGTGAGTGGTGCAAGAGATCCCATGGCCCATAAAATATTGACCGTGTCTCTATCGATTTGAACTTCTGCACCCTTGGTGATTGCTTGTCTCAAGTCCATCCATTCCTGTGGTGAACTTGGTGACATCATCTTGCTTATCGATTTTCGATTTGAACCAGGGTAGGGAGAGGGGAAGAAAGGTTGAAGTGAAATCGAGATTCCAATCAAGGGATCAAGGTTGTCTTTTAAGACGAAACGAAAAAAATCCTACAACAAGCAGGATACATATATGTTAGCTCCCCTCGTCAGGATGTACGATTTGTCGATCAATCTGGCCTTGACATACTCGCCAACAAGATAAGAATCAAATAAGCTATAGTGCCAATTCTGATGGTCTAATTTAATCTGATATATAGAATTTTTTCTTTGTAGGTTGATTGTATAAAGTTAAAAGTAAGTAAAATCAAAGATTCATCTTCAACATCAAGTTGAAGGATTGATTGATCATCCGAAAAAGAAAGACGTACATCCAAAACCAAACTGATGGTTAATCCTTCAAGTTTTTATTGATTCTATAAGTGGGCACTGATCCTTGATATAATTCAATATAATCTTTATACTTTGGATGAATTCACAACGCCCCCATAACCGTGCATTTGGCAAAGTTGACAAACACAGAATGAGCATCAAGTTGAGCTTTATGAGTCTCTGTAATTCGAAATCCAACATCAATTGTTGTACTCTCTTATCAAACTGAATGAATACCTTGTTCAACTACAACAGTCATCCAACACGAAAATTGTAAAGCTGAATTGATTCTTCTCCGCCTATTGGCGTTCTATGTTTTGTGATCATACTACACACAAATCAGTTGACTGATGAGCTTGATGAAATGACTGGTTTCAAAACACTGGAAAATTGATTATCTCTGACCATTTAGCCATCATTGAACCCACCATAGCCCAATTCGTCTTACTTGGCTGAGGTTTGTAAGGTGGTGGCGTTTAAACGACAACAAAATGTGACGGTGTGACCTCAAACCTCGGATAAGCCTCTGATGGGGATGTATTTGTGTACAAAATTGATTCACCTTAATATGTATGTATTGTACACACATCATACAATCGTTCTTATTCAAAAGACCAAACCGTGACTTGAGTCATCCACCAGAATCAAAGACACAACAAAGAAGAGGTTTAAGGGAGAAATTATTATGAATGAGCAGATGATTTGTAATAGGGCACGACGACATCGCATTGTAAGACCGGGGTAAACTATAATAATTCTTTGTACTTTTCCTGAACTCCAGGATACCATCAACAGATCACATCTAATTCTGCTGGAAACTTAAGCGAAGATTTGACCGAGCTTTCTGAATTTGATAGTTTACTAGGGAGATTTCGAATTGGTCCTTCTATCATGTATCTGAACATCAAATAGAGGTTGACTCGCCTTTCGATAGGTCATTTTGTGATGAATCGTGTAGGATTGTTTTGCAATTGTTTTCCAAGATATAACGAGTAACGGAAGTAAGGTTATCTCATCTCCGTTCATTAGCAGTTCCTGGGGTTTTCACATCCTAGCACGATACCATATGGTAGCTATCTCTATCAACATAAGAATCTTTCCAGTTCAAGGTGTGCAAGTATTAAAAGTGTCTTGGACCTGCATTTTCAATCGATTGAAAGTACAAGGATAGGATTACGACAGAGAACTCATTAATAGATACACGCTGGTGTAGTACATCCCTGAAAGGTTTATAGCACGTTTTAAGATGATACAACATAGTACACTACTTTAAGTACTTTTTAAGCTCGATGATAAGCAGAGACTGAGATCAGTAACCAGCAAAGCTCTTGAAGGAATCCCAACCCAATCCCACATTGTAGACTCCAGTGCTGGCCAATAAGAACCAAGTTCCCACAGTTCCTACAGGTCTTCCCATACCAAGCTAATACCAAATCGTTCAAAAGCCAACCATAATATCAGTCATAAATCCTTTCAAGACATGATTAAAGCGAAGAAGGAAATCAATACTGACCGTATTGTTCAACTTCATACCTAACTCGTTATGAGCGACGCGTAAGGAGAAAAACGCGGCATAAAGCGCATGAACCAAATAAGTAGGAGCTCCATTGATCTATCCGATTTTGGAAAGAGTCATGAAGAAAGAAATGGAGATATGCGAGTCAGTCAATGGTCTTTTGAATTTGAGAAGATGATTCTGAGGGCTGACTTCTGCTAAGATGGTCATGATCAATGAGATGGGCACCTGTTCGGAAAAATTTGCATGTGCTCGAGCTGCGACCTAAAATGAAAAAGAAAGAAGTTTTGTGAGTATGAAGATCAAAAGTGGTTTATCAAGATATAGAATACCTGAAGAGCCTGAACGTCAGTTGGGGAAGCTACTTGATCGTCTGCTTTGTGGGTCCCTTTTACCGCATCAGGTCCAGTTCCTACCCTGTTGATGATGATCATCTTATTGGTCAACTCATTCGATTTTTGAAAAGTTCATAGCGATCAAACTTGGAAGACTGACACTGTTCATAGATTGATGTTTTAGATCATTCACACCATTAGACTTTAGTTGATTGGCTTGTTATTGACATAAATCGCGTTTTTAGATTTACTCACGATACTTAGTTTTTGCTCTGAGGACAGAGACTGATGCACCAAGATAACTGATGAAGCATAGACGTGTTAGTGATAGTATCTTTTGTTTTCATTTAGATTTCAAAAGACAGACTTGAGGAAGTCAACTTACAGATAATAACCAGCAAAGATTGGACTCCAAATCAATGAAGCTGGTGTCAAAATCAAATTAACTGTTGAATAAATCGATGGCATCTTGAATAAAAACTGGCTTATGTGATGAAATGATTTGGCTTATTTGATCGAAAGGCTCTTTTATAAAACTTAATCGAACTTCAATTCGACTCTAAATATGACGTAATCTTTCAAATGATCCGTCTCCGTCATGATCATGAGTATCCGATCAGATCGGGTAATGGTTCATTCAGGCCCGATCTCACTGCGCTTGAACCTGGTGCTGCGGGGTGTTGTTGATTGAAATTTGAAGTTCACCACTTGTGCTTTTTTAATTTCTCTCAACTCAACTCACCACGACGGTCGACCTTTTCTCTTTGGAACTTCAACCCTCTCATCGTCGTCATATCATGGCTACCAGAAACCCTTATCTTTCTGAGAGCGCTGCCGGAGCTCTCGATGGCTTTCGCGCTAGAAAAGTCACTGGTAAACAAGTCGAAGCCGCAATGGACCATTCTATCAATCCCTTCACTGGACGTCCTTACACCTCTCAATACAAAGAAATTCTTTCAAAACGTAAAGCTTTGCCGGTCTTCAAACAGGTAAAGTCAAACCCACAATTTATTCGAATCTTTCTTTATCTTTTTCTTTCTTTCTTGATCTATCAATCAATCGTGGTGTTCTGTTCACCGACGATTCTTCTTCGACATTATTTGGCTGACAGAGATGATCCTGTTTGACGACCAAACATAAAATGATATATCCAATCCAATTTCTGCGGGACTCGGTCGTAATCTTAGATGCCAGAGTTTTTTGAAATGTACAATCGAAATCAGTTTGTAGTTATGGAAGGAGAAACGGGATCAGGAAAGACGACTCAGTATGTGGATCATAGCATGATTTGACTACCTCGAATATGAATTGAGAGTTCTATGATCTCTAGGATTCCACAATATGCAGTATACAGCGATCTACCTCACATCAAAAATAAACAAATCGCGTGTACTCAACCCAGACGAGTAGCGGCGATGAGCGTAGCTAAACGTGTAGCCGATGAGATGGACGTCAAGTTAGGCGAACAAGTGGGTTACAGTATCAGGTTCGAAGACTGTACCAGTCCATCTACCATTTTGAAATGTAAGACTTTCAACTCGGTTTCCGGCAAACGACCTCTTGAACCCAGATTGACCCTCAAATATTTCTCAAGACATGACCGATGGAATGTTATTAAGAGAAGCTATTCACGATAATCGACTCGAAAGATATTCGACAATCATTCTTGATGAAGCTCACGAACGAACCCTTGCAACTGATATTCTGATGGGCTTGTTGAAAGACATTGCTAAACGTCGCTCTGACCTCAAGATCATTGTCATGTCCGCAACACTCGATGCAGTCAAATTTCAATCCTATTTCAACCAAGCTCCCTTACTGAAAGTTCCTGGTAGAACGTTTCCTGTCGAGACCTTCTATACACCTGAGCCTGAACCTGACTATCTAGAAGCCGCGATCCGGACAGTGTTGATGATTCATCAAGCTGAAGAACCTGGTGATGTTTTGGTCTTCTTGACCGGAGAGGAGGAGATTGAAGATGCTTGTCGCAAAATCTCGATTGAAGCCGATAATCTAGTCGCTAACTCCTCTGCCATAGGTCCCCTGAAATGCGTACCGCTTTATTCATCCCTTCCCCCTCAGCAACAACAGCGTATCTTTGATCCACCCCCACCACCTCTCACCCGAAATGGACCACCGGGTCGAAAGGTTGTCGTCTCGACCAACATTGCCGAAACTTCATTGACCATCGATGGGATTGTGTATGTGATCGACCCTGGCTTTTCGAAACAGAAGATCTATAATCCTCGTATTCGAGTCGAGTCATTGCTTGTCTCCCCCATCTCTAAAGCTTCCGCTCAACAACGTGCTGGACGGGCCGGTCGAACGCGACCAGGGAAATGCTTCAGGTTATACACGGAATCTAGTTTTGTGAAAGAGTTAGAGGAACAAACCTATCCCGAAATCCTTCGTTCAAATCTGGCTAGTGTGGTCTTAGAATTGAAGAAGTTGGGAGTCGATGACTTGGTCCATTTCGATTATATGGACCCACCTGCACCTGAGACGGTGATGCGAGCTTTGGAGATGTTGAACTATTTGGCGGCGTTTGATGATGATGGAAACATGACACCGCTAGGTGCCATCATGGCCGAGTTTCCTCTCGACCCACAACTTTCGAAAATGTTGATCTCGAGCTCAGAGTTCAAGTGTAGTAACGAGATTTTGAGCATTGCTGCCATGTTATCAGGTACGTGTTCACTGGTCTTTGATGTATACCAAACTAAACTCAAGTCGGTCGTTTTCTAGTTCCCAATCCGTTCTTGCGCCCCCATAATCAACGTAAGGAAGCCGATGACGCTAGGGCACAGTTCACACATCCTGATGGTGATCATTTGACGCTTTTGAACCTTTTCCATGCCTACAAGAGTCGTAAGTCCAAGTTCCCCGGACAGCACGAGTTTCATCCTCTGTTTGATGACCCGACTGAAGATACTTTCTTCAAATTCTGAATGATAGAAAGTGACCCGAGTAGCTGGTGTTGGCAGAATTATGTCGCTTATCGAGCGATGCTTCAAGCTGATAATGTGCGATCACAGCTCACACGAACCATGGAACGATTTGATCTCGATCTAGTCTCAACCGACTTTAATGATAAGAATTATTATACTAATATTCGAATGGCTATCACTACTGGATACTTTATGCAAGTGGCACACAAAGAAGGTGCTAAGGGAAGTTATACCACTCGGGATGGTCAAGTGGTGGGGCTTCACCCTAGTTGTGGATTAGACAATAATCCTGAATGGGTGCTTTACAATGAGGTATGTTGCGTGACTCTTTCTTTTGATTGTATTGTTTTGACTGATCACTTGAACTTTTCTTTTTGCAACTTATTTTCAGTTTGTATTAACTACACGAAACTTTATTCGAATTTGTACAGAGGTAAAACCTGAATGGTAAGTAAATCATTTATATATTTTATAAAATTCGATTGGAACTTAAGATGATATGTGAATGAATATATATATAGGCTATTGGATTTTGCTCCAATGTATTTTGATATGTCAACTATGCCAGATGGAGATACTAAACGTGCATTACAAAGAATCATTATCAAACGAGAAGGCAAATCGAAATCTGGATCACATGAAGAAAGAAGAGAAAAGAAAAAACGAAAGAAAGCTGAGAAGTAGTGGAACTTGAATCTTGGATGGTTTGAATGATTAGAGTATTGTTTAGGAGAGAAGTACTTTAGTGAGATCTGTTTCATTCATTTACAATAGAAGAAATCTTACTGTTATGTAGACATGTGATCTTTGGAAGAAGTTTTGTTTCTTGGTTTAGAACAGAGTTTTCAACAATATAGGAACTTGTTCAAGTTTGACCAGTATGATTGGTCTGAATGGACTTGAGTTGAAGGCTTTTTCATGCTTTTAGAAGTCTCTTGTGAGATTTCAGGGCCGGGCGAGAATGAGCCGGAGCGATTGATTTCTCTGCACCATTGAGGACCCATTTCCAGGCTCCACAATGCACATAGAATTCTCTTCAAAATACGGCTGCACATTAACTTGACCAAGTCCCTACCTCCTCATGGCGCAGACACCCTCTGGAGGCTCCGGGGGACGTCTCTGCTGTTGGTGAGACCTGTGTTAACCTAGGTGTGAAGTTGGGGCTGCACAAGGGACACAATTTTTTCTTTTTACAGCATGGTTTCAAGTTAAGCTTAACTAAGTCCCTCGCGCCGGACGCGTCCGCGTCCGCGTCCTCAGTTTCAACTTTCAAGTGTTCAGCACTGTGCTCGAGGTGGTCATGATGACGTGATATCATCCATAAACTTCGGCGTTCAAGGCCTGAATAGAATTTCATGTTCAATCACAAGGATTAAAAGTTGAAAACAAGCTTGAGAGAAATGTATATCAGAGTTCCTAGTCGCCCGATCACGTCCATGAGTTAGAAAAAAAGATTTTCAAGGGACGGCAGGCCGGCTTAATGGTACTCTACTTTAATCTGATTCAGAAACACAACATTTACCGCAAAAACTAGCCAAGGTAACCCAATAAAGATAACGTGAGGGCATAGGCAGTGGTTGCAAAGTGTGTTTGTTTTACCAACCATCACTTGCGGCGTTTGAATCGTTCCTAAGAAAATCAATCTTAACGATCGAGATTCTTGAGTGAGGAATGTTGGGAGGGCGGGCTTGGGGTCTAGTTTATGTACTGAAACCTCACGCAGTTGCGCGGTCAGAAAGTGAACCTAACTGTGAGACTTTTTCTTGGTTAGGTTTGTTGAATCCATCGGCAATGTTTTATTGTGCAAGCACTTGAGGTCACTTAACTTAAGTCAAGTTGATGGGGTCCAGGCCAAGCTTTATCCGCGAGATTGATCTTTAAAGCAACCTACAGTGGGATTCCTTTTTAAGCATTGCCTTTACAAGCATATTTTTTGATAAGCATCAAAAATGATGTGACCATTTTTGGTGGGCAGTAAATTCGGATTTATAAGCATTTTAAGCATATGCTTCAGGTTTTGACTGATATGCTTGTATAATTTCATGTGAAGCATGAAAAAAGAAGCATAACATGATTTTTTCATGTGTTTATGCTTCTATGTGATGCAAGAAAGGAGAAGAAAGCTAGGTGAAGTGGAGTAAATTAGGCTGCATTGAGTAGAAAAGCCAAGATCAATTGAAAAACTGTCTGTCAATTTTTGCTTCTAGGTTTCTGTAGTACATATTTTTCAATAGTTGCAAGTGCCAAGCATGACATTCAAGCATAGCATAATTTTGAGCATGTTTTATGCTCCTATAGGCTATTAGGTCTGTTCCAATAAGAAGCATTTTTTATATTAGCATGGGATTTGGTGCTACCATCACCATGCTTATAAAGGAATCTCACTGTACACTGTAAAAAAACAAGATGTATGAGGGGATATCAAAAGTGCAAGATCTTGTTCTCTTTCATATCAAGGCTTACTTTTCAAGAAATTCTGATCACCTGATGAGAGAATTCCAATGGTTTGATGACTTGTTTAAATGGAAAAATAAGTCCTCACCTTCTTTGTGAAGAGAATTTCAATTATTCCATGGAATTGTACATAAGTATTATTGATTGAGAGTATAGACCAGCTGTTTGTACATCTGATTCATCATCTCAAAAAAAACAAGTTCTCTTTCAAAGAGTCTTGTTATTCTTCAATATATCGAGCTTGTCATGCTCCACAGGCTATAAGACTTTCATTTCTGATTCATCAGCTAATCAGAGAGAACAAATGGCAACAGCAAGTGTCCATTTCAAAGACACCGTACTCAAACGAGCATGTACCCCGTTTGGCCTTTTCTTTGAACTTCCAAGTGCCTAGATTATCCATCTTGATGAAATATATGATTTTGACCCCGGTTCAAAACGAATTGGTTTTGTGAAGTGAATCCAACCTATCAGTAAAGCCCCCCTTGCAACGTTTTCCAAGTCGGTTTCTTGGGTTCAATCACCCATGATAATGTATCTTGTGACGACTTGTATGGTGGGTTTAGGTACACTGCGGTTCAAAAGATTCGTAATCTTTATGTGATTTCACCATCCTGTTCCAATGATGTTGTTTTCATATGTTGATGACATGCCCAGTAAAAACATGATGTAAACATATGTGGTTGCGTTGCGAACTTGTTATTCTGATCTTTGTTCAACACTCATCCTACATAATCGTGATGTAATCAGCAGGCATGCTGAAGGTATCAACAATAAAAGTCACACATACTTACGACATATTGCTGATATAATCTTCTTGGTTACATTTATGAAATGCAATACACACATCGTCCAAACATGGATTCTGGAACATGAATCCAACCCAGATCTTGATCGGTTTGATTTTGATTCAATTTTAATTGTCATTTTATTGTATCGGTATTGGTATCTCGATTTTGATTTCTGATTTCCTCTGTTGGCATCATTTGGTTTCCTTTTGGTCACAATACTTTGCTTACTGGGGCAACACAGTGACATGAGACGCTGGATACGTTCCGGATGTACCGTACAAATAAGAAAAACAACAATGTTTGTTCAACAAAAAGACTTTTAATGTAAAGAAGTAATTGTAGGTAGCCATAGAAGAAAATCCCAATGATATATAACAAAAGAAAAGGAAATGATGAGCCAATCCCCATTCAGTCAATATCTATCAGTACGGTACATCTTCTTGCCACTAGTTTTTGCCAGGGAGAAATATATTATTGTTTGGGGGTTGGACTTTGAGAAACTTGAGGATGAACTGAGAGGCCGATTGAGAGCAACAAAATTCGATGCAAAGGATATCCAGTCAATCCTTTGGGTTCCATACAAGGACATCCAATGAGCAGAAAAAATCACCATGGACTAGTGATGACCAGGAGAGATCAAAATGGGTCAGCAACTCTAGAATAACGGCTGGACAGACAGATACAAAGCAAGATGAAGGCATAAAGCAGCTATACTTCACTTACCAAGAATATCATATCACGATCGGTATGCAAGGTCGACAGATGTTCATCGGACCGACAATCTTCGCGGCGGTGAAATTGAGTTACCTGAAGTCACGCAAAAGCAGAAACACTCAGTTCATCTAGTACATGTTCCACAGAAAGATGTGTCGTACTATACCCACCAAGCCTTTCAAGTTGGGAACTGATTGGTCTTTGGTTGTATGGCCTAACTCAGGTCCGTATCAATAAGAAGAGTGATATATGAGGTCGCGCGAAGGTGGAAGGCGGGGGTCATTGATCAAAACCGAATCAAATCCAAGCAGCCACCGAGACTGATGAACGAAATTGGATAAGAAGGGAAACGAGGGAATGGATATGATAGTAGTATAGAGAAAAGAAAGTAAAACAAAGAAGAGATAATAAAAAAACAAGTCAAAGAGCGGAACAATGTGAAAAGTGATCTGAGACTTGTTGTCAAAAGGGAAATGACTTGATTTGAGTGAAGGTTTTCATGACTTGGTTTTCCAAAAGTCGAACCTCGGGTCTCGTGGGCTTGCTTGCGACAGAGCTTTGGTATCAGAAGCTCATGAACAATCTACATCACTGAGCGGTCCAAGATGAAAATTATATGTGAAGTACCTGGTGAAATCATAATGGGCACATTCAGTTTATGTTGTGGTCAATTTATGTTCTGATGAGGTATCAAGATACCTCGAGAATTTGTGTTTTCAAATTATGACCCAAGTACATCAGCTCTACATATATTTTACAAAAATTCAAAATCCACATCACAATCCATTTCTCTCGGACGTGTGATTTGCTATCACTCTATCTTGAGAGTTTCTCTAAGCCGTGACTAAGACCTAGGCACGTAAGAAGCTTACAGCTCTTTAGAGTCGTTCTACCACTGTAGACACAGACTCTATATGTATAGGGTTTGTGTTTATTGTGGTGTGGGGTGGGCCCCAGCGAGATGTTGAGGTATGTACGATCCTCAGATCATACCTCTAACCTCGCTGAAGCGAGAACGGGTCTCTCGGAGACGCGGGCTTCTCAGCCCCGGGTTGGTGGGTGGGCTTTGAAAAAGAAAGAGAGAGGGGATGAGAAATGTTGAGCAGGAATGTGTCTTCGAGAGAGCGTTAGAGTTGGAAGCGTGGGAGAAAATTTTCACACTTTCTTCCCAACTCGTAACCAGGCACTTGCTTCTGTGAGAGTACGTGCGCGCCCGTAGGCGCCTCCTGCTCTGCATCTCACCCTCTCCCTCGGAAATGGACTCCCGTGTACCGTCTCAGGCTTTGGGAACACGGGCAATTACAAAACAGATTTGTCACTGGTAGGTAAAGTCCCATGTTTCTCAAATGTGATTACTGGGGGTGTTTTGAACACATATTTGCCCTTAAAGTTTGCACCGTAGTGTAGGGGCTCTCTCTCGTCTCCACGATAAAGTTTCTTGAAGATCTTTTGTGATGAGCTTGATTGAGTGACGTCATACCCTCGCGGGTCGACCCGGTGAGTCAGCAATCGATTTGATTTGATTTGTTCTGTTGTGGTTGGAATAGTCAATCAAGCTTGAATATTTCCATTGTGAATATCTTTCTTACATTTCAAGATGACATTCGAACACCCAGAGACCAATGCGATGGACCAGGTACGTCCACCTTAACATAGAGATCCCGGCCTATCTATCTGTTCTTCTGATGAGGCAATTGTTTTTATATCAATCTATGGTCGGATGGTGGTATGGACGCAGGCGATAAAGAATGGATTTGGTGACCTGGAAGCGCTTCTTGCAACGTTACCACCCATGTCAGTAATCCCGCCAGCTTCATATGAGGTGGAGCTCTAACATCCAATGTTTTGGTATACTGCCAATATGATCTTAGTAAAGAGCAAACGGTAGAAACCATAACTGAAAACACCATCGCAGTAAGTCAATTTGAGGATAACCAGTGTAGTCCTGTTATCCTGCACTCACACACTTGACTGCACTTAGGTCAACAGCCAATGCCCCGATCCTCGAATGAAATTTGTTCTCGAGAGGCTCGTCACCCACTTGCACGCGTTCGCCAAGGAAGTAGGTCTTCAGACTGATGAATGGGTAAGTCTCTTCTCGTAAGCCTTCATGGGACCCACCATACTCTAATTAATCCTGGCTTGAATGGATGACAATAGATGCAGGGACTCCTTTTTCTCACTCGAACTGGTCAAAAGTGTTCCAATATACGACAAGGTAAATGTCTCCACAATGATCAGCCTGAGGACTTCCCGCACGTGTCTAGAAACAACTTAGTGATACAAGATATCACAGACTAACACTCCCCCTTTGGGATTTCCTCAGAGTTTATACTTTTGTCAGACGTCCTAGGATTATCCGCTCTAGTCAATGCACAATCTAATCCCAAACCAACTGGTTGTACCGAGTCTACCATCTTGGGACCATTTCACACCGAGGACGCGGCTGAGATTGCTCAAGGAGCCAGCATCGTGGCGAAAGAGGGGGCTAACAGACTCTTGATCAACGGCAAGGTAACCGATATGAAGGGAAACGCAATCAAAGGTATTTTCATTATCCTCTCACTCTGATTTAATCCCCAGTTTGGCTGACCACAAAGTGAATGATGATAACAACATCCAGGTGCGAAAATTGATGTTTGGGTAAATTCTGAACCACGTGTTTTATTGTGGTTTGTGAAACTAACGTAGGATTGATTTGGAGGATAGGAGACAGACGAGAACGGGTTTTACGATGTACAACATCCTAATAGAGAGGCTCCGGACTGTCGTGGAATAATGACCACAGATGAAGATGGAGCTTTCAGCTTCAAAGCAGTCCTTCCAGTATGAAATATTGTCCTCTTTCAATTACCTCAAAGTACGTATACTGACATGTCTTGTGATTTGTGATTAGGTTCCCTATCCAATCCCTTCTGATGGTACGGTTGCTGAACTGTTGAAGCACATGAAGCGACATTGCTTCAGACCTGCTCATGTACATTTCAAGATTGACGCAGAGGTAAGAAAGGGCTCAGACACTCAATTCGCTTTCTAAACCGGGAACTGACAAGCGCGTCCGCACCACCAAGGGCTTCGAAACGTTAGTGACGGCGATATATCTCAAAGGAGATCCATTTATACACTCGGATGTCGTCTTTGGCGTTCGAAATTCATTGATTGTTGACCCTGTCGAGCATCCTGCCGATCAATCTTCGTCTCATCCATACCGTACTTTAGAACAAAACTTTGTATTACCAACTTTAGATGAAGTAAAGCATCTAAAGGAAAAGAATCTCAAAGGAAAAGAGATCAAGGTAGTTTAGTTTACTTTCTTCATTTGAAGTTTTAGTTCTGCAATATTCTGGTTGCCTGATAGGATCACTTCAATACGGTTTCTGATGAAGTGAGCTAAGTGATGTATTCCTAGGCCTTTCTCCAGCTACTTGTACTCTCACATTTATTCAAGATCTCGAAAATTATTCCTTGTACTCTGAAAGCATGTTTATGTGCTTCTGAATATTTATTATCATTGTACCATGTGTCAACTTGAGAAGATGGAGAGTGAGACTTCAGGGCACGCACTTGAGATGCAAGATTCATTATACTATGATAATCAACATGGTATAGTTGGCAGGCAAGAAACACGGGCCATGTAAAGCAGATTATTCTACAGAAAACTAGAGATTCTTGGATACCTAATTGATGACGACACGTCCATACTGACGCGTACGATCCCGATCAGAACACCACAAGCTACAAAAGGTATAAAGGAGGCAGAAAAGGATGGGAGGAATTCTGGTATCTATATACTTCAGACATGCAATAAAGAAATCCATCTCTCAGGAAACCATGGACCAAAAGGAATACAAAATCTGATGAAGGACCATTCTGAAAGTTTAGGAATTCCACTTCTTCCTAAACCTCTTTCAAACCTAAAGGAATTAAAGTTAATTGGATTAGTCAATAAATGGTTTCTTTAATCAGTTTCTCAATTGTATAAGGATTTTTTGAAATGTACTCACCAATTTTCCATAGCAGGTGTTCCAAGGAAAGATAATAAACACCAAAGCCAAATCTTTCCAAATATACCACCTACTTGACGTCCAGTTAGTTTCTTAAAGATGATTTCTAATATCATACCTATACCTGAACCTAAAAAGACCCAAGTAGTTGAAAAAGTGGGATCTATTTTTGAAGCTGCCACCACCACTATGAAATGTAAATCGAAATCAGAAGAGGATCAAAATGATTGAGTTTTATTCAGAAGAAAAAATGGTGGAAAGGGTATGAATTGAGTTTACCGAATTCATGAAAAAGACCACTGAAAAGCATTGCCCCGAGCGTACTTGCTAACCTTGAGGCTTCCTTTCCAAATGGTTTGAACATCCAAGCGGACTGAATCAATAGGTATGAGTAGATCAGCATCGGATTTTATAAATCATTGAAAGCTTTCTGAAGAAGAATATACCGGATCAGCTCCACAGAAGACTATATGACGACGAAAGATTGTATGCCATCCTGAATAAGACCGGTGATAGGATAAAAGATAATCAGCTACATAAGAAGTGTGAGAATCTCGTTGAGTTGAAGTACAGACAGACGTTTTGACCAAAATTCGATCAGACTACTTGATTTCCAAGGTTGATTAAATAAAGGAGGATAAAGAGTACTATCCCATTTGCCAGGTGCGAGATCAGAAGGAAGGAATTTCGGTCCTAGATAATAAACTGATACTTCTATTAAGTTGAACATACAACCTAAAAGTTCGATGAGTAACATAGCAGATGACTACGTAAACAAATCAAAGTCAGGTAAAAAAAGATAGATTAAACTTGAGAAGTTGAGATATATGAAGTCCTTTCAACACAAATTTGATGATGATGATTATAGACTTACTGCAAATGGACCGACAACTAAATAAGGTGCAAGTGTTTTTAAAATTAATGAGTTTGGTAAATGAAACCATTCTTGTAAAACTCCATAAACTCCAAATGGATGTTGAGCAAAAGAAATTGAAATCATCCAAATGATTAAAAATAAAAACTGATTTAAGATTGATTTCTTTAATGTTCTTTTGACAAATTCTTTCATTGAGATTTGATTTGATCTTGGTACCATTGAAGTGGGAGGTGACCATGAAGTTTGTAATCCACGAGGTCTGATGTACATAAGAGAGAATGTAAAAGTTTAGGCTTCAATAGTTTTCATTCATGGATCATGGAAATCAAAGAGCTTACGAGAAAATCAGCCAGATGAGGAATTTAATCCTTTCGCCCATAGATGGGATTTTAGAAGATGCATTCCTCTTGCATAAACTTTCCTTTCCGCCATTTAGTTGATCATCCATCGAACCATCAGGTGATTTTACTTCACATCCATCATCATCTACACACCATCAATCTTTAATTCAGTCCACAGAATCATAAAGCTTACAAACATATATAAGAAGATCACTTACTCTGGTCTTCAGTCTTGTCATTGAGGACAGTTTTAGTAGAATCCAATACTGAAGCATTTGATAAACCGAATTCAATTGAAAGACAAATTGCATGAAAAGTAGCAAAAGAAATCAAAGGAAAGTTCATATGAAAGAAATCTTCAATCGGTTCAAATTGACGTATTCCATTACTACTCAATGCTAACCAAATCGTAATTGGCATGAATCCTAAACGAATCAATTTAGCAGATAAACTTTTTTCATAAAATGGATGTAAAAAAAAACCTTGAATTAAAAGACATAAAAAGAATTGATAACCTGATAAAGCTCTTAAGATTTTAAATGTATAATCCATTTGTTTGTTATTTAATTTGATCAGTTTGTTTTCAAAATTCTTGTGAATGATCTTTATGCAATTGTATTTCGAAACTGATGAAAAAGTCGGTTTTACAATTTGTTCTTGGTAGGAAATCTTCAACGTAGTATTGGGAGGGGGTATTTGTAAACTTTTTTCCAAACATTTCAAAGTAGCCAGCTTTCTTTCATTTCATCAGGAATGTGATGGTGAATTAATTTAACCTTCACATATCAAGTTCACCTCCTTTTCTATAGACATACATATATGACCCAGTGATTCTAATTAGGACCACTTTTTCGAGCTAGTTATTCTGACTACTACATAGCCTTTATTCGATTTGATTTCAAAGATTCCGATTGATATGATTCACGTGATATAGAATCTATAAAGGAAAATGAAGAAAAGGAGGTCTTTCTGCTTTCCATTTAACCACAACAAAAAACAGAAGAAAATCTTCTGTTCTGATGCGAGTCAATTTTGCAATTCCCTTTCAATCATTCGATTCGAATATTGGCCTTATCGTGCATGAGGGGCGATGATTGAATTGAGAAAGAAGGAACGATCTGAGGAGGAAGGGGCTTCTTTTACAATCTTCAGCTAAATACCTTCACATTGCTTGTCATCCGGTCATGAAATAAATTCTTGGAAGATGACTTGTAAAAGGAGTCTTTGATTATTCTTTTAGATTTTCATGGCTTTTGCGTGATTGCCAAATTCCCATTTTGAACATTTTAAAAATGAAAGACTCTCCTATGAAACGGCTCCTCACCTAGTTTTACGTACAACGGCTTTTCACGCGCGCAAAATCTGTTCGAAATAGACTACTTGGAGATATGGACCTGATCAAACAAAGATATCAAAGATCAAGCCAGTCAATCAAGAATCAAGAAACTACATTAATCCAAAAAGAAAGAAATCAAGATAATCCAAAAAAACAGATTTTAAAAAACAACAAAGTAGAAAGCGAAACCCTGGTCTACAGAATCCAATGGAATCCCCCAAAAAAATAAGGAACTTAATACAACAAAAGCTAGATGGCAAAAAAAGAACAAGTTAAATAAAAGGTGACTCTTTTAAACTTTGACGATTAAGTTTTCCATCATTTCATTTAAATCTTCATCTTCAATCACTTTCTTGATTGCTCTTTTACGAATTCTTGGTACAGGTATTAAATTCCCACCACATTCACACATTTGTTTATCAGGTTTAATCGAATTAGAATGTCTTCCATACCTATTTTTTTGTTCGTTTTTCAATTCGTCATGTCAATCAAAAAAAAGTCTGGAATCTCATTTAAATAAAAGTATGATATAAAACATCACTCACGTTCTTGAACAATCTGTTGATGAACAATTCCATTTGAATTTATAATCAATTTCATATGTATGTTTGGTGGTAACTTCGATTTGTGGTATAACTTTATGAATCTTGCGAGCCCAAGCTTTAAAGTATTTTCCATGTTTTTCATCCTAAAGGCCAACACCATCATACATATCGAAAAGAAGAAGACCTAACTGTCAGCTACCGAAAACCAAATGTAAGAAAAAGAAACCGAAACAAACCTTTTGTCTATCAATAATCCAAGTGGCAACATGACAAAGTTCATGTGCCAAAGTGTTCATCAATCTAGATTCTGAATCAACTACTTTTGTACCTAATTCAATCACCACTTTTTCTCTTAAGATCACACCAGTCTGATTATCTCTAAACACACTCCATTTAGCTTTACCTGCAGTAGTATTCAATCGATTACTCCAAATCAAATCAAGTTCGTTTGGTAATTTGTTTCCAAACACTTCTTGATTTAATCTTTCGATTAATGATTCGGCTAGATCGTCACGTACTTTAGCAAACGGTATCTCTTTCTTTGCAATGGGTTTTTTGGTCGTCGTAAGTGATGTTGAACGACGTGAAAGAGGCGTAGAGGAAGGAGTCTTAGATTGGGTGGGTGGTTTGGGCGGTACGGATCCGGTCATCTTGGTTCCTTGACGGGGTACGGTAGACTTGGAGCACGTAGGTGATGGTGGTGAATCAGTAAGATCGATGATCGGAGGTTGTTTCTTGGTAGTCTTGTTTTTGGGTGGAGATTCATAATGTGTTTCGAGAGGACTACATGTTATTCAAAGTTAATCAGAGAAATCTTTAAAATGTGGAATCAACAAACAAAAGAATCAAAACGGTTGACTAACTTTACTGAAGTTAAACCAAGCACTCTTGCTCGGTTTAACTCAAATAGTGCTTTTCTCTTTGGGTCAAGTCTACAGAGTAGCAGAAAATAAAAAAGAATTATGAATCAAATGATCCTCGTTGGCACTTTGACTTGGTTTGGTGGAAAAGGATCAGAAAGGTGAACTCACTCTATGGAATCATCACTATCACTTGCTTCGTAACGCGACTTCAAAAGTCGAGCTGGTTGATCAGCCTGACGCCTATTATGACTCATAGAAAGCTCGTGCGACGTTTGAGGATTAGATTTTGAATGATTCTCTGCTTCTTCCTCATCATCACTTTCTAAAGCTTGAAGTCTTGGTTTGCGTGTGGAGATCGGATGATCTATTTCCTCACTATCACTCTCTACAATCATTGATTTCTTATTCCTGTTCAGCGACACACGTCGACCTTTGAAGCATATCTGATCCTCTTCATCTTCATCTTCGTCTTCATCCTGTACGTCATCTTTCTCTTCATCTTCAACACCATCTGGTACGTCATCTTCAGCCAACGCTTGGTCATCTCCATCTTCATCATCATCATCTGAATCCTTCTCTTCCTGCGCGTCCTCCTCTTCCTCCCCATCTTCAAGAGTATCTCGGCCTTTTGACGAAACTCCTTCAACAAGATCCAATCGATCAACCACGCTCTGATCAAGTCCACATCCATGATTATCATTTTGACCATCACACTCATGAGTTTCGCATACCTCATTAGATACATTAGATTGATTTAATTCAAGTTGAGAGATCACTTCAGGTTCAGGTGGTTGTGAATTATCTTCAGAGATATTAACGATGGTAATTCTTCTAGACCTTCTTAAGTTTTGAGTCATCAAAAGTTTCTTCTCGGCTTTCAAATCTGATGAACTTCCAGAACTTTGAAACGTATCAGCAATAGTGATTCGTCTAGACCTTCTCAAATTTTCAGCCATCGGAAACTCCTTGTTAGGTTTTGAGTTTAATGAACATCCAGAGCTTTCTCCAAGATGACGTGAATCGGTTTGGGTTGATGGAGTAGCTGAAACCGACATATTCTTGAATAAGATTTCAAAGCTTTCATCAACAACTGATTTACGCGGTTTATGAGTAGGTGTTAAGAATTTGGAAGCTGGACCAGAAGATCGACGTCGGATTGAACGTTTGGTAGTTGTAGAAGCTAAAGCTGGATCAAAGATTGGTTGACTTGGAGCTCCAAGATCAAGAAGATACTGTAAAAGTAGTCAAACGAAAAAGGATTAGTCAATAAAAAAACTTGAATGAATCAAGATTTGGAAACACTAACTTCAACAGAAGATTGAGATTCATCTTGATGATTTGGATTAGAAAATTTAATTTTATTCTTCGTTACACTCTTTTGAGCTAATTGTCTTAATTTTGATTTAGGAGTCTTGGCAGATAAAATGAAATCTAATTTATCTGGTTCACCTAATATATTCATTGAAACATTTGATGAATTGATTTGATCTTTTTGAGGTGTTTCACATGACATGGTTTCTTGATTGATGATTGAGTTATGAAGTGATTGGGTATTTGATGGATGGATGGATTGTATTTTCAAGTTGATGAGGATGAGAATGAGGATGAGGATGAGGGTGAGGATAAGGTATTGGTTGAGTTAAAATGCTGAGTTGAAATTAAAACCCTGATTTTTTTGTGCTTTTTTTCTAAAAAAAACCTCAGCTCTCACCTTCAGGGCGCGTTGACGTAAAAAAAAAGTAGAAAATCTAATCACTTTGAGTACTATTTCACACAATCACTCATTCCAATGGGTTTCCTCTCACATCTTTCCTTATCCTTGAAACTTTGGATTGGGTTTCTTGTCTGCATACAAACATTTCTACAATGGTCAACTCATGTCAAGGTAAAGGTCAGTAATCAATTGATGAGTTGGAGTACAGATACACAGACCATCTTACCCTGTTGATCTTTTATAAAATACTTTACTACATAGTTCTTCAACTCAAGTTCAATTTGATGAGATCTGGATTCAATCAGCAAGGTATTGGATTTCTTGATTGTATTCCCAAGACTTGAATCACTCCAAAGGATGAGTTCTTTTACTCTTGGGTAATCAACCACAGCGTCAAATCCCTTGTGGCACGTCGACGTGCACACACGAAGAGTTAAAGAATAAAAGTGCTTGTGTTTTCTTTCGGTTGAGATTGGTGGCTTCCTGTGCCAGACCAAGCTTTCCTTTGTCAAGAAATGTTTCGCGGCAAAAGTCTCCACGAATGGCGGTTGGCCCTTTCGAGAAAAGGGTCGACACGGCCTTTGTTGTATCTCCTCTTCCACTGAACCGTTAGGTTCGAGTATTGCCTTTGTAAAAGTCTCTTGAAACCATTGACTTTTGAAAGACTGATTCAACATATGAAGCAATCAAAGATTGCTTGTGGGCAGTATATCAATCCAAAGATTTTGCTTTTCTGTCCGAGTTTTCTGCCTACATATCCAGTCCCTCCCCATTTGATAAATCTTCAAGTTCAAATCTCAAGCAATGCGTTGGTCTATAGTCTCTTTCCGTTTACTTTTTTTGTTTCGCGTATCCTGATTATTTTTCTTTCTATAAGCTCGGTCTTCGCATCACTGGAAGAAAGGCGCCGCAGCGACTTCCCTGAAGGCGGTGAACGCTTCGGTCTATGACAGTCTTCCAGATTCGAAAGAAGCTATTTGCCAATCGCTGGCAAGCTTTACAAGATTTGTAATTGGATATGACAAAGGCACTAAGACTTACCCACCTTCTCCCACCCCCGACGAACTCTGCCAACTTCGACCTTTTGATCAACAAGAAATTATGAGTAATCGACAAGTTTTTTCAACAGTACCAACTTCAGTTGAGGTTGGATTACCCGATACAAATCTAGACACATACAAATCGCTCTTCCTCATTGACTTGGAAAATCATGGCATCAGGCGATTTTCGTTTGCTTGGGAGCAGCCGGACAGGAATTTGTGGAATCGAACCATGGCATTGTTTGTTGTGAAGCATTGGCAATACGCTCACTCACAAGATGCATTCAAGGATTCAATAACTCCGGATCACAACACCGAAGCAAATTGCATTGGCATAGTCCTTTGTTGGATCCGTGGTCGGTCTGTAGAAATTCGTCAAAACCGACGGTCTCCTGCAAAGCTCCTTCAGAAGGAGACTCGCCGGAAGAAAATAACGGTTTGTTCAGTTTTATCTCAGTATCAACCTTTAAGGATTTTCGTGGTGATATCCTGTGAATTGTTTAGCTGTTTGACTACTGAGTCAAATCACTTTCCCGTTTCCTACTTGCGATTGATCTTGCTCAGGAAGCGTCTGAAATCTTGCCACATCACGACTGCTGTTCTGACACAGAGTGGCAGCCAGAAGCAACTCTTTATCAAGCACCAGGTCTGGCCTGGCGAAGTCAGCAGTACACAGCGGTCATTCATCAAATTGATCGGTTATCTTTCAAATACGTTTCATCTACGCAGAGTGAACTACTGGCGTCGCGAAGGTTTGATCAATGTAGAACACACACCACGTACACCAACACACATGGTTCTGTGTGTCCTGGCCTTCCCGAAAATTGCTATGACCCAGTTTTCCTTTTCAATTTGACTGAGGAAGAAAAGAAAACTCTTCAGATTAAACCGGTAACATCTTTTTTGAATACTTTACAAAACAAGATACCAAGCGCTCTGCTCTAGCTTAAATTGTGATTCAAAAGTATCGAAAAGTTAAGCATTGGTTCATGATAGTACAGACTGATATGTGATTTAGAACACCAAATGATGTATATAGAATATTCCTGCAGCAATTAACAATTGATATCATTTTTTTAAGATAACAAAATATAACAAATGATCACCTTGACATGTTTTTTTGGGTAATACATTGATTGACCGAGCAACTCATTCTTAACTTGAAGACATGTCTGCTAAACTCTACAGACAAGAACATTTCTATCAGTTTGAGAACACATTGTTACAAGTGGAATTAAAGGCACTCACCATACTTCGAAGACTGACAATGGAAACAGTTGGGTTGTCTATTCCAAAGGTTCCAGAAGTGTTATGCAATGCAGCACAATGGCCAAAAATTTCCTCGAAAAGAAAAGATTGCAGTATGAGACTGTGATTATATTTCACCGTGGCATTCAAATATGGCAACATGTGGTATGGGTTTTTATGATCGTCAATCGAGTCAAGGTCTCGGAACACGTGAAGAACAAATATGGGATTTGAGTGATTGTAAGGTCGTATAATGTGATGGATCACACCCGCACCTTTTTTGCCCTGTTGGAAGAACTCTACGTAACTATTTCCTACGTGTTCACCGTATATGCTGAAAGATTTACCGCTGTGTCGCCAATTAGACGTCATCTCTAAACTCACTTCGGTACTGCAGCCCATGGCCTGTAATAGTGGGTTGATAGAGGCGCTGATTTCGGGAGTTGGTAAGTACTTCTTCCATTTAGGTGATGTAGTATGTAATATGATATCAGCTCCGATTTTTTCTCCGTAATCCGAAGGTACATTCTTGAGGAAATTCAAAAATGACGCTCTCTGAGCATGCTTGGCTATCATGGTATTCCCAACAACACCTTGAAAGAAAAAAGGTGGACATCAATCAGATTGGTAGATCCCTAATTGTTCAAAAAATAGAAACAACTTACTACGGTCGCCGCTTTTGGGAGTACGAATCATTGTACCAATTATGCGCTCGCCAGCCCAACATGATGTGTATGCAGGTGGTCCTAGTAGACAACATTGAGCAGGAAGATGCTGGGCAAAATGGAGGTTGGGCTTCGATTTGATTCCAGGCCAGGTGTCAAGAAGGTGTGTGCGATATTTGACTAGTAAATGAGGTAGTGTGTTGATGTCTTTGTTGGTCATTGTGCAAGAAACACAAATATTAACAATTTGTATAGCAAGTATGATGGCGTTATGTATTTTGGAAGCATCAGAGTGTTCTTCAGCATTTTTGTGATATGGAACAAGTGAAAGAACCATAAATACTGTATACAAACTTAACCACTCCGATGCTTTTGGAGTACCAGACATTGGCATGCCTACTTTCGAGGGGACACGGGTCAGCCACGATGGAATAATGGTTTTAGCAACAGTGTTATGCACCATCTCAAGTTCATGGATCGCAATGCTGGGACCGGTTGGGATTATAAATGTGCTATCGGACTTTTCGGATGATTCAGAATCCCGTTTGCTTGTATCCTCAGAAGTTTCCGTGGCGGTGTGGGACTTAGCAGTGCGAGAGTATTGTGTTCGAACACTTGATACTTTTGACGTTTGACTGTTGTGATGTGCAGAGGCAGCATCGTCAATCTCACTCATGTTGACATCGATATCTCCAAGTGCTGAAGTATGTTCAACAGCTGGGTAGCTACCACGAGCCTCACTAGCCTCCTGTTGCTTCTTTAAGCCCTGGCCGGCAGACGGAATTCGAAGGTAAGTGGTTGAAAGGTCAGCTAAGAGGCCGAGAATGATACAATGCATAATGTCGATGGTTGAGAAATCAATAGGGTTCCAATAAGGTAACTCGTAAAATGCTGAATAGCGAGCTCCGTTAATCTTCATGAGTTTTTCTCTATCTGAAGGTTTTTCAGTGTCTAGCCATCTCTGTGCTTGCCTTTTGTGAGTTACAGAGGTTCGAAGGCGGTAATCGGTGACATCATGAACCCAATCAATGTCGTCCAGAATGATATAACACTTTGAGCAAGAGTTTGTTGAACGATGACCAGAAAAACCGGATACTTTTTTCATGGCGGGGATATCGGCAAGAAGAAAACACAAAGCAGCACTGATTCCTCTACCTTCTGGGTGAAGTGAAGTCTTGCTAAACCAAATTCCCTTCCATAAATCATGAAACTCCGATATCAGGGGTGCTAATATGGAATTCATCCGCTCACTTGTGGGCTCTCGTCGGTTGGGGGTCACGCCATAGATAAACATATTCTCTGAACGGTATCGAATGTCAGGCGGAAGATTGAAGCATATCAACATCATCAGGCCGGCACTATGTTGGCGTCCTCTTTTGGTTCCGTAGGGCTCGAACCAATCACAATAAAAGCCAAAAACAAGATTTCCTGAAGTGCGTGTAAATAATTGCCCATTTTTCTTGAAAGTGTTCCAAAGTGTTCCGTCCCAGACATCTTGCATGGTCCCAAGGGGAGCTCGAGGGCGCTTCAAAGGAGCGTCAATGTTGGTTTCAAAGGATGGGTTATGAAACATCTTAGCTAACCACTCGATTAATTTCTGGTGATAGAAATTTTGAATTGGTCGAACTAAAGCAGAACCTTTGGCGAATGGTTTATATAGCGGTGAATTGCAAACTATTCTGGTCGCAGAAGCCTTTTCGTTGGTAAATCTATGATTGTCACAGCTTGACTTGGTTGGATTTTTTTGTGGAGGTCCATGTAGAGAATAACAAACTTTGCACGATACTGTTGCAACTGCAGAAGGTTCAAGGTGAAAACACTGAAGAAGTTTTGCAACACTGAGGGGTATCTCTTTCCAAATAGATGCGATTTGAGGGTCTTTCAAAGTTAAAGCGGTCTTAACTTTGAGGCGTTCCAATTTGAGTGATGTTTGAGAGGCCGATATGGAAGAGTTCTTCAAAATCAAGTTGTTCAACACTTGGATCATGGACTGTACACATAATGGATGTTGGAGTAGCGTCTTAGGAGTGTAAAAAGCCCCGGTGTGAAGTTGTAGTTCATATCCAGGTTTCGCCACAAGGTGTGGATTGGTTTGGTGAGGTACATGTTGAGAAGGCTCAATTGAATTGAGAGGAAGTTCAACCCGCTGGGCATCAGGGGCCTTCAGTCGTGGGACCTTCCGGAGAGGTCTCTCGTCTGTACGTTGAGTCGTTGAGGGTAGCTCTGTACTATCCGGACTTCGACCACGTTTTTGTTTGGATGGTATGGCATCGCCGACCTTGATGCCAGAAAGGTCAAATGTATCTGCCGTTGTGACTGGCATCTCGGGATTGAAAGATGCATGATGGGATGTTGATGTGCTGGGAAGTGCACCGGTGTTTGATGATGCTGCAGCTTCGGAAGCTTTCAAATGCCGGTCATAATTTGTCCAATGGAAAAGACGTCCGGTGTGAGTTTCTCCGTTCTTCTGGAACTGCCGCGCCGAGCAGCCAAGTGGGAGACAGGTACAGCAGATGTGGTTGGGGTCGAAAAAGGCCATGGATCATGAATTAATGTATATATTCTGGTCACATGGATTGTGGTTTATATGATCAAGGATGTAAGTCAAAGGATGATGCAAAAAAAACTTGATTTGAAGAGAAAAGAAACTGGTTCTTTGAAAGAAGCGCTTCTGGATCACGTTTTCATTTAGGGCAGAGGGTTTCTCTAATGTGCAAGTGGTGGTTTTTTTGAGCTAGAACATTATATGTTTGATGTCAGTAAGCTGCATTTACGTTTTGTTCTTTGAAACCACTAAATTCTTGTACAGTAGATTGGAAATAAATGGCTAATGGTCCTCGAAATGCATGGGATCACGATCCATTTGTTTGATCACTTATGTAAAAAGGGTACGGAGTACATAAACCTCACCATCCTCTATGTGTTGGGTCCTGTCAAATTGTGGTACACAAATATCGTTCTGGAAATTTCCAGAACACTTTTTCCAGAACGCCAGAAGGTTTTTTTTTTGGTGTGTTCTGGCGTTCTGGCGTTCTGGAACTTTGAATGCCCCAAACTCCAGAATGCCCAACACCTGAGTACTGAACCCAACCACACATCCGCTAGCACACACCTCATACCACGCACATCAAACACCCTCCCACATCACTTTTCTCAACTCTCAGCACTTCTCGGTCTTGCATTTCAATTTAACTCTGCCTTTCCTCCTGCAATGGTTCGAAAAAGCCGACGTCGACTTCTGAAACGGTCTATTCACTTGGCAATTCACAAGAAGAATCAGTCACAAACAGACCTTTTAACTTTAGCTTTCCAGAAAAAGAGGAATTCTGAAAGCCTTTTCATCCTTCGGTGTCTTCAAGCAATCATCGTTCAGCAAAACTTACAATCCGAGGCCGTTTTAGATGATGAGCATGATGCCGATGATCGATTTGAGGCTAGGAAGCCACTGTACCTGTTTTTGCTGGCCGCGCTGGAATACCACTTGGCCAGTGCACAGTCTGTTAAGCTTGTGCTACTCGGTCGTTGTCTACGTCAAATCAATCAAAACGGACTCGATCGGCTTGAAGAGGCTCTAAAAATTTTAAATTCAACCCGCTATGTTCAGGATCGGAGATCGCGCGAACGCAAAGTTTTAAGAAACGCAGCGTTTCCGCAAAGGTTTTGGGAAGGCGGTGATACATTTATATGTATAGTAAGTCTGCTTTCTGATGTTTTCTCTTGGTGTCTGCTAATGAGGGATATTGTACTCTCACTGGTAGGCTCGAATGAGCGAGGAACGATTTTGGAAATTAGTCGATTTGATTCAATCAAGTGGTGTATTTCACAACCAATCACATCACAAGCAAGTCCCTGTACCATGGCAGCTTTTGGTTGCTCTAGCGAACCTGGGATCTTCGGGAAATGGAGGTGATCTTTCACATTTGGCATATATGTTTCACATTTCAGGTTAGTGAACTGTCTTGTTTGGTAAACATTGATTCTATTTACTGATCCGATTGATTAGTTTAGAAGGTAGTGTCCAAAATTGGAAGAATCGATGTATTTATGTGATCCTTCAAATTGAAAAGGACTGGGTGTTCTGGCCCAAAGAAAATGAACGACAAGAACTGAAATCCAAAATGAAGGATACTGTTTTCAAAGATACGGTGGGATTTATGGACGGAACTCTCATGCCACTTGCTTTTGCGCCGGTGAGAAATCCTGAGGACTATTGGACACGGAAAAACTTTTACGCTTTCAATGTGATGTTAGTGTGTGACGTACACAAGTCAATCCGATTCTATGAACTTGGTTGGTGTGGCTCGGCTCATGATCAAAGGGTTTATCGCTCCTCTTTAGTAAGTTTGTTTGTGGTAAGCTTAATGGATGAGATGGAGTTTAACTGACTTCTACCCAGCTCTTCACGGATCCTGCCAATTTCATGAACGAGGAAGAGTTTCTCTTGGCAGATTCAGGTTATACCTTATCTCCCCATGTAATCACACCTTTCAAACGCTCTGTTGGTCGCCACTTGAGGGATAATCAAGAAGCATTCAATCAAGAATTATCTAAGTGGAGGGTCATTATCGAACAAAGTATTGGTATGCTTAAAGGCATATTCCAGTCTTTAAAAGAAATCAGGATAATCTTACGTGGGGTGTCAAGTGCGAAAAGGGCGAATGCGTGGATCCGTGCGTGCATAATTCTACATAATTTCTCAAAGGCTGGTGGGGAAGAATGGCATGACGAGTTTGGATCAATTGAAGAAGGCCTGATTCACTCAGTAGGAAATGCAAGGCCTCCTCAAAACCAACCTTCTGGACAAACAACTGATGTTAATCATTTCAGGCAGGATACTACAAGGCGAGATGGTCTTTTTGCTGAGTTTATAGCGACTCCAAGGGGTTAATTAATCGTCTATCTGTTTCACTACATTTCAAAACTTTGAATCGTTCTTATCTGTTGAACTAAAATTCACAACTTTGAGTCGTTCTCACTGGTTTATTGGCTTTCAAACCTTTGATTGAATTTGTTTTAGTTTCACAAATCGACTCTGTTGTAAAAAAAATGCCACTCAAATTTAAATTTTTCAATTTGACCTTATTTATGGTCACCTTTTTGATAAGAAACTGATGATACTACTTCAAAAAGGTTTTGGTTATTCAAAACCACAAACAATGACCAAAAACGAGCAATAAATTTCAAATCAACAAAGGTAAAAGATAGAAAATAACTTTTTTCTTAATTTTATTTGGTGAAACAACGATATAAGTAAGAGTAGGGAAGAAACTGAAGGAAAATAATTTTTCTTTATAAGACTTGTTTTGTTAACAGACTTGTATTTGTGAAACAACGATTTAGGTAAGAGTAGAGAAGAGACCCAGGAAAACCGACTGGGTATCTTGTCTACATAGCTTCTGAAAGCAATTTGAAACTTTTCAACAAGTACATCTTGACAAACATTTGAACTTCAAAAACGAGAACCTTTTGAAACCGAATAAAATTGTCTCAAATCTGAGCAAACCAATACCGTTTTTTTATAAACTTGAGTAAGTGATTAGATCAGTTTTCAGACCTAAGTATAAATCAAAAGAATCAGTCAAGAAGTCTATCGCATAGAACATTGAAAATATCCTTACGTCTTTTCAACAGTCTTGTATAAATCATCAGCAATTATTTTTGCTTGTTCATAAGCAACATTGTTATCTTTCATGAATTGATTGATGAATTGTCCTTTTGCCATTGCCAATTCGAGTTCCATAGCCCGCTTTGTTTTTTGAACATCTAATCGAGCCGCTTCAAGTTGACAAATCTTGAGCTTCACATCGACCTGTGCTTGTTCTAACAGCTGTTCTTCAGTTAATAAGGTTTTTGAATCCTTTTTTGGCATCAAAGCACTGGCCAAATCCTTCATAACATCCTTCATTGTATTGCTTTTGAGTTCACTCTTGATGAGGACATCTTCAAGACGAGTGATTGAAGAATTTGACTCGGTGTCTGGCTGACTCAATAATTGACTGACTCGAGTTTCAGCCCCCGGTTTGTGAGTTCGGTGTGATTGTGATGGTTGGATCAAGCTACCGTGATACAAATTCTGTGTTTGATTCGGTTGACTCGGTTCTCCTAGAGATGAAATCAGATGAACATTAGTTTATACTGTATGAATTACAAGAGACAAACTCACCATCATTTTGAAAATTGTTGTTCAGAGCACGTCGAATTTCTTGGTTGAAATTGTCTTCCAGATTTTGTTCCTCGGTGAGCTGACAATAGTACTCATCATTGGAAGCTTGTGAGTGATCATCTTTGATTCGAGTGTTTGGGTCGGGACTCTCAGTGACTTGTGAGGCCTCGATCAGCCTTGATGACAGTCCCAAACAATTTAAAGAATTGTCAGCAGAGTTTGGTACCGCACTGCTTGCACCATCAAGGCGAGTACCCTTGTCTCAAGTCCCCATTGTATCCTCAAGCTCATAATAATATTTACAGTGGTGTTTGATAATATAATCTGATTCAAAACATGATCAGTCGGAGATTCAGAAGGGTGCTTGAGGATGGATTCACTCACCCTGTATCAAACACTTCTTACGGTTCAAATACTCTGGATGGTCATCAGTCCAGCCATTCTTTGCTTTCTCTGCTTCGATTCCATTCTTTACACCCTGACCAGTGCTATTTAGCCACATCTGACCCGAAATGAATTTTTTTCGAGTTCCGAAACCTGTAAGATAAATCATGTGTGTCAGTTGAGATTCAAAAGCTTTATGGTCTTGAGACTCACCTTTCCTTCCACGTTCTTGACACTTCGGCCATAAAAACCATGCTGAGCTAAATAATCGATGATCTCCTCCACCGTATGACTTTTCACAAGAGTCTTATCCTTGTACCAAGTCCAATTACCATAAGTTGTGATCCAGTTCAACAGAATACTCATCACAGTTTCCCCCTTCTCATTTTTCTCCTCTTCCCAATACACTGGTGCTTTTTGAGTGGATACACTATCGTTGGGTTCTTCTGCATCTTGTTTCTTGGATTTTCTTTTTGAATTGGACTTCGGGACTTTGCTGGTGGTGGCTTTGCGAGTGGATGTTGACATGGCCTTACCTTTTTTGGCCTTGGCAGTTCTTGAATTCTTTTGAATTGATGAGACTGGTTGTTTGATAGGTTGAGAGAGAGAAGCCATCGAATTGAAGGAGGATCCAAAGGCAGAGGGTGAAATTACAGTAGCAGGAATAGGTTGTGTATAGAAGTTTGGTGATCCGGAGTTCAAATTGAAATTTGATGGGTAGGCCTGAAGAGAAGATGGGTGAATTTGGAAGGTGAACGGTGTGATGACTTGGTTTTCTTGAGGGCTGCTTGGTTGGCTGGAGGTGGGAGTATGGTCGTCGATCACTTGATCCATGTTTGTTAGGCGGGGTATGTGGGGAAGCTGCAGCAGGCTGCAGCAGAGAGTTTATGTTGAATTTGTGTTTTTTCCAGAACACCAGAAGGCTTCCCGAAGGGTTCTGGCGTTCTGGAAAAAACCTTCTGGAAATTTCCAGAACGATATTTGTGTACCGTAAATGTTGGTAGGGTACATCAACGTTTTGATATTGGAAAGCTTGACGTCTCATACGGTACGTTGTAGAAACTGGGCAAAAAAGTGATCGAACTTCATGTTTGCAAATTGCATTCGTTCGATCACATATGGAAAAAGGGTTGAGGGTGCATAAACCCAACCCTCCTCGATTGGTCAGGTTCCTGGAATGTGACATCAGGGATACGATCACAAATGGTGATATTGATAGGAAGCTTTGGTGTACCTTGATGGTTATTAGTGGTGCATAGTTGGAAATGGATAGAAATTCGAGTTTGTTTGTTGAGAGGGTGATAATATTGTCATAGGCCAGCTGACGGGGTACCGAACAATTGTGATGTGACAGACAAGAGAGCAGTTCTTACATACCAATATCATATATTTACACTATTCACATCTGTATAAAAAAATTATAGCGACACCTCACTAAAACAAAGAATGTCACCATACACGCGACCTTGGTCTATATACAAGGAGGATAGGGAAGGTTTCTAACAAGAGATCACCAGGTTTGTTACTAGATAATGACACCACCAAAATACAAATTTGACTATATACAAGGAGGAATGGTGCAATTTGGACCGAGAGATATGGGCCTCTGAGGATCACAATTAGAATTCGGGATGGGCCGCCCTTCTATTTCCCTGTTACCATCGAGTTTGACCCATTAGCCGCTGCCTCTTCGGCAGCGCGGCTTGCCAATGATTTGAAAGAGTCCTGGACTTCCTCAATGGATGTCCTGATATCAAGGCGGTTCGATTCATCAAGTTGTAACTCTGCTATTACCAGACCTTCCTGCTGTTCATACCAGCTCGGAGAAACCAGCGAGAGTTGAAATCCCTTTGGAGGATATTTATCTTGATCAGATTCAGGTGCGTAGACGCCCCTGTCGACCAACTGTTTTGCTTTTCTTTTTTCTCTTGGTAGTAATTGTCGTTTCTGATGAACTTGGTCCAATAAATTGATTAGAGTGTCTAACTCAGGGCTCCTCCATTTGAGCCTCAACTTTTGTCGCGTAGCGTATCCGTTGGATGTTACAAGCTCTTCATCTGAGTGAACCTCGGGATGATCCAACATCCTAGCTTCCAGTGAATTTTGGCCGAACAGTCTGACTGCTTGAGTCAACCTGGCCTCCACGATCTAGTTTTTAGTTTTTCGCCATTAGCACCCTATTTGTGTGTGATTTGAGGAAGATAATCATGTTACTAACCTTAGCTTTGTTCAACCTCTTTCTTGTGGTGCGTTTTACTATCTCAATATGGTCATTGAGTATCTTCTTGCCTTCATCGGTCTTGAATAGCTCGAGTTGCCGATTTTGCTCTGCAAATTTGCTGCACTTATTGATAACCCAACGGCGAAGTATTTCTTCGCGATTGGCAGCAGTGTTGTCTGAAACAAGAATACCAAAAGCCCTGGCTCCGTTCGCATCGTAAGTCTTGACCCAGTGAGATAATATAATAGATGACATGGCCGAGTTCCAAGGAGTATCATATGATGCCTGCCAGTCAAAAGTGCACCTTGGAAAGCCTGCCATAGCTAAGCTGGCTTCGCACTGGGTTCCGAAATGATGAGCGTATCTTGTTCGACCACCAGACGACATGCGAGATGTGAAAATGACCGGTTGCATGGGGGTTTTCAGAGTCGCCATTTCGGCGGCATCCTTCTCGACTGTTTTCCTTTGCTTCCGGTTTGGTTTGAAACCAGGCCCTTTCCTTTCCACGTATTTACGCATTGCTTTGTCCTGAGCTGCTCGAATGAATGTCTCCCGCCTCTGTTTCCGAGTTTCCCAATTTTGGCGTTCTTCGTCTGATGGAGGATTCGGAAGTTTTGGTACTCCAGCGTTTTCCAAAGCTGATTGATTCCTTGATTTACGTGGAATCCCCATGAGCAGGCGAATGTACTCGTGGATAGCTCTCGCAAGTGGTGTCGCTGCCTTCGGAGTCTCGTGTTGTGCAGCTACTTTCCCAATTCCTTCGTTACAATGTCTGGTATGAGTCATTACTTTCAGTCTTGCAGCCTTCATCTTTTTGCGTTCGAGGATATCTTCGTGAGTAAGATCTCCATCCGTTACAGACAGATGTGATCAAGAATATTACAATGAGACCTTCTTATCTCTTTCGCTTCGCATTGACCAAGCCAAATTGAAATCACCTGAATCTTCCTCCTCATCCGAATCTTCCATTGCTTCACCAGAGTGTTCGCCTGTTTGCGGAATCAAGAAGAGTCACATTTCAATCATTGTTGCAATTCGGTTGGTGTCTACGTGAACGTCAGGGTACGCACTGTCACTTTTGTCATCTTCATCATCGAAACGAGGTCTTTTTGAAGCCCCTTTGAATGATGAGGGAGTGAATTGTGTACCAGTCGGTTGCGGACTCATTTTCAAAAATATACAAGAAAGTGAAATAACTAAGTGAGTGTATAGTTATGATAAGGATGATAAAAAGTTGAATTACAAAAATTGACACAGAAGTTTACCAGGATATGAAGAGAAGAGCAAATGGTGAAGGATTTACCAGCGTCGACTACCAGCCCTTATTATGAGCTTGCAATTGATCTCAATCATCCGTTAGCCCTCCGCTGAGCTAACGGATGATCGAGATCAATGCACCACAGGGTATTGCCACAAAACTTCTGACCGTTCCAGCTGTAAGAATACAGTTATCATTTCAAACACGACAACCAACTCGGTACAGTTCAATCAACACGGTACAATTCAACCAATACAATACATGACCTGAAACCAAACCTAACTTTAATTATCATCATAGTATCACATATAAATAGAAACTAACGCCACCAACCGCGCCACGTTTTCCTCATCAGTTCACTGAGGAAAACTGGCGTGTGAGTCTTTCTCTTCTCACATCATACTCAAATCCGAATAACTGTTGTTGACTTCATTTCTACTATAACCATGTTGTCTAGACTTCCTGTTCTTGTTTCTTTCCACCTATTTAGGTGTGTTCTTGTTATAGTCTTTGGTGTTCAGAGCCATAAAAGACTTACACCTGATTTCTGGTGTTATAAGGTGTGTTCTTGTTATAGTCTTTGGTGTTCAGAGCCATAAAAGACTTACACCCGATTTCTGGTGTTATAAGACTTCCTTTATAAGGAGTCTCGAGTTTATATAGATTCTCTCATGGTAGCGAGAGAATAACTCGATTCATAACCCTCTTATATGTCCTCACCAGTCGACGCACCTTCACCTACAAACTCTTCTGCCGATCCCACCGACGATCTTCTAACTGATCTTGATAATCGAGAAAATTCCCCATCGAGCTCTTCTGAAAAGTCTTTCAATTCGAATCACACTGTTCAAAACAAACCACCTGCCATCATGACTACTCCATCTAATCAAACCATACCCACTACTCAAAAAGAATTCGCAATCGCCCTAAATTTCAACTTAAGTAAAATATCAGCCACTGTTATTCTTGGAAAGAATAACTACACTCATTGGGCCATTGGAATCAAACGATCTCTGAGGCATCTATGCCTTGATCAATATCTTACCTCAGCCAATCAACCCGACGACATAACTGTTGAAGAACATCTCGCTAACAAGGAATGTCTTACGAATTTCTTGATCAATCGGATGGACCCCTCTACTTCAGCCTTTGTTGAATCCAAACTTCAAATTAAAGTTGATGGGGAAGTGGATATTGAATATGAACCGTCAAAATTATGGAAGATTGTTAGAGAGAATAAAGCTCCAGTATCAGAAGCTGCCCGATTTCAACTTGACAATGAATTAGATGAATTCCGCCAAGATAATCGCACAACTTTAGAAGCTCACTTAGCGAAATTTAGAGAATTGAAAGATGAATTAATGTTAGCAGGAGGAGATCTTAATGATGGGCAACTGGCAAGAAGACTTATTAAATCTCTTCATCATAACAATCAATTCATCTTATCTAACGTCTTTGATATGGTGAACCCTTTAACATATGATGGAGTTGAACAATATATACTGAAGAAAGAGAAAGAGATTCGAAACTTACCGCAATTTTCGAGCTTATACAAGAATCAATCATTTATACCAGGAGCTCATTCAGTCAATCGCAACAACAACAATCGTGTCACTCAATCTACTCGACCTAAATGTACAGCTGATCGGTGTGTATGTAGATATGGCAAAGACGACTGTTTTGAAAATCCCAAGAATCATGAGAAGAAGATCAGATGGCAACAAGAGTTAATCAAGAAAGGCAGATGGAGAGGTCAAGTTCCAAACCACTTACAATCGAATAGCAAGTCAAAGACATTTCAACATCGAAACTCATCGAATGTCGAACAAGAAACTGATAACGATCATGAGCTTGATGAATTGACCGACGCCATGAACTCGATGAACGTCTTGACTGATGATAGCCAACCAACTGTATTTCATATCGACTACTTCTGCAGCAACAAAGCCGTACAAGCCAAAGTTCCTAGCAATTCTTTCGGACTAGCTGACACGGGATCGTCACATCACATGTTTAATAACTTGAAACATTTTGATCGAAACTCCTTAACTCCAAATCCCGATCCCAGCAAAAGGCTCAATTTAGCTGGTGGTAATGATACACTTGAAATTCAAAAGATCGGAACTGCGTACTTATTGGATGTTGACGGAAACGTAATGAAATTTGAAAACTCACTATACGTTCCTCATCTCAACAAGAACTTGATTGCTGCTGGAGCTCTTATCAAGAAAGGAGTTGTCCCTTCCATCGATCCAATTAAATCTCATATCTTCAGTTTGATTCTCGGCAAGAAGACACTCTTCCGGGGATTCTTTTCAGGCAACCTCATGATAGTCAAGCTGATCGAATGCCCTGTACGTCAAATTCCCTCTCAGCAATCATCTTCAATCTCAACCATTCAATCTGACACTTTACTCAATCTTCACAATCGGTTAGGTCACCCGAATTTCGCCTACCTCCGAAAAATGATTAAGGATAAGATGATCGAAGGGGTTTCTGAGAACTTTGATTTTTCCAAACCTGTTGAATGTATTGCTTGTATCAAGTCAAAGAGTGAACGACCCCCTTTCTCCAATACTCGACCTCGTGCTGAAAATAAATTAGACAATGTTCATGTAGACTTAAGTGGAATTGTCAGAGGATATGTAAACAGTGGTTTCTTATACTATATTCTTTTTACCGACGATTTAACTGGGATGCGTTTTGTGTACTTCCTGAAATCAAAAGACAAGACATCAGTTTTCAACGCACTATGTGCATTCATTTCATTTGCCGAGCGCCAAAGCGAACGAAAAGTAAAATGTTTCACCTTAGATCAGGGTTCTGAATTTTTTAATTCTCTTTTCGTACCTTACTGTAAAGAACAAGGCATCTGGCTACATGAAACCGCTGCTTACACACCCGAAGAAAACGGTGTTGCTGAACGTTCGAACAAAACTATTACTTACAAAGCAAGGGCACTACTTCAACATTCTAACGTCCCACCCAGCTTTTGCTTCGAAGCTGTTAACACAACCGTTTACCTTGATAATCGCACTGTTTCTGTGGCATACAACAAAGGACTAATGACGCCTTTTGAAGGATGGTATGGAAGAAAACCCTCTGTCTCTCATATCCGAACGTTTGGTTGTGGGGTAGAATACATCGTCAGGAAGAGTCAACGAGATGGCAAATTTCACGCTGTCACTCGAACTGCCGTACTACTTGGATTTGCAACAGACAACTTTAACTACCGCCTATACGATCTCGAATCAAAGAAGATTATTACCTCCCACGATGTCAAATTCCGTGAAGATTTTTTCCCTTTTAGAAAATCAATCAAATTTCAGTATGATCACTTATTCTCTAAGAAAGAATTAAATGAACTTGAAGAGTCAAATCCAGGGTTAGAACCCGTAATAAACCTTGAAGACGACGACTATCCTTTCCTTCATAATCCTCGGCCTGACATAAATCCAGTCATCAATTTGGAGTCTGAACCTCCAAAAGATGTTGCTGATATTGTCCCAGTGCCTCACTCTATCCCATCTGAAACACCCGTGGAGTCTGAACCTCCTTCGGAGAATGTAAAAGATGCGGAACAACCTACCAACAACGAACCGACTATCCGAAAATCTACAAGGGATAGAAAAGCACCCGATCGGTACACACCATCTTCGAATAACACCTTCTGGGCGGACATCAACACTTTTATTGCTAGCGATGATGTTGACGCATATGCTTTTGCAACTACACCAACTGTCCGATTAGTCGACGAGCCAAGAACTTACAAACAAGCAATGAAATCAGCTCAAAAAGACGAATGGCTAGCTGCCATGAACAAAGAACTAGCATCAATTGACAAAAGGAAGGTATGGACTATTGTCCGTCGCCCAAAGAATCGGACTGTTGTAGGAGGCCGATGGGTTTTTAAGGTTAAACCAAACCTTGATGGGTCTATTGCCAAATACAAGGCCAGGTATGTTGCGAAGGGTTTCTCACAAGTGCCTGGTGTAGATTACCATGAAACCTATTCACCCACCGGAAAACCAGCATCTCTACGACTTCTTATTGCCACCGCTGCATTGAATGGATGGCCTGTCGAATCGATGGACGCCATTTGCGCGTTTCTCAACAATCGGTTAGATTATGAAATTTATATGGAACTTCCAGACAACCTGAAAGAGATATACGGTGATGACATGGTCGCATGCCTCCTAAGCACCATCTATGGACTGAAGCAGTCGGCTAAATACTGGAGCAACGATGTGACTGATTACCTCTTATCTATTGGTTTTAGACAATCGGAGGCAGACGCTTGTTTATTTATACGTATCACTCAAGATGGAACTAAATTTTCGGCCATGTACATTCACGTAGATGATATGGCAATCACCGGTAATGAAATCGCCCACATCAAGAAGCTGATCGCAAGTCGTTGGGACATGGAGGACCTTGGCATCTCTCATTGTATTGTTGGTATTCAAATTTCAAGGACATCAGACTTCTCTTACGCCATAGGTCAGCCTGCAATGATCGAAAGTGTACTCGAACGCTTCGGAATGACTCACTGTAAACCGGCCAGTACTCCCCTTGTCGCCGACCTTAAGCTCACACGCGCCACCGATTCAGAAATGACCGAATTCGCAACTCAAAACTTACCTTATCGAAACGGAGTTGGTTCGTTAATGTATTTATCTCAATGCACCCGCCCCGACTTAGCATATGCTGTTGGTGTATTATCACAACACCTTGATTGACCATCTCGGGCGCATTGGAATGCTTTTGTACATGTCCTTCGTTATTTACGTGGAACTACTCATTTATTCATTGAGTACAATGCAGGAGATGGAGGACTATCAGGCAATCAATCTTGGAATTGCCCGTATGGATTTTCTGATGCTGACTGGGCTGGCAACAAAGATAACCGACGATCAACAACGGGTTACATTTTCAAATTCCTGGGAGGCGCCGTCAGCTGGAAAAGCCGCCTCCAGCCAACTGTTGCTTTGTCGAGTACCGAGGCAGAGTATCGTGCGACTACGGAAGCTGGACAAGAAGCAACTTGGATTCAAACACTTATGACATCTTTAGGGTACACAATCAAGGAGCCGACTCAACTTCACTGTGATAACTTAGGTGCTATACATCTTACATCAAAGACAATCTTTCACGCTCGAACAAAACATATAGAGATACAATACCACTGGATTCGAGAGCTTGTGAAGAACGGAACAGTAGAGCTTCAACATTGTCAATCACACAAAATGATAGCTGATGTCCTCACAAAACCGTTAGGAAAATCACCATTTCAATATTTACGAAAAGCCATTGGACTTCATCATAGGGATTCAACTGTGTAGATTCATCTAAAATATTTATACTGAAATCAATTTTCTTTTTTTTTCTTTCTTCAATTTTTTTTATTTTCTTTCTTCTCTCTTAATATTTTTTTTCACATTGCTTATAACTATTTATCTACCTGTTTTGATTATTTGCTTGTCGTGCTTGAGGGGGTGTGTAAGAATACAGTTATCATTTCAAACACGACAACCAACTCGGTACAGTTCAATCAACACGGTACAATTCAACCAATACAATACATGACCTGAAACCAAACCTAACTTTAATTATCATCATAGTATCACATATAAATAGAAACTAACGCCACCAACCGCGCCACGTTTTCCTCATCAGTTCACTGAGGAAAACTGGCGTGTGAGTCTTTCTCTTCTCACATCATACTCAAATCCGAATAACTGTTGTTGACTTCATTTCTACTATAACCATGTTGTCTAGACTTCCTGTTCTTGTTTCTTTCCACCTATTTAGGTGTGTTCTTGTTATAGTCTTTGGTGTTCAGAGCCATAAAAGACTTACACCCGATTTCTGGTGTTATAAGGTGTGTTCTTGTTATAGTCTTTGGTGTTCAGAGCCATAAAAGACTTACACCCGATTTCTGGTGTTATAAGACTTCCTTTATAAGGAGTCTCGAGTTTATATAGATTCTCTCAGATTGTGGTTTTTTTAGTTAGAGGATAGTTGGTTATGATTATTATCAGTTATTGGTTTTGTTTTAATGGTGTTTCCTATCTTTTTCTTTGAAGTTTTGGGGTTCAGTTTTGTTGAGAGGTACTTATCATACGTAGAACAAGAATGATCACCTTGATTATGATGATGAAAGCTAAGATGTATTGAGGGATGTAATGGGTAATTGATACCCCCAGGAGGCTCCATGAGTCTAACCTGACTCACTTCCCTGGCACAGAGTCATATGAAGTGAGTACTGTGTCTCACTTTATACCACTGGGCCAACAAGCCATTTTGTTATAAGCAATGCACTAAAAAAAGTGAGTACTGTGGTCCTGGATGTGTGGGGGTAATTGGTGTATTGGTGATGATAAAAGTAGACTTATAGCATGAATCCTGTTACAATTCACTCTCCAGATTCTGGACTATCAGGCTCAGTTTGCAGATTGGTTTAGCTTTAGAAATGATACATCTACACCAATCCTTCACTCAGATGTTCATCACAAATCATGTGATGTCATAAAGGTTATTTTGTAATTTCAAATGATGTCCATTGGGTCCCAAGTAGACTGAAGTCCTCATTATTGGGTGTATTTCTATAGAAAGTGTATGTCACAACTTATGGAATTGGGCCATCATAAAATTAACCATCCTATACAAGACTTTTCAAAGAAGAGATATAAAAAATTGATATACATCTATGTATCATCACCAACAACAGCATTGTATCAAGATCCCTTTCAAAGATCTTACATGGCCAAGAAGACCTATATCATGATTCAACTATTTGCCAAATAGTACACCAGACATTCACAATTACAACCAAATGATCAACGATGAAACTCAAACATTGTGCATCAACTACCCAATCTGGTTTTGAGACATCTTCAAACCAAATAAGGAGAGTCCAAACAACTTATCCCAACAGCTACTCCTCCTTCATCACTCTCACTATTCTTGGTACGCAATAAATGACCAGCTTCAGTATTCCACATCACTTCCATTGAACCTTGTTGATCGGTCTTAAATAGACAAACACCTAAAACACCTAATTCCGAAATCACTTCCACAGGCTCCCGGTTTACGCTTGGTCCTGGACGAATAAGAACATTACGAATTCCTATGGGAGTTTGGATAAGTTGCATCAAGATGTAACCATCCCTTTCTTCTGTGCTTAATTTCTTGAGGAATTCAGGGATCCGATCGCCATATATATTGTGACCACCACCCTCACGCTGAGGTTTGAGAACAAAACGAGCAGCGGTGATGGGATCAGAAGCCAGTTTGAGTGCATGATTATCTAGTGCATAGATTGGCATCCATGTCGACCGTAGTTCATCTAGCTCTGTCTTGCTCAAAATATCGTCGAGCTCGAGTTGACCTTTCAATGTTTTCGGATCGGTAAGTACTTGTTGAATCTTCTTACATCCAGCGAGTTGAGTAGCAAGATTCGGACAATTGATAGATCTTGAGGATTCAAGCCTTTCCCGACCATTCCAGTTATCTTCACTCAAAAAGTCTTCAGGTCCATACATACATCGATAGTATACCACAGAGACCTCAGTACGTCGGCCGTTTTCGAGGTAATAAAGGGTAGAGTCCGATTCATCAAGCTCGGTGGAAGTAAGAATTTCGTGACATGATAGTCTGACCATCCGAATTCTATCTTTATCTTCGGCAAGAGCGTGAACAAGCAGAGCTTGATCAAACAGGTTCCGTTCGTTAGGTTGGGTGATCATTAAGATGGTGATAGATCCTTTGGGCTGAAAGAGAGAGATGTATGCTCGATGCGCGGCTGCTAAACCTTCAGCCAATGACGATAATCCATGATTGACCGGCTGAGGTAGTTGAAGTTGTGAATATGCATCAGTAGTGGTAGTAAGATAACTAGCTATCGCAGCTTAAACATATCAGCAATTATTGACTTCTTAGCGACTAATTAAACACAAATCCTTGATGATGAGATGAACAAAGTTTAAGTCACGAACCGATGTAAGCCTGAAACTTTAGTTCCCAAACTACCAAAACTAACACTAACAGTGTTAAATTCGACTTGCTTAATCACTGGGTTTTGATCCTGATGTTGTTCATGATCTAGATGAAGTAAATAATCACTCCTAAAGATCCCTAGTGTAATCTTTGATCCAAGACCTTTAGAATCAATCCGGTCCCATATAGAGTATAAACGTCCAATGAAAGGATCTACTTTTGATACTGATTTTCCTATCAACTCGCGTAAGAATTTGGGACTAGAAGCAATTTGTGCATATAGCTTATTGTAGCTTGTTTGAATTCTACAAAAGAAACGTGATGTTCAGAATTCAATCAAGATATTTCGACTGAAAATGGCTTATTGTGATTATCTCTCATACCTTAGTGCTTTCTCAAATTCATTTCGAGGAAAAGGACTAGGGAAAAGCGCGAAAGGAGCATGGGTGGCTCCATCTGGTGCTGGTATGATTGGCTTGAGAATAAGTGAATTGGCTAAAGCGTAGGTGATGGCCAAATCTTGCAGTTTTTCGATCTGATCGGATGACTGAGATGGAGGCCATGAGGTAAGTTGAGAAAGCGCCATGATGCTGAACGTCGAAAGGGCAAGCTGAGCTGAAGATAGCTGAAGATTTGATTGAGTGACCACTGACGTTGTAGAGTGGCGTCGAGTCGAGTCGATCGAGCCTTTCACGTACTTTCCTCAAAGTCAGTTTATACCTGATCAGACCTGTCCCACCCTGAACATGCCAGCCAAGCGAAGTTGCACATACTATAACAGGTGATGAACATTTAAATCATTTCCCCTTCAAAGTTCATTTCAACTTCAAGAGTCAAGACCCTTCACTGATCTGACCATCATTGACCAGACCCATATATTTTTCTACACCACTTCCTACACGAGTTTGTTTAAGTGTGTGAGCAAGAATGTTCATAGCAGAGAAACCAGGACCTGAGAAACAAAGAATTTTTTTGAAAGCCGCTTCTTGAGTCCACCTTATTACATAGCAAAGGAGCAGGCAAAAACCAGTGAATACCAACAACAACTTACTCACAAGTCCAACAAGTCGTGAAGTAGAACCAGATTTTCCATTCTATTGTTTAAATTTGATAGGAACATTTATTTGATGTGCTCTCATAGTAATCCTTGTTCATCAGATTCAAGCAACAGATATCTTGATATAGTTCTCAAGCTTCTTCTCATAAATATGATGCTCTCATCAACAGCATATCAAAAGTAGCTTTTTGGGACAATTGAACAATTTTTTTTTCATTTGAATAAAATCAAACTCCACATGCAATTTAGAGCTCTACAAGTGAAAGTACTGTTCAGGTCTTTTCTTATGCACCATACACCCTAAGCCATACATGACAGGGAATGACGTACATGTCACAGGTTGAGGAAGTTGTACACTAGATCACACATTGTACATCCAAGCTTCTCTTTCCTCATCCGAGTCAGAACAATCAGCAGAACACTTGCTCCCGTGCCAAACTACCCCAGAGCTTCGTCCTATCAAAATGATGATACCTTCACCATTCTGTGTATGGGAAAGTTGTAGTATCAGTCTTTCATTGAGACAAAGGATCCCTGGGACATACAGGGATAGTACAAATTCATCTGTGAGTGGTACCTGTTTTCAAGAGGCATGGTTTTTTATTATCTAACTTATTGGACCTACTCAGGCCTGGACACAGGTATTTTGTGCAATTGACAAATACAAAATTGCTCTGGATTGCTGTCAAATAGCAATGGATCTTTGTGTATGTAAGTACATGTGAATCTTGATTGATGACAGCACCCTGTTAGGTCTATCACATTCCAATGATTGGATGTCAACCAAAATGAGAGACTAATCTCCTCATGAGAAGCCATATCACTTCTGTTGCAAGCAGGAGGTTCTATGAAACCTGATCTTGTGTTTTTGATTGGTTGTTTAAAAAAAAAAAAACCATTTTTCTGATGTTTCTCAAGAAAGAAAGAAAGATCAAAGTATCTCATCAGATCAAGTTGATAAACTATGTAATTTATATTTGTGCTTTGCTTCTATTCAGAACTTTGTGCTCCAGTGGACAGAAGGTGATATGAATTGAAACAAACAAGATGTGATCTAGTTTTTCTTATAGTTTTGCATGTAATGGGTTCTTGAAGAGTCAGATGAGATTGGGTAGAGCCAAATTATTCATGAGAGAGTTTTAGCTTGTCTAACAACTACATTATCAATCTTTGTTTTGAATATTCCAATTATTAAACTTGGTTTTCTTGGCTTGGAATCAATTTATGAGACTCTCAAATGGATGACTCTGGTAGCCATTGGGTTAGATTTCTGATACACTGTATGTATGAACCATGCAGTCTTACTAGCCCCCACAAACCTGTGCAATAAGTGTACAACAAGTCACATTATTCTTGTAAATTTTGGATAGTCTCAGGTTAGTCACAGAGCAAGCGAGTCTTGCAAAAAGACTGATATGGATCTGGTTACACCCCTCCACTTATACCAAATTTTGTGCATGGATTCAGTCATATAGTGACAGTATCACTTTACATTTTCCACCAGATGTCTGCATGTGGTAAATAAGTCTGAAGTGTTGAAATACAATCAAGACAAGGTAGAGGTTAATGCAGTTCTTATGAATGTAGTTGTGACAAGTGTTGTTTTGGATATGTTCCGTTTTCATTTTTTTCTTGTCTGTGATTGGATATTGTGAGATCACACCAACTCGACTAAGATGTACATCAATCCCAATGAATTTCTGTCTCATTGTTATTGATATATGTGCACTTGTTGTTTGCTCCCTTTTCTCTTTTCCTCTCTTTCCCATCTTTCGGAAAGAGAGCGAGTTATTTTATACCTTTCACCATACGTAGAATCACTAACGCTATAATACCACTAGAATCCGCTTAGATCACTATTTGAGCACATTGCTCATTAAACCTTTTCATTTCTCACTTTAATAAATTCCTCCATTAACTAGGTACCTCTCTCTTGAATCTTTTTCTTCACTTTTCACTTCACAAACGTGTTATTCACCTTTCATTTCTTTTTCTTCTTATTTATCTTGTTAGGTTAGTACCAAGGTCTGCACACCTTTGGTTTGGAGAAGAGTGCTCACGTACGCACTGCTGTTATCAGGTTAGCTAAGAAATACAATCCCATCTTTCAGAAAGAGAAATCCGCTTAGATCACTATTCGAGCACATTGCTCATTAAACCTTTTCATTTCTCACTTTAATAAATTCCTCCATTAACTAGGTTAGTACCAAGGTCTGCATACCTTTGGTTTGGAGAAGAGTGCTCATGTACGCACTGCTGTTATCAGGTTAACCGTCTTCTTAGACATTTACATGAAGTATGTCTGAATACACCTCACTTGAGCTGTATAAAGTTGCTGCTCAATATAAGTACACATTGAGCAAGCATATTTTGCTATAGAGATCACAGTGAAACAAAAATGGACGGGCTTAATTTGGACACTTTAGCATATAGGCTAAAAGTATATATTTCATGAAAATATGAAGGGGGGGATTTGGTGGGTTTTATAAGGATAACTATGCTTACATCAGGCCAATATGCTTACAAAGATTTTTAGGATTGTCTAAAACCCACGGTTTTTTCAAATACATGTCTCAAATGCAGTTGCTGATTCCCAAAATGAGTGTTAGGTTCAGTTTCTTCCTAGTTATGCTTATATGCTTATTTTGAAGATCTCTTAGAGCATCCACAGCCATGTGGCGTAAATCATGTCGTACGGAAATTTAGGGCAAAATCATCCACAGCCGATGCCCTAAATTTTCACGTAGCTAAGGGTACTTTTGGTTGCGATTACGAATTGTAAACTCCGTTTGACCCCAGGTAAGGCTCTGACCCGAGCCCCGCCGGCCCCGGGGCACCCGTCGGGCGGACATACCCGAGCCCTCCCCGGACAGGCTTCAAAACATCTTTGGACCGTTAGTAGGACTCTTGCGGGGCTTGTTTTGGGGCTTTCGGGGCCAGGTTTCACTCTTGTTTCATTTGACAAACGGCGAAAAAACAAAGGAAAAACAAAGGAAAACAAAGGAAAACAAAGATGGATACAAAAGATTTTCAACGTAGTTTTAAACCATATTTAATCCAACTTTTTACACACAAAAGGGCCTCACAAGTGAAGGCTTTCATACTCATTCGATACTTGGTCCATAAACGACTGCCACCTGAAAAAACTCGCTCAGACGATACACTTGTGGCTGGGATAGCTAAGTGCGCGCGAGCCATTTGAGCCAGAGTCGGGAGGTTCTTTTGCTGCAACTTCCAAAACTCCAGTGGAGAAACGTCCTCGCGTTCGCATAGACCGTTGAGGTACGTCTCAACTTCCTCCTCCACTGTGAGCTTCAAAGCACGCGTTACAAAGCGTCGAGTTCCAAAAGTCAATCGCTGAGGTTCTGGCTCGGTGGTGGTTTTGTCTTCTTCGTTGGATGCAAACTTGCGCGCCTCGCTCAAAAAGAAGGCTTTCAAATGAGCCCGGTCGCGGATACTGGCTAGCTCCAGGGTCTGATCAGAGAGTTCGGAAAGTTTGCTGCGAGGATCCAAAATGTTTCCACAGAGGTAGACCGGTTTTTGCACAGCTGCACGATAATAGTCCATGATTTTTTTCTTGATCGGCTCGATTGCAGCTAAAAAGACAGGATTGGTGACCGTTGACAAAGCCTAAGTGTGGATGTTACAAGTAGTCAGTTTGGCTGATGTTTGTGATAGGGTGAACAAGAGAAAAGCCCACCTGATCGAGTGCATCAACGAGACATTGGTAGGTTGGAATTGCATCGGCAATAGTAGGTGATTTAGATGCTGAGAGTAGGAGAGAGGCCTCCTCTAAGGGTCGTAAGAACTTAGTAAACGATTCCAACAAGTCCCACTCAGATGGAGAGATCGCATATTGACTATAGTCTCCATCGGTAGTCAGCATGTTGATTGGTTTCTTCAGCTCGATTGCTCGCTCGAGACAATCTAAATCGGAGTTCCACCGTGTTTTGACAGGTCGTATGAATCCTTTGTTCAAACCACACGACTCGGCCAACTTCATGAAAGACTGGAGACGTTGAGGTGACTTGTAAATATACGAAATTAGTGTATAAAGCCTCTTGAGGGCACTGTTTCCAGACTGTGTTACAGTAGCATTTTCAAGCCAACCATCCAGATCAATCGCTTCTGAACTAGTATCGGTCTCTCCCAAAACCTTACTGAACATCTTGAGTCCAGCTTGAGCGGCTAGATTCACAACATGAGCCATGCAACCCAGGAGTTGAGATTTGGCATCGAAGTTAGGAATGTGTGGTTGAAGAAGTCGTGCCATAGCAGAATTAGTGCTGGCATTATCGGCTGTAAAAGTGAAAACCTTGTCTAATATGTTGAAGTCGTTGAGTGTCTTTAAGAGGAGCTCGACCAAGTTTTCAGCTGAATGATCACCCTCGATCTCTTTCACAGCTAATACTATCTCTTGAATCTGAAACTTGTGGTCAATCCAGTGAACTGTGATGCCGAGAATTGATTTTTGAGAGGGTGCAGACCATCCATCAAAAGTCAGAGATACATGGGGAACTTCTTTCAAGATGTCAATGATCTGGAGCGAGAGGGATCGAAACTGAGACTTGATGTATTCAGCTTGCGTAACAGAGCTATAGTGAAGATGGATGGCTTCCCGATTTACTAAGTCAAGAAGGTCGCGGAACTCTGCACTCTCTACCATTAAAAATGGGAGTTCTTGCATGACAATGAGGCGGGTGACTGCTACTTTGAAGGTCGAAGCATTCAGCTTATGAACCTACAAGGAAGAGACAGATGTAAATCCAAAAATTGATCAGTCACCCAACAAGAAAGAGGTGCACAAAATTGAAAAAGTAAGAAGCTAACTGCAACAACACGGCCCTCCTTCGCATACTTGTCCATATCAATCGCGGATTCTTCTCTCACAGATTTTGATGTGATATCGTGTTTTCGGTCTAGATGTCTACTCATTGATTTTGTTGATGCTGTCTTATCTGGGGTGAGTCAAGAAAGGCACTGATCATCGCTTCCTGGTTTGACTTTGGCATGGCAGACCAGCACATTATTGCCGTTGATTGTTTCCTCGGTAAAATAATTCCAGACCCAAGAAGTCTTTGAAGCGGACTTTTTCCAAGCATTTGGCTGGGAAGGTTTCGAAATAGGTTGAGTTTGGGGATCCTTCTCCGTTTGCCATTCCGAGTCAGAATCCTCTTCAGCTCTTCAGAGTCGATAACAATGGTTTTTTTTTTGTTGGCTTTTGGTGTTAAAGATTTTCGAGGGCGTTTGAGGGTCGATGGTGAGAGTGCCATCTTGAAAGCAAGGGAAATAGGCTCAGCAAGGGACGTGGAAGGGCATAGAATTGCGGTATAATGATGATAAAACCTGGTCTCATGTAGGTTTTGAACTTTGAAAAGAAAAAAAATCGGGTCTGCCCCGTGCCCGCCCGAGGTAACCTCGGCCCGAGGTCGGGCTGGCCACGAAAAGATCGGGTCAGGGCCGGGTCAGACCCTTAACCCCAGGTACATTGCCCCGGGGCAATTGAGTTTATTGTTCAAATTGATTTTTCATCAAATAAACTCCGTTTAGGGTACATTGAAAAAAAACACGTTTGGTTGAAAATCCCAACCAGATGTATCTTATAGTAAACTCTCTTTGAAGTTTTCTCACCTCAGCTCACCTCACTTCACATTCTACCACTCCACATCCACCCATATGGATGTCCTCTGGTGATCTCCAATACAATTAATGATCATATGATACGGCCTTTGTCCCCATCCGACCATTTTTTGCCCAAACACGCTCACAATAACAGAAACGTCACCAAATTCAACTCCACCACTTCCTATTTATCTCATCTTTCAAGAGTGATTTGTTTTGGAATTTTTTGAAGTTCAACAATTGATTGATATGACTGATTGAATGGAATTGAATGATTGATTGGTTTTGAAAAATTGGTTCAAATTGACCGATTGATTGAAATCACACAATTGACTGGAAATTGGATTGATAACTCGTTCCTTCAATCAAAATTGGTTTTCGAGATTTCATTTCAATCACGAAAGAAAATAACTTTTTACACAGAAAAATCAATTCAATTCTAGATTCATATTTGAGAAACAAAAGATAGATTTGAGAAGATGATTGGTCAGATAAAAGCAGAAGGAACGGCAGCCAGGCGCAAGAAGTAGAAGTGAAAATTGGCTTGTGAGTCTTGAGTATGATGGTGTAGTGTTGAAGATGTTGATTGAGTCAAAGAACAAACATCTTATGCAGTGAATACATATTGGATCGATTGAGAAGGGTTGAAGTCTTTCGAGATGAAATTTTCTCAAGTACAAAAGGGAGTTTATTTCACGGATAAACTCCCTTTTGGCGTTTATCCAAAGTCCCGTTTTAAACTCCTTTAGGGACAGGGAAGGAGTTTATTTCTGGGTACCATAAGTGGTCCCAAACGTGTTTTTTTAACAGCAATTATTTTGCAAAATAATCGCTATTATTCAAAATAATCGCCGAAAATAATCGCTACCAAACGTACCCTAAGGGAATTCCCTCCGTGCGAGCCAAAATAGGCCAAATATGTTCTATTTTGGCTTGCTCCCTAAATTCATCTGTACCTCGCTTCTCCCATAACTCCCACTTCCACGACCGCACTCCCTGCAGAATATCTCCCTCGATGGCCAACTAACCCATAACTCACTTCACAAAATATGCTACAAGCCGTAATGTACAACACCACGGCTGTGCATCGTTTGAAATCTATGCCTCAAACACTTGCCTAAACGATCCATGCGACGCTCCGTACAATACGATTTTACGGCACGGCTGGGGATGCTCTTAGTGGTACACAAACATCTCAAGCTGACCTAATAAAACCCATGGCAACCCAACTGATTTTTGGTTTTTTAGCGCTAAAAACTCAAAATCAATCGGGTTGCCATGGATTTTTGGAATGAGGTCGGGTTGAGACGTTTGTGTACCACTATTGCACCTTTATAGAATCAGGTTTGGTGTATTTATAGCATCCACAGCTGTGTCGTAAGTTTGTTTTGTATGGAGGGTTGCACAGATTGTTTTGGGAAGTCTTTGAGGTATGAAAGTTGAACCTTGTACATGTTTCCCTACACTACGGGTTGCAGCACAATTGGGGAGGTTTGTCATGGGTTATTGATCATCAAGGGAGATGATTTGCAGAGATTCTGGTCTTACAAGTTGGAGTTTATGGGGAAAGTGAGGTACAGAAGGATTGAGGGTGCAAGCAGAAAAAGAACATCTTTGGCCTGTTTTGGCTCTCACATACAGAGTTGCCTCAGCTAAGTTTATATCTGGGGGATAAAAATGCCCCAGATTTATATATGACACAGTTTGTGGCAATGGGCAGCAACTATACAAACTGTGATGGTATCTGCAGTTGCAATCATGATTCAAGTATGGTTCAAAGACATCTCTTGGGTTATATAATCTCATATTTGATCCTTACTTATCCATTACTCATCTTTACTTATTGACTATTCATTTTATATTATGATGTCATATTTGTTAGTAATCAGATCATATGCTGTGACCGGTTTTGGTGATGTCTTTGGTATAAAAAGATGAAGGCTCTCAACTACTTTGACTTTTTCTCTTTTTCTTTCCCAATTCTGTTCCATCACTTTGAGCAGGTTTGCTTGCTCAGTTTTGGTCACTGAGAGTATTATCTCTACTAGTTGCTGACTAGTCTTTTCCCTCAGGACATTTTCATTCTTACTTTCCTTTTAATGCTCTTGTGCTGTTAATATAGATCTAACCAATTCTATTCCATCACTTTGCGCAGGTCTTCTCGCTCACTTTTGGTCACTGAGATCATAGCCGCATCAGCAAACAGACATATGAAGGTCATCAAGATGCTCGCAAAACGTGTTTGTGAGAGATAATTCAGCTTTTCTTACTGATTCTCTTTCAAACACATTGTCTCGACATCGGGCAGGACCTTTAGTGAGGTGATACGGCTTGCACCTAATCGATAGCATGATCAACCAGAGAAAACATGCCTCAGTAGCGATCTGAATCAAACTTTCCCAATACCATCCTCACCTAGACATTTTTTTCTATCAATCCTAACAATAAATTCTCATTTTATAAATGCCTATCTATCCGCTCATTCCTACACCTAATGATGATCATCCTACGAAAAGCTCAATAATTCAAGACAAAACTGAACAAACCATCCTTAATGTTCTCCTTCCATGGATCGAGAAAGAAGGCGAAAAAGATAACGATACCACAGCTGAGGATGAAGATAATGACAGTTATGATTCTGATGAAAGGGATGATCAGAAACCTCAAAAGGACTTGATAGGGTCTTTTACATTAAAGCGAAAAGCTCACGCCAAGTTCTTGATTCAAAGTCTAACTCGTCCATCGAAGTGCTACATCGGTAGTGACACTATGAAACCGACGGTTATCTTCTGGCTCTTGAATTCCTTGTCAATGCTTGATATCACCTTGAACACCTCCGATCGCCAAAGAACAATCGAGACCATTCTGGCATGCCAACATCCCTTTGGAGGCTTTGGTGGTGGACCTGATCAAGTTGGGCATCTTGCCCAAACCTTCTCATCAATATCTGCACTGGTCATCTTACTCGGTGAAGCAGATGAAAAGATCGTGAAAGAAACTTGGAATCGGGTCAACATAAAGCAAATCTACAAGTGGGTTCTAAGTTTGAAGTCGCCTGAAGGCGGGTTTTCAATGCAACAAGATATCAAGTTGGACGATGATAAACTTCATGTTGGTGAAGTTGATACTCGTGCAACTTATTGTGTATTAGCAATTGCCACGCTACTTAACTTCCTCACACCACATCTTGCAAGAGGATTGCCAGAGTTCATAGCAAGTTGTCAAACTTATGAAGGTGGAATAGCTTCAAGTTCTGATTTGATCCCCACAGGACCTGATCAATTTATTCGAGTTCCACATGGTGAAGCTCACTGTGGTTACACATCTTGTGGAATAGCTTCTGATTTTTTATTAAAAAGTCTTTCTGATTCAATACCAATGGTTTCACTTGATTATGATGCATGTCTAGATTGGATGTGTAGAATGCAGGCATTACCAATCGAAGGTGGTGGATTCAGAGGAAGAACAAATAAACTTGTCGATGGTTGTTACAATTGGTGGTGTGCTGGTTCTTTCCCCATAATTGGTGCATTGATTTCAGAAAAGCATGATAGTCTGATCCATGAAGCTGAACAGGATATTGACTATGAAGATCTTACATTTTATGACCGCCAAAGTTTACAAGAATACGCTCTTCTTGTATCTCAAGTTCGATCAGTTGATGGAGGTCTATGTGATAAACCTTCGTTGGATCCTGATTTATATCATACTCATTATATTCTTTCTGGCCTCTCATCTTCTCAACATCAAATTACATCCTCATTATCACAAAAGAAAAAGGCCAGGAAAGAGTTTGATCTAAGGTCAATTGATCCTACTTACAAAGGAGTTGATGAAACTATTGAGAAGGCTTTGCAAAGAACTAGATCAATCTATTGTCGTGCACTCTCTTGGGCCGCACTCAAACAGCATGAATTTATTGTTGGTCCCTCCAAAAACAAACTTATACCTATTCATCCGATTTTCAATACGCGGATGGAATACGTCAAAAAAGCTATGGATCACTTCTACCTAGCAGCTGTGTACGTGTGAAGAACAAAAGGATCAGGTCTGAACTCCATTGATCTTCACCGGCATATGTATCGTCACATCCCTTAGCTTGGCTCTCGACGTCTTCTACATAATTACATGCTTGTGACCATCTTCTCACATCAGTTCATGAGAGAAAAACAAGATCCAAAGGTTCCTTGGTTTTAACAAAACATAAAGAAATTCTGAAAACTTGATTTGATGAAGATACCCATAGAAAAATTTCAAACTACCTTTCCTAATGTTGTGAGCTATGATTGATTCTTATCTAGTGATCTGATCTTCTCATTGTGACTTAGGAAGTAAATTCCTCTGCTGGTTTACTCTCATGAATTGTATATGACTTATTCGTTGGCAATTTTAGGATTATCTCATGGAGCATGAACGGAATCCCTCTGACTTAGTCTTAGTGAACCCGCTTACATGGGCTTGAAACGCCGATGATCAAGACATTATGTGAATCTGCCAAGCTAACAACTCGCTTTGAGTATACTCTGACTGGAAATATCAACTTCATGCTTGATTTTATAGTGAGGAGAACTCTCCAGAGAGATTCCATATCATGGCCACCCATCACATCTTGCCCTCAGTATCTCCTATGGACCTTTTAACATTTCAAACCTTCAAAAATGTTCAAGATGTCATCCTGCATGGTAGAACTAAAATGGGGACTCTTATTACAGAACACACCCACAGACTGTCTGCTCGTGTTTTAGAACAACACTCATGACTTGATCACAACTTCTTGTGACTTTTCTGTATACTGAGTTAGACACTAACCTTGCGGTACTCATACCATCTCCAAGCTTTTCAAGACCTCCTGAATTCATCAAACTTTAACAACTTTAAAAAGTAAAAATCACATCATAATCCACCTTTAAACCAGAAAATCTTACAAATATGCAATTTAACGATAAATGTTTAAAAAAAACTCGATGAACCCAAAAAAAAGAAAAAAAAGTACGAATTTGTGAATTGAAAAAAAAAGTTTAGATCAACAAAATAACAAAAAGTAACATGTTTGATTATGAGTTTTTTGTCTTGTCTTGTTTTGTTTTCTCCTTTTCTTTTCAAATCAATATAATTCTTTCATGAATCCAAACCAAGAGATAGATTTAAAGAAATAAGAAAAACGATCAAATTTGGGTGAACATCAATTTTCCTTGAAGATGATCATGTAATCATCCAACCCGTTTCAAAAAAAAAAGAATACCACTCTACAACATAAACCAATTTATAAAAAACCATCTAACCGTTTATAAATCACGAAGATAAAAATAATCCATTGTTTTCTTCACATATTCAGATCGAATATTAAAAAGAGGATGAATAGGTATAAGTTGATTGGCAGGAACTCCGACCACCAGTTTTTCTTTCTCATCAAGTAAAACCCATGAATTCGAACGACTATAAATCGATTTACATCTTTCCATACATTCTTCAATCGTTTCATCTTTACCTTTGAAGGATGGAGCTTTGAGTCTTAAATCGAACTCGAAACTCATCATCTTGTGTTGTTCTTTAGACATTCGATGTTGGTTTTGAGCTGATGAAAGACCAGAGAGAATGTAATGAGTATGATATTGATCAGGTGGAACTGTTGGTTTATCTCTTAGTCCTCCTAGGATTGGTTCAGGAGCTTGACCCTGAGAGATGAGTAAGATGTACTCCTGTAGCCCCTTTCGGTCATAAAGGCCTTTGAATGATTCTTCTGCTCTAGTTGTTTCATTATCCTTTTCCCTTTCTTCTTCTTCAATTAACTCCTCTATCACTTGAACTAATCCACCACACCACCAACTGTAACAACCATCTACAAGTTTATTAGTCCGTCCTCGAAATCCACCACCTTCGATTGGTAAGGCTTGCATAAGTGCAAGCCAACGAAGACAAGCTTGATAATCTAAAGGTTCAATAGAACCAGGTAAACTTTTTAATAAACAATGTGAAAGTACACCACATGAAGTATAACCACCATGAGCTTCACCTAAAGGAACTCTAATAAACTGATTTGAATCAGAACCATTGATTTGAATTGATTGAGAAGTAGAAGCTAAACCACCTTCATAAGTTTGACAACCTGAGATAAAGTTAGATAGTCCAAATGAAAAGTCAGGTGTAAGGAAATTAAGTAAACTAGCTACTACCAAAGCACAATATGTACCACGAACATCAATCTCTCCATCCTTGTGCATTAGAAAACTTCCATCTGTTTGTTTTAAACTGATCATCCATTCATACATTTTCTTAATCTTTACTCTTGACCAAGTTTCTTTGATTAATTCTGGATTGGCCTCTCCTAAGAGTGAAGTTAAAGTTGATATTGATGAAAAGGTAGGAGCTAGATGTGCTAATTGATCTGGTCCACCACCGAAACCTCCATCAGGATGTTGAAATGATAAGATAGTATCGATGGCTCTTTGACGATCGGTAGGATTGAGACCTAAGTTTAAGATTGAAAATGAGTTGAGGATCCAATACATTAGCCAAGGTCGACTAGCATCTAAACTAGTGAGTCGAGCTCCCAGATGACCGAGAGAAGGAATCAAATATTTCATATGAGCTGATCGATCAAGAATAGCAGTTTCGATCGATCTTGAGCCTGGTTCTTGAGGCTTCTCTTCTGGTTCATCGTCATCTTCATCGCTCGTTCCATCAGAGGAACTTAAGTGGCGTAAGGATGTAGGCATAATTTCAGGTTCGAGCCATGGAAGTAGTAAGTTGAGAATCGAGGTCTCTGTTTTAGATTGATTGATTGTAGTCTCTGTTCGATAATCGTCAGAAGGAGTAGGCAGTAGAGGGTAGTCAGGCATGATTAGATTCGAATTGAAGGTTCTTCTTCTCCTTCTCCTTCCCCTTCTCCTCCTTCTTTTTCTTCTTCTTCTTCTTGGTTTCGGTTTCTTCTGTTTGAGGATGAAGTTCTGTTTGAGGATGAAGTTCTGTTTGAGGATGAAGAGATGAAGAAGTGTTTAGTATACATACTCGAAGTTATCAGAAGTAAGCAAGAGTTCAAATCAACTTACCTTTTACTTACTTTGCAACCAATCAAATGAGATCGATGTTGTTGTCTTTGGTTTGAGTGATCTCAATAACTTCACAGTCACCTCTCAACAGATCACAAACTTTCAAAGTTCAAATTCAAACAATAGTCCCGTTTTCGGTTCACACAAGAATCCGAGACCAAGAACCCACTTTACATCTTGCACCCTTTTATATTCACAAACTATATCTATACTCCTTTCTCAATGATATCTTAATACTGAAGATTGTTAGGATATTCAGCTAATTCTAAGAGCCCCTCTCAAATCATATCTCCTACTACTGAATACAAGGTCGAGTGTGAAATGCCTTTGTATCTACATATATATCTTTGCATGGTGGGCATCAGAAGAATGTGAAAATAATCGGGTGTTCTTTTCCATCTCAAAGAAAGAAGGATTGATTTGCCCCTGGACTCTTGAGAGTGAGTTCTAGTGAGAGGAAGGAATAGGGGAGAATATGTTTTAGTCCATTCAAGAGTATGTGTTTAAGGAGGTTCAGAAAACCAGGTTGATGGTGAAAGTGGTTTTCAAATCACCATTGGCTGTTTCAACTTTCTCTTCCTTCATCGCATTCTTCTGTTGAGTGAGGTCTTTGCTTTCCTGACAGCAACAGAATTCATACCAATTTCTGAAGAGTGTTTGACTGGATCTTTTCTCATTTGTCTTTGACAGAGATCACTATAACTACTACGCTGAATCCGATTCGAAGGCATCATGATCAAGCAGAAGGAGGTCGAAGAGGTTCTAAAGTGAGTACAAAATGCCTAAGAAGGTTACAAAACCAAGATGAGGGAGGTCCCTTCTACATATCATTTCACTAGGGACGGCTTTCGAAAAACAAGCCTTCGACGGCATCATCAGAGTCACATCTCATACAGTGATCAGCCTCATTAGAGAACTACAATATGTACTACCATCGAATCCCGTCGTTTAGGGCAAATAGTAGTTGCATGGAACTTGGAACTTGGAACTTGGAAGGCTTCAGTTTCGTTGTCCCGGTTTTGCTTAGAGAGATGTGCATCCGTTTCCAGCTTCTTGATCGTTCTCTTCAAATCACAACCACTTCAACGCCCATTCACTTACTTTTAGTCTCTGTGAAGAAACATGCGACTGGCGTCATCTTCGATGACGACCTTCTCTGTGATAATATGTGATCTAAATTTCCTCAACATTCTGGGGACCGGCTGCGTTCATTCTCTTGCCGTGTTTTGTTTATAAAGCTCTCCTTTCGACTTGATTCTCCTGATGTTCTCTGGTCATTAGATTTCATCTTTTGCTTCGTTAATTGGTTAATAGTTTCATTTCATCCATCTTTGAGTATATTGATTTTATATTTTCTAACTGTTACATCTTATTGACTTTCAAACCCACCAAAAAATTATCACTTTCTCGTTTTTCTTTCAAGCTGTTCATATATTGCTTTCATAAAAAAATCGCTCACGAGGTTTAGTTTGGCAGTGTTCATCATTGCAGATTTTTCCCTTTGTTTGAATCCCTTCAACCTCGTCGCATTTCTTCATTACGAGCCGCGCTCTATTTTTCTTTCTTACTCAACTCGGCCTTTATCATTGTCAATATCTTCAGTCAACATCATTTTACGCCAGTTCCTCTCACAAAGGATTAATTCAAACATTTTCTTGGAAGAAAACTGCAAGTCATCACTCTTTGCATACAACACCACGATCTTCTAGACACCCTCAAGTTTGATCAAGAATGCTATCGGTATCAACAGTACTGGTGATCATCGGTTTATTAGCGTGTCACCCGCCGCCTCCCGCCCAAGGACGTCAAATATGGGCCAAGTACGCCGATTGGTTTTTTTATGTGGGGAGAAGTGTCAAATTGATAGATGTCTGAACTCACGCCTTATCTTCTTCCAGTGATCCTGCCTTTGGTGACAGTCAATATCACACTCTGGCTCGTCGTCGTTTCAGTCAAGAAAGCTTATCGGCTATTGGTGAATTGGCTAATCTACCAACTTGCCCTGGTAACATCTGTGGAACACTTAGTCAGTCATCTATTGAACTTCTTGCCTTTACAATCTCAAAGTTTTGAGATTTAGTGAAGCAGTTATCTGATGGAAAATGAATTTGGCGATGATTTTACAGGTGGTGGTGGTATTACGCCTTTGCTAGCCAAGGCAGATGAGTGTGCTCAACAAAAGCATGCAGAGAAAGTTATCGAAGCTGCTCTGGTTGGTTTCTCATCTTCAATCAATACCTTGAAAGGCCACTATGATTTTTTAACATTCCCTTTGTTTGTTGCAAAACAGGATATGACAAATGGAATCACTAGTCAAGAGACCCGTACCAAGATGATCGATATTGCCAAGAGATACCGAGCTGTAAGTGACATTCCTCAAATCCTTAGCAAACTTATCTTAAACGACCTCACTGATGAACACTTTAAAACTAATTCCTTAATCAGGCTGAACGTAATACTCCCCCACGTTATGATTGTAACCCGGTTGAAGAACGTAACTCTGTATACTGTCAAGAGGCTCCTAAATATCCACAGCTTGCTGGGATAGTTCAAGCCCAAAATCCCAAGAATAATCCAATGGTCTTTTTCGATCCTAAAGTGACCACTAACTCGTCATCCGTCATCAAAGGAACTCAACCCAACACCTTTCCTTTTGGTAGTAAGTCTCACATCACTCTTCCTCTTTCGATCTCAAGAACCTGTTGGCTTATTATGTTCTTGAAATCACTTCAGAATCAGGTGGTGCATCGGGTGGTAGTTCCGGAAGCAGCAGTGGTAGTGATTCAGACGCAGGCGTCTCACTGGGCGCTACTAACACTTCAGGTTTGTTCATCTGACTTATTAATCTTAGTGTCCTGAAATACTCATCATGCTTTTGTGTTCCTCAACTTTTTTCGGTATCTTCAGGTCCCTCTGAATACCCCACTGGAAACTCAAATGGCACTTCGGGTACAGGATCGCAGGACACCGGACTCAACAATACTACGACAGGTACTTTCTTTCCTACACTACTCACATAAATTACTTCTAACTCTTTGCTTTCTTCCCGGCTAACCCAAATCTAGAAGGATCTGATTACCCGACTAGCGGCTCTTCAGGTTCAAGCGGTTCCACTACCTCTTCTACTACTCAAGACTCTGGTTCCACAAATAATACTGCTGGTGATAATAACACGAACACGAATACGAACTCTACCGGTAAATTTGGTTGAATGTTCTTTGTACTAATGAGTGGTCTCATGACTAATCTTTTACTTGATCACTTTTTTCTGTGTTTAGGATCTGAGTATCTTACTACCGGCGTCACTAGCCCGACTGACGCCACGCCTGCCAACAGCACAGGTGGTGATACAGGTGGTGGAGACTTGAGCAACAATAACTCAAGCATTACGAACTCATGTATGCACGCTCAAATCATTGATATACCCTTATCCTGTAACACGAGATTGATGAATCAATTTGACTGAAACTTTTTCGCGTGATCACACAGCTTCCGAAGGATCGAATTATCCTACGACTGGAAGTGATGGAGGCTCAAACGCTACCACCGTCTCGACCACTACCAACTCATGTAAGTAGATCGAAATCATCACACATCTCTATCCTCTAACGACTTCTTTGTTGATTTTCATATTGACATCATTTCACGCTTGTCCACATAGCCTCTGAAGATACAAACTATCCTACCACTGGTGGAAGTGGAGGGGGCTCTAACGATACCAGCCCCTCGACCACTACCAACTCATGTAAGTAGATCAAATTCATTACACACTTTGATCATCTCAAACAACTTTCTTATTGATTTTCTGGCTGACATCTTTTCATGCGTGACCACAAAGCTTCTGAAGATACAAACTATCCTACCAATAGCTCGGGCGGGGATACGAACTCTAATGGAACGTCGGGTAACACACAGGGTTTGTCTTTCTTTCAATAATATTTCTATGAAACGACCAATTGATTTTAAAAATATCATCTCAAATGGAAACAATTACTCTTTTTCAGACACAGGAACCGGAACCCCTAGCAACGGTACTTCTGATCTAGGAGGAGGAAGCGGAGGCGGTAATGGATCGAGTAAGTCTTATTCAATCTTTCTATCTAGACATACTAGACCTCTAATACGCCTCGTGTGATTCTACTCTATCTTAGTCGTCTCTCCATCAAATTCCTCAACTGACTCCCCTCCCGCTGGAAACGGTGGAAGTGGAGAGATCAGTTACCCTACTGGCGGCTCGATGAATGCTAGCTCTGGTTTAGGCTTGGGAGGTGATAATAATACTACAGTCGACGATCAAGGAGGAGTCAGTAATAATACAAGCGGCTCAAGCGATTCTGGTTCCAGTAGTGGTGGTTCAGGCGGTGGCGCAGGTAGTGGTTCAGGAGGTGGTGCTGGAGGTGGTGTTGGAGGTGATTCAGGCGGTAGTGCTGGAGGTGGTTCAGGTGGTGATTCAGGCGGTGGTGCCGGTGGTGGTGCCGGTGGTGGTTCTGGCGGCGGTGCTGGAGGTGTTCCAGGTGGTGACTCAGGCGGTGGTGCTGGAGGTGGTGCCGGTGGTGGTGCTGGCGGCGGTGCTGGAGGTGTTCCAGGTGGTGACTCAGGCGGAGGTGCTGGAGGAGGTGCTGGAGGAGGTGCCGGAGGAGGTGCCGGAGGAGGTGCCGGCGGCGGTTCTGGCGGTGGTGCCGGAGGTGGTTCAGGTAGCACTTCTAGTAGTCTCCCTTTTATTGATGCTTCTGGACTTGGTCCTTGTAAAGGTTAGTGATTTCATGGGATCAGTCTTGAATTCAGAGTTACATTTTTCTCATATATGTTTCCCCGTTCATCCAGATATGCGAATCGAATTTGGCCAAGGTCTTCCTGGCCGCGAGAAGAATGATAAAGCGTACCAGCCATTTGATTTCAAATTCCATTCTCATGGTGCTGCACTAAGTACGTATATCCCATGGACATCTTGTGGTTCAAATTCTGATATTTTGTTTCTTACTTCCTGGATGATGTAATTAGACCTTCACATCATCACTGAATGTAAGTATTCAGTCCTCTCCTCACCTCGTTACTCAAAAGTCTCATTTCTCCCTTCTCTCAATCAATAGTCATGTGCGACGAACTCGTCAACAAATGTGGCCTGAAGAATGAAGATAAACGATTTGCTGACTGCAAGTCCATCAAAGAATCCATTGGAACGGTCAAGGGTGACGGCTCAAAGGCTGATCTTTGGAATGCCCAGGTAAGTCAATGAGCACTGCAACGCTGAAAGAAATTATTGGTAAGAGCCATGTTATGCTAAGATACATGTGATCCTTGCCGCTCTAGTTCGGATTTACCACTACTTATGCGTCGAATCCGTGTCAAGGAGGCGCTGGTACTGGAGGACATGGTGACGGTGTCCCTAAGAGCTCTTCTTCATCAAGTAGCTCGAGTAGTAGTTCCAACTCCAGTGGCAATTCTTCAGGAGGCTCTACTGACACAGGCAGCTCTACTACGACGACCCCTCCTGATTCATCTACTACCAAGCCCCCTCCTGATTCATCTACCACTACAACCCCTTCCGATTCATCTACGACGAACTATCCTGATTCACAAAGCTCTGATAATGAGAACTCATCCGGTGGGGGATCGGCGGCTGGTAAAGGCGCTGAAGATGATTGTTAAGGAGAAAAGTGAGCAATTTCCAGGCTACGCATTCCGAGTAAATGAGTCAAGATGACGAAACTGCTTTGATACTGACATCTGAATTCTTCACCAGAATTCGATTTGCACTACAACTGATACATACCAGCGTTATGATATCACGTGTCGTTTCTTTTGTTACGGCATACTACCGCTCAAAATCATTCCTTGTATACACACCTTGTCTTATGATTGAATATAGAATCTACTCCGAAATTTAAGTCTCGTTAATTTCCAACTTGAACTACAGAGCCTTTGTACAAAACTAATCGTGTCCCGAATGAGCGTGCATAAATTTGAGCGTCTCTTGCCCTGTGTAATCACAAAACGTTCACTGTGAGCTTTTGATTACAATACTAAGTTTCATCTTCTTATGAATCGAACGCCCTTGAATACTTTGTAAGTCTATTCGATATACTCTTTATGGATAAGAGTGCAGGTGCTTTTACTTGATCAGATCTCCCACTCTTACTGCTAGAGCGCGGGCTCGAATGCAATCCAACATCCTTGGTTATGATACCTTATTACTTCACCTTGTTTTTGTCTTTTACATTTCATGAACAACATAAATTACTTTCACTCTCGAGGAAGTCAAAGCCAGACTCGGATCTCACCATTGGAAAAATTGACCACGAATTCATGCTGAGTCATTGCAAGACTGATAAGCGCTATATCCGCCACATGCATCTTTTGATGCGTTCATCTTTCACATCACGGACCACGCGGGAGCCAAAATTGTGGGGTCCGGCTGAGTATGACATTGAAGTGCATCCGCCAGAAAGTGAAGGTAGTAAGTTAGAACAATACATCAGTTTGGTATTTATTGATAGACAGACATAGAGCAAATAAAAAAATTGGGCAAAGATGGTACATTGTACGTAAGTCATAGATAAAGATAGGACTTCAAACATTAAATTTTGAATTTTGAACTGCTGAATTCTTTGTTTTCATCCAAGACCTGAATTCGAAGGCTTTTCCAGGAATCCGATATTGGGAAAGGTTAAACATCCTTTGAAGTTCAAATCCTTGAAAATTTTGGTCTTGGTTTGAGTGAGATCAACAAAGTCTACTTGTTGAATGGAGGATGAGATGATATATGAAATTCTTGACAAATCACAGAGACACACAAACAAATCCAGCAGCAGCTTATGGGTGATCAATTTTGAATAAGCACACAATGATTGTTCTAAGTGATGAGCTTGAAAGGATCATAAACCGTGAAGCTTCATTCCGAAATTGACATTAAAATCTCGGAATGATTTTACCTCTCACATTCAACTTCATTTTTTCAGCCTAGAAAAGGTACTCTCGAACTTTGATGAGCTGATTTTCTTATAAGTCATGGTAGGTGACTCGTAAACCTCATTATCATACTTCCTTTTCCTGTTACATCCAGCTTTCAATTGTTTGGAACAAACAACAGTGACACTCATATTGCAAACCCCTTGAATCCAATACAGTATGTAAATTTTCATTTTACCACTTTTGAAACTGAATTTGGACTCTGGATCCACGGAAAGGATTCCAGATATCAAAGATAGAAAGGATAAATCAATCCAACAAAATGAATTAATCCTATCAACAGTCTATCATGAAGAATGCTACAGCTGATATCTATATATATTTACATAAACAAACCAAGTGCAGTTCTTCTTGTGTGAATCTTTAGAGCTAGGTATATAACAAATCATTTTGGGTGGGTTTGAAAGTGGTTTTGATGATATAAAGTTTTGGGATTTTGAATGGAGTTTGCCATTAATAAGAGAAAGTAACAAATAGTAGCACATGAGATATATATGATATACCTAACTCTTAGGGTAGCGATTGTAAGAAATGGGTAAGGCACTATCGATCAAAAGATAAATAGATTCAGTAAGTAAGTTTGAAGTTTTTATGAGCCAAAAGAAAATAGAGATTATGAAGAATGAATAGGATAACTGAACTTTGATGATTATTAGCATAAGCAGCAGTGAATTCAATCCAAGAAGAATATAACATCGTAAATAGAATGATGATCCAAATTGCATTAGAGATATCAAGACCAGAAGAAAAGAAAATATGATCGGTCCATAAAAGTAAAGCTGGAAAGAGGTGTAGAGATAAATCGGATGAAAGTGTCAATTTTACGGCTGGAGGTGGTGGCAAGATCTGAAATAGTCCGGAATATATTCGATCAATCCCAGAAAGCGCGTTGAAGATGAAAAAGCCTGAGTGGAGAAGTCGGTATTTTTAGCACTCACCAGTGACGGGTCATACAAAAATATAGGCCAGTAGACAAGTGAGATCAATGTTTCCAATGGGAGCGCGATGAGATTGAAAGTCGCGTGAAGTTGACTCAATGGACCTATAGCAAAAGCGTATGTCAGTTCAACCCATCTTGCGAGGTGCATACCTTGGTTCGAAAAAGTGAATTCACAAACCTTGTGATGATTGTGACATATAAAGCATGAGCTTTAACAAAAAAGTAAGCCAACTCATAAGAAGCCTAGTTTCAAGTAAAGTGACCCAGCATTGAGAGGTCGAATTCGTAAATTATATCAGTCCGTCTTAAAATAAATTTTTAGATCGGATGATGACTCGTCTGTTTGGATGAGAAGTCATCGAAGTAAAACATATGTACCCACCCCCAAAATGTCAAAAAATTGGATACGCCTCCATAAATCGCGCCAGATGGTGGAGCACATATCGCATCTTTTTGACGATAATTTGTACATGTTTACGAATCATGATCAAAAAGAATACAAATTGTCAATAAGTTCGCTCCCAAAAAAAACTCTTTAAATAGAGAATATCGTTAAGACTTACTAGGTTGGAGCATCATCCATAGAGACGAAGATAAGTTTAGAAAACTAAACACATGGAATCCAAAGCCCAACAGCCCTGGTCGAGCATAGTCTACCAAGGGCAAAGACTCGTTGGAAGCCAGATAAGACATCAGGTAGTTGATCTGACTCATTGCGAATGGACTGTTTGGTTGAGAAGGATGAATCAAACGAGTTTGTTTGTTGAGCCGATTTTAGATGTCGTAGGATCGTATGCAGACGAGTCAAGTGAACGAGCAAATGAAGGAGGCTGGGAAAGTAAACCGTTGTAAATATCGACTGGTGAAGTGGGTAACCATTTCGGTCGGAGCCTCGGGTGGAGATCACAAGCCGATCCGACAACGAACTGGATTCAGGAAGGATGAAAGCATGGCCCAACCAGGGGTCTCGAATACATAATCTGACTCTGATCCACAGCAGCTGATTGCAAGCAGCAGCAACATGACTTGAGCCTCGAAAGAGTACAGATGATCGTGCTGTGCCCTGTCATATGTAGAAAAAATAATACTTCAACCACATTTGGAGAAGAATCGCAACCTTGAGTCACACCTTAACTTGGCTTAACTCTCAGCTCAACTTGGCGCTCTGTACGCGGTTTTGATAAGATGCCGCGTTAGAGATGATCTTTGCTTGAATGTGAGAGTTCAACTGAAGACCACTTCAGCAGGTAATTTCCAGCTTTTGACAGGAATATAGTATTCTGCTCCCCCCTTTCAATGTCTTTGTCGTATACGACAGAAAGAATGACTGACCTATGCTAAATCACCTGCTCTGCTCCCACAGAAACAAAGCAGTAAGTGAAGAGATAGCCATTTTTTCATGAACTATCTTTTGATTTTTGAGAAAGGTATGTACTTGTGGTTTTCAAAAAAAATACAGCTCTGTAAGCGGCCGCTCCTCACAAAAATTTCAAGTTAGTAAGTGCGAGTAAGATAAAAATGTAAGGATCAAGTTGTGAGATTGAGCTGCTTTGAATCACTTAGCTTTATAATGTCTTTAAGTTTATTGCCTTGGCTTGGTTCGTTGATCTGGTCACTCGTTCATACGATAAAGCTCAACACTGGCACGCTACACATGCCCTCCCTGCACCCATTCATTGTGTGGTTCAATAAATTCTGACTTACATAGGGTGCTGTGCAGTGTGAGGTCTGCTATTCCAAAACTTCTCTCAAAGCACACTGAATTTGACATACTTCAGGTTCCACTTAGGTAAGTTCATCCTTGCCCAATGGTCTTGGAAGTTCACAGCAAGTGGACTCATGAGGTGAAGGGTAGCAGTAAAACAAAAGCAAGGTAAAACCTATCATATTCTCGTGATTCAACACAAGTTGAATGATTGAGAGTTCAAACGAGAAGCGTAGACACTCTTGCCGGGTGTGTCGTGACAACAGCTCATCTTCTCATGATTATTTAAGCATCTCAATAACATATTCATATCAACTAGATCTTGTTGTCCAGTCTTCTCAAACATGATATGCTTATTTGTGAATTGATGAACGCTGGCAATTATTCTAAAGATGAATTCCCCAATCCCGAATTCAAATTTCTATCATCAATAAGCTTATAAATTTGACATAACTTTTATCCATCCAATTACATTCCTTACATTATCCTAAAGATTTTCTCGAAAGTTGTATTTTACTACAAAAAATCATCGACCCCGGAAGGCCCACCCAGGCTATCAAGGGAAATTTACATCAAAAATAACCAAAAAAATCTTTTTCAATTCTCATATTCCTTGAAGTGTGCGAGAGACTTTGGTAAAAAAACAGTCGACATATCAAGTTACAAAAATCTGTTGTAGAGGTCATACATGTCAGACATGAGAACCGCCCTCAGAATTTCCGTTTTTTTTCAAGTTCTTCTGCTTTCAAGTCTTATGTCCGATTTCTCTTTCTTTCAAGCTTTACATGATGACAATACATCTTGCCTCTGTGGCCGCTAATTAGCGTGAACCAAAATACCTAGTATCTAGAGCCAAGAGACCCATTCCTTGAACAGAATTTATATCTGTCTTTTGATATTAGGTACCTGTGCGTAGCCAACTCATCATGGTGTGTTTTGGCTCATGACTATGTAGTGACTGCATAATTGTTTGAAAGTAAGAGTTTTTACTTTTGGCTAGTTTATGATGCAGGTATTTTGATACACCTGGTTTTGTGCTATGCGAGATCGTCAGGGAGTTTCGAGTCTTAAGCTTCCCTGTCCTTTTGAATCTTAGCACTGAAACATCCAGCTAAATCCGCCAGAGTTGAAAATGATTTTGAAGTTCATGTCGTCAGTGAGCCGGCCGTGACTATCTTGAGCCAATCACCTTCAGATCCAACTATTGCGAGTACAAACAACTTCCATGACAAATCCAATGATTCAACAGCATCACATAAAAATGTCCCGCTCAGTGTACTCAACTATAAGTATAACTTTCATGATCATATGCACAAACTTGACAAAATCGATGTACCTGGGTGGACGAAATCTAGACACAGCTTTAAGATTAGAAACAACAAACCCTGGGACCATCACAATATCAAAACTTGACAAAATAGATCCATTGGAATTAACACTTGCACCATCATCGACCATATCAAAATACGGCGAAATAGATCCACTGGAATTGACACTTGCACCACCATCGACGATATCAAAATATGGCGAAATACAGTGGGTAAACCCGAGTACGTGTTCCAAGCCAGTCCGCATAGAGGTTTGGGTCCGAAATTTTTGAGAAATTTTTGCCATTTTTTCTGCTTTTTTTGGCGGGAGAGTAAGGTTGAGGGGTGGTGTTAGGCTGCAAAACTTTTGGTTTTTTTTTGAAAAAAAAGCAAATTTGGTTGTTATTTGCCACTTGAGCAGCCATATTCATTAAATTATAGGCCTAGTGCGCCGCTAAGTAGCTAGATAGGTACCTAATTGAGGCCTAGGTCCGAAAATCCAAACCTCTAAAAGAGTAAAATCATATTTTTGGTCTCCAAAACCATATTCCTAGATTCATCAAAGCAATGCCTTTTCAATGGTCTGGGTGCCAGTCTCAAACATTCAAATTGAGTGCCCCGACATTGACCCGAAAGGTGAAATTTGATTTTGCAGGGCAGGTCGGAACACGTACTCGGGTTTACTGTACATCCACTGGAATTGACACCTGTACCATCATCCACAATATCAAAGCTTGAGGGAATAGATCCATTGGAATTGACGTTTGCAGCACCGCCTGAACTCACAACAAACAATGTAGTATTTCCACAAAACCATAGAATTTCTGGTACATTAGGAGTTCAAAAAACAGATTCCTTTAAAAATTCGTATCGACAAGAAAAATCCTTCAGGTTCACACCAGATGTTAGGATGTGGCTAGAGGATCAAACCGCACAGCTCACGAAGCCAGGGTCGCATCTACCAGGAGATCATCACAGTGTTATGCCCTATAAACACTCAATGTTTGGAGCTTTCCCATACAGTTTTCCAACATATGATCCTCTAGGCTCTGGTTCAAGTGATCTACATCATCATGTTCGTGAAGCTCCAACTCATAGCTCAGAGATATTTCATGGCTCAGGATCGAGTTCGGTTCAAGAATTTTCAACATCTGAACCATCGGCAGAAGACATGGAAAGTCTCACGGAAGATCAACATCAATCCATCATCGACCTCCAATCTGTTGAAAGTCATCACATTCAAACGCCAAGTGTTCCAGGAGATACTGGAGTATCAAAAGAATATAATGGTGGAGAAGAAAAATCTGACCCAATTCGGGAGAAAAATGTGGATGTAATTCCTCCCAAAGTTCATAAAGCTCATAATGCGGTTCGTGACGGTGTTTCTTTGTTAACAAGATCTGGAAAGCATCAAATTTGGGGGAGTCTCCCTTTTCGAAAAGAAATCGAAATATGGTTTAAACCCTTGAAAGCTAAATTGATACAAAGAGTTTTGAAAGAGAATAAATTGAATGGTTTGAAATCTAGAGATATACAAAGAGTACTTGTTCGAGCCAAAAATAAATTAACACCTACTTTTTTTGGAGCCTTGATCGCAAATTATCATTATATAGGAGACGAACGTAATCAGAAACTTTTAAGAGAGGGGTGGGAATACTTGCAGAGCTATATGACGAATTGGGAACATGCAGATTTTGATATCGTCCATGAATGCAAACACGCAGGTAGAGTAGATAATCGTGTCTGGGAATGGACCTCAGACGAAGTTCTAGGATATCTCATGTGGATGGATGGAAGGAATGGCTTATCATCTAAGGTCTTAAAAAAGTTAATTTCTGACTGGCAATTCAAACAATTGAATAAATTATGACTTTTTTCTATTTTCTCTTCTATATAGGAGTTCATGTACTGGATATTTTTGGAGTGATTGGTCTTTCTACTTTTTCTTGTCCTATTTATGACCTTTGGCTAGGATTAAATAATGTCATTTTGTATATTTTGTCACTGGTGTAGTGACCCGTATACATTTTTATATCACCAACAATAAAAATGGATGCAAACCAATTTGAATGTGTAAAGGATGTCAGATTGCCCAAATGAACCAAATTAAAACAAATCAATTCCTCATTTTTTTGCAAAATTCAACATAATTCTCTTTCTTTTGGAAAGGAATAAAAAATCCACAATATACAGATAGGCAGAAAGAATTATCTACTCAAATATTTTCAGTGCTTGGGCTGAAGATATCTTCAGTCCATTTTTTTAACAAGTTGAAGGTTTTTTCAGCCCAGTTCAAAAGCTTCAGCAACAACTACAAAAGTCTTAGCAAAGGCTGCAAAATCTCCAGCAAAAACTTCCAAAGATCTATTAACTACACCATCTGGCCCTCCCTTTCAAACATGCCAACTACCTCCACACAATCTACTTCTTATCTCAACATAAGCATTGTAACACAATCTTTGTCAGTGACAGTTGAACCAAGTTCACCAGGTTACTTATAAGTCCAATGATCCTCCTCATCCTCAACCTCTTAGCCCAAGAAATCAAGAACCATGAGGGTTGGGCAAAATCTTGACCAACCAGATTTGTGCCTTTGAAGATTCAATTGAAAATGACCAAAAACCATCAAGTGCAGGTTTCATAGATCTGTCAATTTCAAAGGTGACCCAGATTAAGGTTTTGGTTCTAATCTTTCTTCTACAGACAGAAGATTACTTTTCGAAAAATCCTTTGTTCAGTTTATCATGAAATATAACAAATTGGCGAAAGATTAATTTCACTCAGACTGATGGTTTTGTTGGTAACAAGAACTAAAACCCATTGATTTTTGTTCTTTTAGCTTGAAGCTTTTACTCCATATGTACCATAGAATCAAGAACTTTGAAATGCAAAACCAAAAATTGACCTTTAAGATCAAAGTGCAATTCTATTGACCATTATAGCTGGATTAATATTTCTCTGTGTGATTTTTCAAAAAGTTTTATTTTTTTCAACATTCAATTGATTTTATTGCCAAGGCTCACATCACATTCTGGCTCGCCCCACTGACCATTCACTGTATTACAAGTCCATCTTAATGACTGAAAACTTTTAAATCTTATCAATTATGTTTCATTGAAAGATCAACAAGAACAAAAACATAGTTAGTGCCAAAGAACAGAACCAATGCTGAATGATAAGTATTGCACAATCAAAATATGATTTTCATCAGGTATATTCTTTTTTACAAATTCTTTTTTTTGTTTCTACATAGATGCGGCAGTACTACTAGGATTGAGAATCAAATCGACTGTTCTTGTTAAACTACCACCTGATAAATTCCATTTCTTTAAAACTTCATCCCTAGACAAATCAGGAAACATCACCAACAATTCATTCAACTCGACCTCAGTAGGCGGTGAAGGAACAAGAACCCCCGAAGTTCTTGGTCTTCTGTTCGGATCTTCAAATTTAAGAAACATTGAGGTTTGAGAATGAAGAAGAAATCGAGGTAAAATACTTGATGGGATTCTCCATTGATTGAATTTGAATTGATTGAGATTATAAATCGATCCAACTAAAAGACCTAAAGTAGATGAAATCGGATTTAAACAAAATATAAAGAGTGATAATAGGTTAGGTAAGAATGTATGTGAATCGAATTTGAATGGGTTTAGATCATAATCATGAAGTGATGGGATTAGTTTTTGATGTTGATATAAAATTGAAAATGCGATTAAGAATGGACCGGATGGAATCGCCCTGCAGAGTGAAGTGGTTCGAAGAATTCAGATTCGGATTGATCTTGTAAGTTTAGAAAATTTTAACTGACTGATAATCGAATAATCGATTTCCGATTACCAAAACTAAAAGTTCAAGAAAAGATCCCATGATGATGGTCACCAGTAAGAAACTCTAAAAAAATAAATTCAAAAACCTTCAAAACACATCAGCTTTTCGATTCTCAAATTTCAATCTAGAACCCCCCCAAAAAAAAGTCAAAAAAAAAATTGGAAAAAAAAGAAACACGGACAGCATACTTAATTGAACCAAAGATACGTTCAATAGGTATCGAAACATTCCATAATAAAATAACGATAAGTAAAACGTCAATTAAATCAGAACAAACAAAATGATGTGAAAGAATTCTCCAAAACTAAAAAAGAAAACCAAAAACCAAAAAAAGCCAGGTTTTTTACGAGGACATAATCAGTTCCAAGATATTATCAAGTCAAAAATTGATGGTGAAATTAGTTACATACTTGTAGGTTTTGGGTTAATTCTGGTTTGAGTGGTAAGTCTAAAAGGTCTTGATGATTTGAAAGTAAAAATGAAATTAAAGAACAACCAAGAACGGCAACTATGAATCCAAAAGAACCCCTGGTTAATGATTAATGATAAATTAAAGCTTCAAGATAAATAAAAGAGTACTAACCTTTTGTAATAGGTGCGTTGGCGAAAGTTGAGGGATGACCCATCTTCTTGAGTAATATGTGATGGTGATGGTGAACATTTTGAAATTGTCCAAGTTCTTCGAAACTTGTCACTGCTACGTCACAACTACAGAACCGATCAGCTAGGAAAGTACCGAGACAGTGAAAGTACCGACCACCTCAAACTATCTTGACTCGACTTCAGTCGGTCCACCAAGTACGGTGGCCCACAAGCGCCAACTGCGCCAAAACGACAAAACTTGCAAAAGTACGCTTCAGGCCCCGCTCAAGACCCTGCCCAGTTCGAAAGGACTGCTCCTGCCCGGTTCAGGCCGCTTTTGAAGTGACCGGACAAGGCTGCTTTCCAGTTCTATGAATCTAAAAGACTACATCCCTTGCCATTTCAAAGGTGACCCAGATTAAGGTTTTGGTTCTAATCTTTCTTCTACAGACAGAAGATTACTTTTCGAAAAATCCTTTGTTCAGTTTATCATGAAATATAACAAATTGGTGAAAGATTAATTTCACTCAGACTGATGGTTTTGTTGGTAACAAGAACTAAAACCCATTGATTTTTGTTCTTTTAGCTTGAAGCTTTTACTCCATATGTACCATAGAATCAAGAACTTTGAAATGCAAAACCAAAAATTGACCTTTAAGATCAAAGTGCAATTCTATTGACCATTATAGCTGGATTAATATTTCTCTGTGTGATTTTTCAAAAAGTTTTATTTTTTTCAACATTCAATTGATTTTATTGCCAAGGCTCACATCACATTCTGGCTCGCCCCACTGACCATTCACTGTATTACAAGTCCATCTTAATGACTGAAAACTTTTAAATCTTATCAATTATGTTTCATTGAAAGATCAACAAGAACAAAAACATAGTTAGTGCCAAAGAACAGAACCAATGCTGAATGATAAGTATTGCACAATCAAAATATGATTTTCATCAGGTATATTCTTTTTTACAAATTCTTTTTTTTGTTTCTACATAGATGCGGTAGTACTACTAGGATTGAGATTTCACTCAGTCCAAAAGGCCATGGCTACAACCCTTGGTCTATATAATCCCTCGGGGTTTCCTAATATGGTATGCATCTCATTCCTTTCTCACCCCTTCCTGTATCTTTTTTTTCTCCGCCTACATTCAATTTCTACTTCACTTTTTTTACATCATCTGTCTTAAACATTAACATGAACGCAACACCATGCTCCGTATGCCATCAAAGACCTTCAGTATTTCATGGCCTTTGTCTCACATGCCTTGAAATATGACTTGGACCCCTCTCAGCATCATCTTCCCAATCAGCCAACAGTTCCAGCTCAATTGACATTCCCTCTCCAATGATGTCTAACTTCAATCACCAACAGTATCCTCAACCCATTTCAGCCACGGCTTCCACTTCAACATCTTCATATCAAACACAACCTACAAATCATACTACGCAGCCTAATTCCAGCTTTGATGCACGAGCATACAAGCATGCAGCAGCCACCATTGCTGCCCATAATAATGCCCTTCAAACCCCTATCACTACATCCTCAATCATGACATCAACCCCGGCCATATCACATACATTTGACCCACTCACCATCGCCAAAGAAAGTCGAAATTGAACAATTACAGCTGCCAGGCCGCCAAGGTCAAGCGCCCACGAGGAGCAACAACCAATCGGCCACGGGCACGCCCTACCTCAGACACTCCGGCATATGATGGATCAACACCTGCAATCACTTTTCCGTGTGGTTTTGAAATTTATCACGCACCTAAATGGGCAAAACAAAAACCGCTCTCAACCTCTCGAACAATCAACTTGTTTCATCCTCAAGCTTACAAAGAGTTACGTCAAGATCTTTGGACACACTTTCAACAGATCTTTGTACCAAACGACATCCTTGACACTCTGGACTCAGCCGGTTTTGAATTTACTTCCTTAGGGAACCAAGAAGCTACTGCCACACCTTCAAACTTGACGTGGTGGTTCACAAATAACAGCTCGATCAATCTCATCTATGATCATACCCGTTTCGAACACAACCGCACCTTGACCCCCGCTGTAGAGATCAAGACTCCTGAAGCCCCACCTTTGACCAATTCAGCCGCAAACAAGACACTTCTTGGTTACAAAGGTAAACATTGTCCTATGTAATGTATGATTGTTGATTCTCAATGACATGTGTTGTTCTGTCTTCCTTCCAGCCCGTTGGACACAGCCTTTAATCCATACCAATGAAGAAAAGGTTGAACAAGGAGTTGAACGATTTGGTGCATCTCGCGAGCCTTACCTCCTTCACAGCAAACGTGGAATTTCATGGGAAGCTGGTCTTCAGTGGCTCCTTCAAGTTGATGGAAACACTGTTGAATCAGACTTCATCGCTTACCGTTGGCATTTGAAAGAACCTCAAAGAAGCCGTACTCACAGCATTCAACCAATTGACATTTGGCACCCAAGCGGTCCAATTGAACTTATTAGCAAAACACCACTCAGTAAATGCTTTGATAAACTAAATGCAACTCGCTCAAGGCTCTTGGTTTGTACTGAGAACACATAGAAAGCGCTGCTTTCTATTGTGTTCTGTCGAAGGCATTTCATTTACTGCTTTTGATGAAAAGCATAACCTTTTAATCCAAAGGTTATGCTTTCTTTTTATTCGCTTCAGCTTGATCATTGGCTGATAAGCAATAAATTTGGTTCAGGTAGTACATATCTTACAGATATAAATACCAGACGGGTGAAGCTCACTGACCTCCCCTTCCAACACCATAAAGTTCTGATTCTTCTATGTAACATCAATTGCCGTTTGTTTAAAGGCAGTGTGCCATAACAATGAACCAATTGTATTTCTTTCAATTACCTCGAATTGCTGTTTGTTCAAAGGCAGTGTGCCATAACAATAAACCAATTCTCTCTTTTAATTACTTCGAATTGCTGTTTGTTCAAAGGCAGTGTGCCATAACAATAAACCAATTAAGTCTTTTAATTACCTCGAATTGCTGTTTGTTCAAAGGCAGTGTGCCATAACAATAAACCAATTCTCTCTTTTAAGTACCTCCATTTGCTGTTTGTTCAAAGGCAGTGTGCCATAGCAATAAACCAATTTTCTCTTTTTCCATCTTAAAACTTTTTTGAGAATGTAAAGTTAGTTGACATGGTATTTGTACAACAGTTGTAGTACGGGGTCTTGATTATTGTTAATTTTGTGATAGTCCAGACCCTGTAAGTGATTTTTTTTGAATCATACTTGAAAATGAGATGGTTCAGGGTCTGATTCATTATAATGTATCGTCATTAACATCTTTGTTTGACCCCCTTTATTGAGCTCTTTATCAAAAACCAAACGGAAACTCATATCACTCTATTCAATCACAGATCTCTAACTCTCAATAATCCAGAGAGAACTTTTTGCCCATTAACCTTTGTCTACATAGAGTACATTCTGTCACAGCTTAATTCTATATTCAAATGCTTGAAAATCCTCCTGTGGCCAGTGGTGTCTTTGTGCTAGGGCGTGAGGCAAGCACAATTTCTTTCATGTTTGCAATATCCTTCACAAACTGACTTTTCACCATTAATTTTCCCTCTAGATGTGTGCTGAAGAAGTTTTTTCAGATGTGCGTCAAGTCTTTCCGGCCGGTACAACTCTCTTCCAAGCCCACTGCATGTTGGGTGGGGCGGATTCAAACACACCACATGTGATGCCTGTGGTGTTGATATATACAACTCCCGGTGCGCCTGCAGTGCAAACCAATCACCTATACCATGCACACAGACTTCTATTGCATGACGCTGCCTTGAGGAAGTGCATATTTGAAGTCAGCTCAGCAAGTTGTATGGCTTTTTAGGGCCTAGTCCTGTGGCCTATGGCCAATTCATCCCACATCTAGTCAACTCAGTTACGGTGTCAACTCAAGGCAAGCCAATCTATGCAGATACTGAGGTGGCATGGGATTTTGGGCCCGAGATTGTTTCATTGATTGTTGAACACAATGCATGGTTTCCCTCAGTTGAGTTGTTTCATTACCCTTTTGTTGTTTTTCAACTAACACGTTATTTTTGCTTGCATTGTAATACACAGTTGGGCAGATATATTGACAACGTAATATATTACCAAGGTGAACCAGGCCTGGCTGTGTTAAATGTGGATGATTTTAACGAACGGGGAGTCAATACTTTCATCTCAGGACACATCAAGAATTGGGATTCTAATACCGATGAGCTCATTGTACAGGTAAGTCTGGTTTTAATCTGTTACAAAGGCCAACAACTGACTTGGATGATGGATTCCCCTCACACTTTAGGCTACTACCATTTCACCAGTCAATTATGACTAGTCACACAGAAGGAGTACACGGCAAGGCTACTCTTCAAGACTCATCTATTGGATGAGTTGAATACATGGTAGTGAGAAATGTGTAATGTATGGCAGCATGTCATGTATCTGTCATGTATCTATCCCAGCATTCTTATTTGTCCAGAATTCACGAATCAAATGTGTCTATACCTTGTTAATGATACAGTCATGATCAGTCTGTCACAAGCTCAACCTGTTGTAGTCTTCTCTTTCTAAAACAAACTTTTAAAGAACTAACTACGAAGTATGAGTTTAGATGTTGTTCATTTGTTTTGTTTGTCTGTGACCTGTCAATAGAAAAATTGAAAAACATTATGTGACCTTCAATTATCACGCGACACGAGTCCAAACCGATTTTGAATAGTTTCCACAGCTTTTTCGTGATTTGTAGCAGCACGCGGAACACCCTCAGGTATTCCCAGAAGAAATAAATCATAGGATCGAAGAAACAAAAGGATTTTGTGAAAAACTGTCCAGATGTTTTCCATAGTGACGTTAGCCATGTCGATCTGAAGTTCTTCTTGAGCTGATGCACAAATCTCACGGAGCCATAGAGGAGAAGTGGTCCTGATTTCATCAGCGTTTGGATAATGTCGAGCTTGAATTTCTTCAACATGTTCCAAAGTCACTGGAATTAGGCCTTCAACACCGTTGTTGGATGCAGGAGCGAGGTAACAATAGTTGGGTGAACAACTTGTTGGGAGCTTGGTTCAAGCATCAAGCCGCTTCGAGTATGAGTTGTAATCATACATCCATTGATCCAATGACTGTTGGACCAATGGTACCCACAAATACAAAAACAGAAGCCTAGATTGAAGACAAAATCAGCAACTACATCACAGAGTCTACTTGTCCAGACTTGGTACTTGCCTTTCAAGTGGGTCATTATCGTTGTACTTGCCCTGCTCCATGGAGGTGAAGATCATGTTGATTAAAGCCGTGTTGTGCTGACGCATGAGCTGTGACCACAAGCATTCAATTTTTTGATTGAGAGTTGAGTCAGTGTATTGGTGGCGAAGTGCTGCTTCCTCCTTGGTGATGTTCGCAAAGACGGCAGATAACTCAATCTGATGTGCAGCTAAGTTGATTGTTTCAGTCCCATGATCGGTCACGGTTCGTTTAGGTATACCACCTATTTTCTTGACAGTCTCGAGAAAGTACAAGCCAATGTGAGCTGGGTTGTTATTGGTGATATGGACAAAGATACCCAGTACACGTCGAGACCAGGCGTCGATGAATCCATACATTGTGATGCCAAATTTCTTGAGCTTATCGTGTCCATCGGCAGACCACACGTAATTTGGCCCTGGTACATAAAAGGTTCGGCGATTGATGGAGTCACGCAAGCGATTTTCGACACCATCACCATCCATTTGTTTGACCATAGTTTCAACAATGTGTCTACACAAACGCATGGTATTGGTAGAATTGAACGAGTGCATCCATTCAGTTAACCCCGTACTTACCTGTGGACAAACACATCGTGCTGGTTTCTGAGGATATGATGGACACGACGATATCCGGCTAGTTTACCGTCCGGGTTGCGCTTGGTCTGTCAGATAAACTCAGCTACTTCTTCCATAGTAACCTTTCCAAGATCTATATCGTCGTGCTTTTGGTGCAGGCCGAGGACTTGACAGCGTCGTGCAAGAGTACGTGGGGACAGGTTGAAGTCGTGACACTCTTTGATTATATTGATGATATGTTCGGCGCGCATACCTTGACCATGATAGAAGCTGATTAGATCATTGAAAAGCTCATAGGTGTGTTCGTCTGGAAGTCTTTGTAGGCCCCAGTCTGTTCGTGCACGAGTGAGACTCCTGAGAGAGCATTGAAGATCGTGATGAGTAGATAGTTCGACTTGTATTTCAGCGTTAGTGAGGCCTTCTTCAACTAGGTCGGCAATCAGTGGCTGGAAGTCTTCTGTTATAAGCTTTCTGGGCGGCATTGAGATCGATTTGAAAAACTTGTTAAAAGGTGAAGATGTGTTAAATTGACAATGAGTGTGATGATCGATGTAAAGTTGAGAGAGAAAGTATTGATGAGAGGCGTAACAAATTTTTTGATGATGGACGCGACGACGTGTGTAGAATGGAGCAAAAAAGATGATAAAAGATGTGTTTCAGGTGGGGAATCATCAAATTCACAATTTGTGTCAATATTGAAGGGCACGAGCTGCCACTTGCGCCATAACAGGTTATCACCCAAATGCTGAGGAGTTGCCCGGGTAGACGTGATAGCCTGAACCGGGCAGGAGCAGTCCTGTTGAGCTGGGCGGGGTCGTGAGCGGGGCCTAAAGCGTACTTTTCCAAGTTTTATCGTTTTGGCGCAGTTGGCGCTTGTGGGCCACCGTACGGAAGCCGTGACGTGAAGTGACCGCCACGGTTTTTACAAAACTTCGGTTTTCAGTTTTCGGTTTTCAGTTTTCAGATTTTCGACTTTTCAGTCTTTTTGATTTCCAAACATGCATTTGCCTCAAGCCCCTGCATTAATAAGACTACACTACGTTGCCCTTAGCAAAGACACTGTCATTTTTGTAGTCTAAAAGTGCCCCTTGCCTTGCACATTTGTGAGAAGTCTATGACGATGACCACATTTCTATTCAATTCAAAGACAATGGCGAATTGCTTCTTTTTCAAGAGCAACAAGTCCATGATGATGACATCCTGGTAAATGTTCAATCTCATCAGCTCCGTTGGTGATCAAGTCTACACAAAAACTATTCATATCAGTGGGAACGTGTCCAGCTGGTTAGGCGGTGTGAGTAAACTCAGAATTGATCGGGTTGTTTACGTTCAACGGTGAGATTATTGAATTCATTTTTTACGCGGTGAAAAATGTTGCTTTTCTTCCTCTCGAGGCTATTCGGTTCCAAAGTTTGAACCTACAAAATTGAGACTAATCATGTATATTAGCTTGATGATAGATTATTTGAAAGTTTCACCTCGCTTTTTTGCCTTTCTCAATCGCTTGTTTTCATGTTTATTGCAATGTCATTAATCTTGAGTCGGTGTATCTTGTTAAGGGTCTGCAACTAACAAGCTCGTCCTATGTTTGCTTGAATGGTTTGTGTCAGTATGGTTCCAAATACTCCTTTCTGGAAATACTTCTTTCTGATCTTCTTGGTGAAGATCAATAGTCTCATGGTCCTTATTGTCAAGATGAAGAGCTCAAAGAGTATGCGTTGATCACTATTAAATGACAAATTCACAACTTGGTTACATAGATCGTAGTATACACGAGGCTAGATAAGGCTAGATAGCTCTAATAAAGCATTCTCGAGTGATGACGACTCATCCTATGCTTTTTTTGCCAATGAACGTTTAAGTCAACAGACATACTGAAGGTGCTTAAGAAGTGAAAATGCACCTCCCATCTTTTACAATCAATATGAAGATCAAAGCTATGGTTCAGTTTCTCATTTGGTCTAAAAGAGAATGGAAACTGAACTCATCTGTGGAGGTTGTGGATGAGTTTGAGATATGAAAGCCAACGGGCTATAGATTTGAAGGAAGCCTTTCAGCCGAGGTGGTGATTGATGGCGTCAATAGTGTTCGAGATGTTCGATCGGGTCTTCCAATGAGTCGAAACAAACTTGATCTTTGAGGCGATTGAATAAGTTTGGGCTTCCGTAGGAGATCAGAAATTCAAAAAAGACTGAAAAGTCGAAAATCTGAAATCTGAAAACCAAAAACCGAAAACCGAAGTTTTGAAAAAACCGTGGCGGTCACTTCACGTCACGGCTTCCGTACCACCGTAACCAAGCCCCTCTTCAAACACTTCTCACCAGAAAGAAAATTCAAAACCACGCCGAATCAAAACCAAACAGAAACAATGGATGAGGACTCAATTTACACTTGTCATAGAACTCATAGATATTCACAACCAGAAACCAATCCAACCAACCGATCCTCGCCCTCATCATCATCATCCGAAGAAAATGAAAAAAGTTATCAAAAATCCAAACCAAAAGACAAACCAAGTTCATTAAGATTCAAACGAAAATATCAAATAGAAGAAGGACCATGGTATATGAATTTAAAAAATGTATTAAAAAGACAAAAGATTAGTCAAGAGAAAACTAAGAAAAGAAATGAAAGAAAAAAAGAATTAAGAAAGATTAGGAATGCGAAGATTAAGGAAAACTTATTGAAGAAGAAAAGAAAATTGAATGAAGATGAAGTTGATGATTCAATTCATTCTAATGATGACGAAGAAGAAGAAGAACCAACAGAAAAGAAAGAAAATCAATCTGATTCGATACATACTACTTCTCAACCAGCACCGATACCTTCGACTTCTACTTCTATTTCTGTTTCTGTTTCTGAGGGACAGAGAACAGAACCGATTCCCGAACCAACACCATTTCCAGAAGACCTAAACCATCGTAAGCCAATCGTTTCCAAAACCCTACCAATCCAAAATGTACTAACAAACCACACGACATCCAACCCTCAAAAAGTATTACCATCTTCAGTAAGTTTCACATTTTTCCAAAAAGCAAAAACACCCCCCCCCCAAAACATGAACTAAACGTATCAATTTTTCTCTTTGGTATTAGTCATTATTAGTTTCAATCCACGAAACCGCTTCGAGATTTTACACGAATCAAAACTTAATGACTCCCAAACCGATCAAAGCAGGTCGACCATCTAAAAAGAAATTAGATCCAAAACTAATGTTAAAAAGTTTACATGGTTCTGCTTTAATTGCCATAGGTTTTTAATCCTGACCAATCTTGAATTCTTATCATTCCAAATAGAGGATGTCAAATTGTTTTTGAACTGACTCTTTGCCTTTTGATTTTCATTTTTGGGGCGTTTCTCTTTATTAGGTGTTTTGATTGAAGAAATCGCTAGAGAAGAGGTTTCTAAACTTGATCAACCTATGATGGATTGATGATTCAAATCGGTAGTGAAACCGTGTATAATAGCGGTGTACAAACCTACAACCCAACATGAAAACCCATGAAAAAAACCCATGAAAACCCAACTTCTTCATGGGTTTTTTTCATGGGTTTTTTCACATGGGTCAAAATCGTCTAGATCTCACCACCCGTTTGTTGAAAAAAACAGTTGTGTTCGATATATGTAGACTCAACCAACCCCACCCCTTCTTGGTCAACGCAACACACCCAATAACACAAATCCTTACAAAATAAACATATGCTGCTTGTCTAAATACCTGATGTATGCTGATTTCAAAGTTTCCCTCTCTTCGGTTTGTTTCAACCTTTGCAATTTGAAGAATTCAAAAGCGATCGTTTTATTTCAAACGATCGCACAATGTATCGTTTTACTTCAAACAAAAACTGATCTGAATTGCCTTTCAGACCTTTGACATGAGACTTTTGAAATGAAGACATCGTTTTCAATAAAAAAACATATCGTTTCATCTCAAAAAGAAACTGTTGAAGTTGGCTTCTAAGACTTTGAGATGATACTTCTAAAGCGAAGATATTGTTTTCAGTCAAATGCAAACGAGATCGTTTTGTTTCAAAAAAGCACAAGATATCGTTTTATTTCAAACAAAAAGAGATGAAACTTTCAAAACTAAAATTTCCTTGAAGTAGTGTGAGATTCAAATCAAGAAAAACCTTTATCGATACAAAAAGCGCGGTGGTTGAGCTGGATGCAAAAAAGAGAGATGTGGAGTAAAGTTAAGGCCTCAAGTGATGACAAGAGCAGCGTGTGGCCTGTGACTCAACTTTCAAGACATGTTTTAGGAGTTGGGGCGTTCAAACCTTTCCAGGGCAACCCATGAAAAAAACCCGTCAGAAAAACCCATGAAGAAGTTGGGTTTTCATGGGTTTTTTTCATGGGTTTTCATGTTGGGTTGTAGGTTTGTACACCGCTAATATGTATAAGAACAAAGATTGAAGAATTGGGGTTCATTCAATCAAAGTCGGTGATCAGTTTAAAGTGATGTGAGACCAAAAGATCCCTTCCAAGTAAATAAGAATGCGCAAGCTAATCAGCTCATGTAATATTTATATTAGAATTTGGATATGATTAACTCTCATCTTGAGAAACTTGAATACCGTTGAGTGTCATCATGAGTGGTATACACGTTATAAGAGTCTGAAGTATCTCTCATCATGAAATACTTGACGCATACAACCACTCCCAAATCCAAACCTTGTGAATTGCAATCCTTGATGACTATAATCCCAAATTTTCCATTAACCAAAGAAAAAACGGATCCAAAGGACTGCTTTTCTTTGTTTCCTTTACAGCCGTTCCTGGTTTGGTTGCCTCTCCATAAAACTTTTTTTAACATTTTCAACAAATTTTGTGCTCTTTTTTCTTTCGTAATTAAGTCCCAGCAGGTCTTGAACACAGCCTACAGTACTCAGATAGGCTCTGGGATTGTTGTACAAGCTGTTTTTGCAAACTTAACTAAGTCCTTTGCTGGGCCTAATCACCACTCCAGCAAGGGACTTACATCTAAAGTAAAAAATGGAAAACACCGGCTGACCAAATTGACAATGAGTGCATGGATGCGCTAGCAATAACACTCGCGTGCCTGTGTGTGGCTCTGGCAGTTGATCTCAGGTGAGTCTATATGTCATATCAACATACAATCATCCTTGTGCTATACTGACAGGTCTGATCAGTCATGGGTATATTCCACTTGACACAGCCGACAAGAAGCCGACAAGAATGTTGTTGGCAATGTCAAACAACAGTTCAAAGTCCACATGCAACCCTGTGACTGCTCAAACTGCCTCCCAGCAGAGGCCAAAGCCCGCTCACCGCGCACTGACCTCTGACAACTTTGACAGCGCTCTGGAGATGAGTGAGACAGAACTCATACACCTGATCAACAAGCTTCCTCAGCTACCACCACCACCACCACCGGTGGAACGTAGGCCATTTGCACTGCCCTGTGGGAAAGACAACCCTATTTGAAATACCCCACTGCTTAAAGCCCTAGTCACACAGTTGTAACAAGTGTTCAAAAAAAAATTCTACTTGATTTTTACTGAGCCGTCAGATTTGGGCCCACTGAATTAGTTTCCACCAGAGTTTGCATGGGATGTTGCAAAGCACATCAACATGGTCACCCAACCTAGCGGTTTGGCTATAGTGTTGGCTAGTGAAATCATACCTGGTCAATTCAACTGTCTGTTCAATGCTTTCACCCAGTGGCAAGATGAATTCCAACCGGTTGAAATTATGGCAGACACTGTGGCTCAAACGTAAAAAGGTGTGTTGTTCTCATGGAACACCAAAGATACCTCAATCTGTCAAAGGGAAAGCATGAACCAATGCAAACCGGAAGGCAGCCAAAGATTTACATGAAAAAGATAAAGAGCAAGCTGCTTTGAAAGAGTCCAAGAAGAAAGACACCAAAAACAAAAAGAAAGATAAGTGCGCGGCAGAAGATCCACTTGAGGCCAATCATACAAAAACCAGGGTGAAATTGCAGGTAACTGACTAATGAATGGTTTACCTAGTACATGGAGTACTAGAATTTGGATATAAATATTACAAACACTGTGCTATCTGTTTGATTACAGTGTCCATCATCAATTAGGGTCTTGTCATTCAATCACAACAATAACACATCCTTCACACCACAACAAAATTGCAAAGATTGACCTGTGTCTTTGTCAGCCCAGATTGCTTTGAGCATATTACACAATCTGGTTTGGCATGCGTTCTTTACCTGTGCTGGAGGTTGTGTGGAGCTGTTATTTGCCAATCTTTGATTCACATAAGACAGGAATAAGTCCATCAAAGCCTGAGTAATAATGTTAAGATTCCCCTGGAAGACAATTTTATGGCCTGCTTCCAATTTGATTATATAGCAGCATCAACTTTCATAATTGTAATCAACATCAACAACAAAAATGAATGTATGTCAGCCAACAAAAAATATTATGCAATGAAATTTGTTACATTGTCTAACCCAAGCAATAAGTCCTGAGAGCCAATAAGTCACGTTCTGCAGGTCTGTTTCACTGCCCTAGTAAGAGATGGCATTTAAGAGCTTTATATTGGAATTGAGTGCTTCACATGATCTTCAGATAAACTGAACATTTGCACTGACCATTGTATTATAATCACAGGGGCCAAAATAGATACTCACATACATGTGAGCGTTGTAGACTTTTTGGAATTCTCCAAAAAAGATTCATTTTCTTTCAGATTGATTCAATTCACAATCTTGTTTGTGTTCAGGTGATCATCCTGTGGTTCTCATATTTTACTTGACATTTATTGAGAAGGCTCATTTCCATCTTGGATGAGCAATAACTGATTCCCAATGAGTAATCAGGATCAGCTCATGAGGCACTGAATACTCAGCAATTTGTTCAAAATGAAGATGAGCACATGAACTATACCTTCCTGAGGCTTCATTTTTCAGTGAAGAAGCCTGCCCAGGGGCGTCCCATTTGAGATGCTCAGCAAATACTCAGTAGCATCCCCTGACTGGATCACTGATGGGCCGGACTTTTCTCAGACTTCCTTGCTAAGGAATGAAGCCTGATAAAAGCGTCATCCCATCTGCTCATTGCTCAGCTAATCCTCAGTGATATCCCCGGATAAAGTTTTTCACACTGAGGGGCTGAGATCACCTGAGCAGCCCCTCAGCCAATACTCAGTGACATCCTTTGGATCCTTCTGATCCGGCCAGGAATGCCCCTGAGGACTAGCTGAGCAGGCCCTCATCCAATGAGCAGTGAAATCCTCCAGATCCTCCTGATCTCAGGGATGCCCCTGAGGAATAACTGAGCAGCCCCTCATCCAATGAGCAGTGAAATCCTCCGGATCCTCCTGATCTCAGGGATGCCCCTGAGGAATAACTGAGCAGCCCCTCATCCAATGAGCAGTGAAATCCTCCGGACCCTCCTGATCTCAGGGATTCCCCTGAGGAATAACTGAGCAGCTCAGTTGAACGAGCAGACGGGCCTCAGGCTTCATTCCGGAGCCATGAAGCTTGAGGCAAGCTTGGCGCTCTGTGATCCATCTGGGGGATACTTCAGAGACTTAGCTAAGGGAATACTCAGTTCAGCTCAGCCCCTAAGCTATACATTGGTGGCATCCCTTGGAGCTTACTGAACCAGGGAATTCCGCTCAGGATCAGCTGAGCAGATGGATCAGCCCTTCCTCAGACTTCTTTGCTCAGGAATAAATGCTGAGGAAGGCTTAGTTTGTCTGCTCAGTTCCTGATGATCACGTAATCAGCTGACAAACAGAAAGAAAAGGGAAACAAATGGGAAACAAATGGGAAACAAATTGGAAACAAATGGGAAACAAATGGGAACAAAACAAGAAAATTTCAACACTCACATAGTTGTGAGCATCAATTTTTGCCCCTGTGAATGATGTTTTAGCCAGAATATATGCACTTCCAAGAATTTTTCCAGAGCAAGCCAATGTCCATTATGTTTGTTGGATGGTAATAGCAGTGAATGTTTAGTCACATGGGCTAATTCCTTTGGTAAGTCTTCCTCCAGTAGCATTGCTATTTGTGGTATGTAACAGCAATAATGCGACATTCCTGGCATTACTTGTGCCATTATTGCCCAGCGTTTCCAGATTGCCATTAGGCGGCCTATCTCCCCTGCATGGCTCAAATCATGTGCCTCAACCACCGTGGCAAAGTAACCATGCTAACATCAAGTTTTACTTAGTGTGGTCAGTACCTTTTTTGGCTCTTTGTACAGTGGAGAACTCAAAGTACTCTGACCATACCTGTGCAAAAAGCTCATCACACCAACGCTGCCACCTTTACTTTACTAATCATAGTAAATTATCGGTATCGTATCTTTTTTGCAGTATCCTACCCCCGATACTCAGTATCGGTATCGGCGATACTGTACTTGCTGGGTCCTGACATGGTATCCTGGGATCCGATACCATATCCAGTATAGTACCGCGGAGGCCGATACTTTACCGGTTGGGGTCCTGGATAGTATCCCGGTATCTTTCAGTACCTTTCAGTATCTTATTTAGCACAAAAGCAACTGGGATACGTGATACAGCGCGATACTTGTCCAGTATCGTCCAAAGATACTCGATACTATAATAGTATTGTCAAAGATACACAATACTTTTCCAGTATCGTGTAAAGATACTCAATATCTTACCAGTATCGTTTAAGATACGCGATACTTTATCAGTATCGTAATGGTATCGTCAAAAACACTGATACTAGATACGTATCGGTATCATACCTAGTATCAAGGATACTGTACCCAAACCGGCCGGGAACAGTATCTTGGAATTCAATACGGTATCCAGTATCGTATCCTATTGGGCTATACTGTACCGATATGTGTTTGAGACAGTATCTTGAAAAAGATACTTTACCGGGTATCCTCGATACTATACCGAGTATCGTATCGTGGCAGCGTTGATCACACCCACACACTTTGGTCAGATTGAGGCCTTTGGCAGACTTGATCACTTTGATATGTAAGGACATTAACACATCAGTATTTGCTCTTGTTCAATCTGAAAGAACAAGTCATATAAGATTGACTGAACCAAGTGCAAATACTAGATTTGCTTTAAGTACAGTTTGACAAGATCACATTATTGTGTTGAAATCCTGTGACACAACAGGCTTCTTATACTCTAGGCCTAGCAAGAAAGTCAAATACCAAACACCTGTGACAGTGTACTCACTGTTTTCTGGTTTACCCCAATGAAGAGCCCATAGGGTTTTCACACAATTCCACGTGGTATGAGCTCCAGCCTGATCATATCAAAAGGTTGAATTGACCGGGCCACAATTATATATAACTGGAAGGCCAACTTACTTCATCCAACATCAAAGTTGCCCAGTTGTCTCTCCCAGTTTTGCTTGATGAAGTCAATTTACCAAAGTTTTTAATGATTGAGCATTTTTACCTCAAACACAAGCCCACCTTCATTTGGTATTGGTGTTCCACTATGTCTGTATTATTGGAAGAGAATAATGCCATCATGCATTCCTTGGGTGACCAACCTAGTTTGTTTATATATTCACATATCTAAATTGTATGAGTTACAGTGGTAGGAGGTGTTGACATGCTTTTGTAAACACTTTTACAATTATTTTTTTTTGGATTAAAAAGGCAGTGGAGGAATTTACAGGGTTAATTTGTAGGATTAGGCAAGATTGATGTGTAGAATTGGAAGAGTTTGATACCATATTAATGAGAAGTACTGTCATCATGATCCATTCATAACAGTCAATTCTGTGTCCTGAATTTTGACACCGCCCGCTAGAAGGATCCATCATCAAACGAGGGTACTGCATTGTCTCAAGCTTGAACTTTTAGCGGTCTTGACCGTCTGTATTTCCATTCATGCCTCATTTCAAAACCAAGCCCCTGGTTGTTCTAGATAAGCACGGGCTAGTGGCTATTGTGGTCACATTCAGACTGTCTCTCACCATTTATGCAAACCAAACCCCTGGTTGTTCTACATTGGGTGTTGGTCACGTCAATGAGCACACATTTAGACTCCGGCTGTTGGCCCAAGGACACGTTTCATGTAACGTTGGGCAAATGCAGTGACACTATACATATATATATATACATTATGCAAACCAACTTCTTTAGATGAACATGGATCAGAACAACATGCCACCATCTGACCCACAGTGAAACTTGGTTTCCAGGGTCTTGGACACTATTGAAGCTGAAGGCTTGACAGTCCTGTCATTTATATCTTTGCTTAATCAATCAAACCCCACCCAAGCAAAAACCTTACCGCAACCCCAAGTCTTACCACTCTGTACTTTGAATATCTTAAACTACATCCAATCTCAGGATTTGACAGTGTTGCAGTTTCTGCTCACTCTACCTGACCCCTGGAATCAAGAGCTCAAAGTGTATTGACATGATTGGCATGGCAAAGGAGCCATGTCACAATGTTTGATCAAAAAGCTCCTCAAGAGGATCAGATATCTTATATACCTTTCTGGGAATGAACCCTTGGTCTGGCCAGACTATATAAGGGGTTAGGTGGGAGCTTGTCTAAGCTCATTTTATTCAGGCTGGTTAGAAACTAACTAACTAACTAAATGAATAAATGAATAAATTCTCCACTTGTTGTTTGATTTAGATAGAGGATCTCGAGCTGAGAATCCACGGTCCACCTTGGTGAAATCAAGTTGGACCGTAAGTGATCTCATTGATCTAGCCATAGTAGACTCAAATCAGCAATAGAACACCAGACCTGTTCGGTGAATAATTATAGGGGAAAGAGAGTGATTATGAGGATTAATCTTAAATGCATTATCATTAGGCCACTTGGCTAAGCACAAAGTGCTGTTTAATCTTCAGGATTTTGACTTGGACCCCAGAGTTTTTGACGCGCAGCATTTCAAAGTTGTCTGGGTCTGTTTGGCCCCAAACACCTTTTTTTGGATAACTTATTGTTACATTGAGTCATTGAGAAGCCAAGAGCGGCATATTAAAGATGACATTGATGTGTTATGTATACTTTTGTTATAACGTCAAGGGCACTTCAAAATTGAAACGGACAAGGAAAGGGATTCTTAGAATTTGAAGAAATGCCCCGTCCGATTCCACACCAGGATTTTGACTTTACGCGTAAGTCCCTCCCTGGAGTTGGTGGTTAGGTCCAGACTCCAGAGTGAGACTTCCATGGTTAAGTTTGCCTGTGATGTTGTTGATACCTAAGTATGTATCACAGATACTCAACACTTCCTTTCAGTATTCAGTACTCAGACTTGATGCTCAAATGCTGAGTCTTCCTCAAGCTCATTTGTAAGAATCTGTTTCTGACCCTTTTCCTCAGTCCAGAATCTATTGTATATAATGTATTTAGTTCGTGTTTTATCATCTATATACAGCCGTTTGCAGTTTTGATGAACTTGCGACGAAAGATCAGCGAATGTTGAGTCGAACATTCATCGAATTTATATTGAATAAATTTCGAATGAAAAAAACCAAAACCCATAGTGATCACATAAGCAGCTCAATCGCCCTATTTTTGATCACCATGTCTCCCACCAATTGCTACTTTAGAAAACAATTCTTAAGGTACAAGCTCTCCCAGCTCAACAATGGCAATTGGTGCACGTGGCGGAAATGGCCGATATTATCATCCACAAGTCAAGTACATGGCGGTTCAATGGATGCGACAAGGCAAAACTCATGAAGAAATTCAGGGACTCAGCGGCTTAAATATCTCTCTCTCAAGCTTAAAAAGATGGAAGGGTTTATTTGAAGAAACTGGTGCAGTTATTAAGAACCCAGACACCTACGAAGTCCTTGGAGCTCCTCGCTTGCTCGATCTTCATGAGCGCACTTTGCTAGCTCATTTGATAGAAACCGATCCGACAATTTATCAGGATGAGTTGGCTTTAGAATTGTTGGAAGAAACTGCAACATCCATCTCCACAGCAACGATTTCGCGCGAGATGAAGAAAAGCCTTGGCTTAACTCGGAAAGTCTGCCGGACTATAAATTCCAATCATGATCTGATTGATCTGGGTAATTACATTGAGTATGTGTCGGAGATACCGGCTGATTGATTGGTTTTTCTTGGTGAGTTTTCTCACTTTATCTTCCTGAGTTTCATTCTAACATCTTTGACTCTTTTGTGTTAGATGAAACAGGTATAAACAAGCGAGATATGTATCGAGAAATGGGGTGGGCTCCTATAGGCGAGCGAACGGATCGAATGGAGAGAACTTTAGTGGGGACACACTATACTGCACTTACAGCTGTCTCGCTCGATGGCTGCTTGGCTCTACAAGTGATGGAAGGAGGGCCTTGGCGGGTCGATTTTGAAGAGTTCCTTCGGGTACAATTGGTGAGTGTTTTACTTGCTTTTTTATCGACCGAGCTGACTGTTTGATCTTTTCAGATGCCCATGATGAACCCTTGGCCACAGAAGAACTCAGTTCTTGTCATGGATAACTGCCCAATCCACATGGGTCCTGAGACTGGAGCTATCTGCTTTGATCAAGATGTTATCCTTGTCTATCTACCCGCCTATAGCCCTTTTATGAATCCGATCGAGAAGTGTTTTTCTGTTATCAAAAATCACTTCATTTGTTCTCAGGAGTTGAATCGAGACGACTTGACCCAGGAAGAAGAGATCGAGCGGATCTACATTGAAATCATGTTTTCTGTCACTGTACAATTGATGAGAGAGCTTTACAAGGGATCTGGATATCTTTAACATTTAAATCTCATTGTTTCTTTCATTGGAGTGAAGAAATGTGTTATTCATTTGCTTAAGACACATGGTGAAATGAAAGAATCGTTTGACTTTGCATTTTACAGACTTTAAATCATTTGTATCAACACTTTTTATAATGAAATTTTAACACGATGCATATTATACATTTTGAACGAGCACTCTAATTAGACTGGTGATAATGTTGTCTGTAAACCTTCGCTTTACTGATCAATCCATGGGCTGTCCCAACTTTCAAACCATCGTTTCTCAGAGCTTCGATGTTCATAAATTCACTGGCTTCAAAAGCTCTCCAAGTCTCATAACCAAGATCTCGAACGAGTTGGTGAGCTGGATTTGCAGGTGAAATTTTGGCGAAGTCAAGGAAGTGTTCGAATGGGGGGGTTGCAACTCCACGGTCATTGAGATCAAATGGTCCAGAAGTTGATGGGGCTATGCTTATCGCTGAAGTACTCGGTGTTGGATCAATCGAGGTCGATTGAGTTGGAGGAGGTTCACCACCTCCAACTGTACAAACAAAGAGTTTGGTTTTAGGAGGGGTGACTAGATCAACACCAACATCCCCCTTGATCTAATGATTTGAAATGAATGATTAGCGAATTGAAATGATCATATAAATTTGAATAACACTCACAATCGATCTTGCCCAGATCGTGAGAAGAATATTGGTGAGTCGTAACGTCTTCAAAGTGTTGGTGGGATCTTGATATATCGCACCATCACCCGCACCACTGTGCTTTGCATGTAAGGTTCGAAGCTTGCCTATAACCTGTTGTAATTGCCCTTGAACGGAAAGCGGCTGAGTGTAATCAATCAGTGAGAGAATATCAGACACACTCGGGATTCCCTTACCTCGATATCTTGTGGCCTCCGGGAAGCCCCAGGTTCCGCGAGTCCAGGGATATTCTGTTGCATTATCAAGCTCTGAGTCATGTTGGCTTGCTGGAAAGGGAATACGTTCAGAAACATGATTAGTTGGATATGATGATAAGATGATGAAGGAGACCTGTTACATTTTGTAAGGCCTTTGCAGCAGCACGAGGGTTTTCCATTGTAATACTAATAGAGACCCCGGCTATCATGGGTTCCTTGTTGTTGACAAGTGAATGAAACATGACCCAGCCTTCTTCTTGAGTGATATCAACTGTTCGAATGTTCTTTCGGTTGTATTTCACGCTACCTACCCACGAGATCAAACCCTTGTTTTTACCAGTGAGTAAATGGCTAGAAACAAGGGGGAGGAATCGCTCAGCGACTGCTGAAACCTGAGTCCTACAGTCTTCCCATGTCCAGGTTATCGGATCCACCTTGAAGGTACGATTGATCATTCTCTTGTCTTTGACCGAGTTCAAAGCGTCCCAGTCTACCTTAGGAGCCGCAGCGACTTTCTTGGTCCTTCTGAGTACAGGCTGTGGAGGTCGTTCGATCCAAACATCAACTATTACGAGAACCTCAATAACTATTACAGTGTGCGGGGTAAGGATTGAATTGTAATTAAAAGGACCCCACTATTTAGAGCCCTCGGAGCAGTATCCGAAGCCCTCTTTCGGGTCGGACCCGAGGCTACAAATAAATCAGGCGCCCCATTTCCAAGAAGGGGCTCCACGAGGGGCTCCATTTTTTTATTTAATCTCATCATTTATCTATCCTCATCATGTGCCCACCCATGATATTAATTAATAAACATTGAATTGATGAGATGGTCACCATGGAGCAAGCCTCGCTCTCTCAATCAAACGGCCAAAAGACCGCGCTTCTTTCTTGCGAAGACAACATTGTTTGTGAAGTTTGTCACCTCTAGAGGTAAACAAGCCTTGACAATACGTACAACATGTATCTTTAGGAGCCCGACATGGTTGTTTTTGATCTTCATGATGAAAAGGAGAAGGGAAATTAATTGAAGGTTCATGACTAGGAAGATGAGAAGAACTACTACTCTCGATCAAATTGTCAGTAATGTTAGAAGGATGATTGAGTAAACTTTTGGGAGTGCTAGCTAAGATTAAATGGTGATCAGTTGTAGTAGTAGTAGTAGAAGTATTGCCAGGTGAATAATTCAATTGATCGAATTGATTGGGTGAAAAGGTAATGGATGGTGGTGGTGGTGGTGGAAACTTGATGGGATCAGAAGGAGAACATTGAAAAGATGGGATCGAGTTCGATCCCATCATATTCTGATTCATAGTCAAGTTGATTAAACTCAATTAATACTCAATCATCAACAATTTATATCTGAATTCAAGATGATGGTAAACCAAATCAAACACATCAAAACTTATATAAATATCAATCAAACACCAAGAGGTCAAAAGATAGAGAAATAGCAAGATATATAGGTATTGATGAACTCTGAACACGACTTCAAACGTAAGAACGGTAGAGGTATGAACTGGGTTATTAGGGTTTGGTTGTTTAAAGTTGTGATTAAGTGATAAGAAAATCGGACATGGAAAGTGAGTGTGAGGGAGAGATGGGAACTTCTATATGTAAGCGTATTGCTGGGCACTTGAAGGGCCAATGTTGTCCGTCATGCAGCGGTCGGTCCGGGTGCCAAACAATTTGGGAGCCCTTGCATTTGTTTTCATCATATTTGTTGCCCCATATATATGAAGGGGCTCCAAATACGTTAATTGATGATCCAAAAGGGGCTCATCCGTGATTTTGTGCCCTATTAGGGAGCCCTTGATGAGCCCTCGAGGTCCGAACATGCATTATATAGGCTAAAAAAAGCGGGGTATCAACGGGTCACGCGGGTTTTGGTGAAAACCCGGGGGGCTCCGGATATCAGCCGAGGGGGCTCTAAATAGTGGGATCCAATTAAAATACACAGTATCAGCGTATATTGCAATTGCTTAATAAAAGTAAGAGAGTGTGTTATGTCTTACCATCTGGACTGTTGTTTGAGGATGCTCCAGGTTGCATCAGCTCAACTTCATCAAAGGCTGGTAAGTTGTCAAGTGAATCATCATCAATAAATTGAGCGGTATTGAGATGAGAGTTGGCGTTCATCTTGAGTGATCAAAGTAAGAATTGATCATTGAATTGGTCAAAGTGGAACTCGCTCAAGATCAAAAGCAAAAAATAGGGCGATTGAGCTGCTTATGTGATCACTATGGGTTTTGGTTTTTTTCATTCGAAATTTATTCAATATAAATTCAATGAATGTTCAACTCAACATTCGCTCATCTTTCGTCGCAAGTTCATCAAAACTGCAAACGGCTGTACTTAAAGAAATGTTCTTCCCAACTGTTTCCCTGCCTCAGCCTTAATTATATACCCTGTCTCTATGCTCACCTCTATCCCCTATACTGACGCATACGACTTCTCTACTTCCCTACCTATCCAAACCCTCTAATTCCCTTTACCTATCACTTCCAGCATTAAAGAGGTTCACAGATGGGAATATGGGTCCTAGTGATCAGATTCCCATTCTGCTACTGTTACACATGAGTTCCATGAATATTGCCTGAGTAGCCATTGTGATATATGTAGTCAATATTTTGAAATGTGTGTCTCAATCTGAACAAAGTTACAGCATGTATTACACATGATTTTCTTATCTAGATGAGCAGATAACTGAGCGGACCTGTATGTAGCTGATAGCTAAGGATTTACTCAGATGTTTGCACATATGTAGTGTATGCTTTATGGCTCAGATGTGCAGTGCGAGATGATTTGATGCTCCATTCTTCTCTCAATGATATTCCCAGCCTAGGTCATGTTCCGACCAGGGAACCTATTTAATGCTGGCAGTGTATCCTATACATAATACCATCATCCCAAAACTCCTCTTTGCTTCGGCAGACCAGGCAGCCAGGGCTCAGAAGTTCCTAGCGCTGGCTGGCTGGTCTGCCTTAGCCTTAGTTTTTCTCTTGCTCTCACTCTCTCCTGCCGTCATGTAATGTTTGAAACTTTTTGAGGCAACTCGCCGCCTTTTCTTTTGTTTGACTCGCTTGCAGTTGTTACTCTCACGCTGTTTCACCCACAAATCTTCAATCAACTTCACAAAAACTAACCAGCAGCTACCACCACTACTGGTTAGCCTGCTCGAGGCCCTTAGATCCTGGTCTTGTAGACCACTTGGACACCCTTCCCCGTGCCTTGGTCAAGTAGGGTCCATCTGCATGACTTACCACCACCTAATTACCCAGGCCATCAAGCGGTCTGGAATCATCTCGCACCACCAGTCTCTCCAGTATGTTTCGCGCTGACATCACAAGTACGTACTTTCTTCTCCTCTATATAAGCGCTCTGCTCTCACCATCCTCTTCCATACGCCATCTTCTTTCCTATCTCCCTTTCGATTCTGAGTATGAGAATCTTTTGAATCAAACATTCATGTCACTTAACGTTTTGTTAATTGATCACGCCCAAAACCATTGTTCAAAGTACCTTATTCAGTATTTTACTTATTGTATTTCACCTTTTTTTATTTTAATCGATTCCGAGTAGAATGATTGTTTCTCATCGGTTTTTTTCAATGTGTCTATTGAGGTTGATCCTGAGTAGGATAATCGTTCCAATTTGCATATTATCGGGCTGAATTGTTTTCAAGTAGAACAATTGTTCATTTAAATCACATTTCATCCTTTTCCATCATTTCACTCTACGATTGAAATATATAGCAAAGGTGTCTCAAAAATTAACCAACACACCAAGAAAATGGGTACTGCCAAACAAAAAATTGACTTCATGCTGGTATGTAGGTACAGCTCAACCTTCTGCGAAAAGCAGCGGACGTTCCAAGTCTGTACATCCACTTTGGTTTGTATCCACGATATCCAGCATCCGCCAGTCCTCCAGATTCCTGACAAATCTCAGTTGCTCAAAGTAAGTTCAATATCATTCGATTCTTGAATACATATCCTTTAATCGTTTGTGATCTTCTTGTTAATCATTTGCAATCTCAATTCTACCTCTCATTGGCTCAAAATTGGTTTAAATTCATGCAATTCTCAACTATCCTTCAATCGTTCGCGATCTTAATTCAATTTTGGAATCATAAATCCATTCGATTTGTGACTCTCATCTTTTATGTTATGTTTCTCATATCTTCATTTTGAGATATCTTTGATTTGGTCAATTCCCACTCGCTCATGGTTATTTTTATTCAATTCTAGATTATCCAATCCAGTATCATCAACCCAATTCACTTCTCACTGTCATGCTCTGTTGATTGTTATTTGATCATGATCCATTAATTCTTGTCAATCATTTAATTCAATTCTGCCTTCCTGTGTTTGGTCTCTGTTGTCTTTGATTCATTCCTGGGTTTCAGCTCTATCTCGCTATTGGCTTAATCTTAATTCGATCTTAGACTCCTATTGCTAAACTAGTTGTCCGAAAATCCACAAATTCAGGCTCATAATTAGTTGTCACATTATGAGAATCATATATGATGTTATTGAAATAAAAACCATTTTTATTCTTTCAATATTGCAAAACAATATGACCACTGTTCCTCACTGTTCCCAATTTAACTCCAGATTGTTCTGACATGAAATTCATAGACACCACATCTGTAACATAGTTTTTGTGTTCTAGAGTTCTTAATAACAACTACTGACAAGTTGTTGATGCTATATGTATCATGATGATGAACCAACTTTCTGGTCCAATAGCACTGTAAACTAGACCCCAAAATATCCCTCAACAATCATCATCAAGAAATCCACCTGTTTGAAAGAAATAGAACACATGCTTCAGTTGGACTCAAGACTTTAAGAGCAACCAAGAGCAACTAACCTCTCTTCCATTGGCCTTCATTGTACAACACTGTATGTTTATAAGGGCCAAAGCCTACCAATGAGGCCAGACTACGCCTTGACGTGCTCTCACTCAGTGTCTCACTGGAGTTTGAATGCTCCAACTTACTGGACAACTTGGTTTTTGGAGAATATAAAGAAAGTGAACCAGATTCATCTGTTGAAGAGATTGTTAATCCTAAAAATAATTAGTTGATAAGTCATGGTCTTTAATCATATCAGTTATTCTTGAACCCTTATTCTTAGATATCCAAATTCTTTCAAATTCCCATAATTGGGGAAATTGATTGTCTGTTGCTCTTCTGAAGTTCAGAATGCGAGCTACAAGTTTATTCAATTCCACTGATATTCTTTACAAATGCAAGCTAGCAAACTGTTGTTCATATGCAAAATTGTTCATATCCACCGCTTCTCTTTACAAAGGATGTGAGCTAAGCACAGCTCTTCCCAAGGAATATGAGCTTTTATGTTCCTTCTTAATTCCACTACTCTCCCTAATACACTTCTCTTCCTTTGAATATTGACTCATTATAATGAGTTAACTAATTAGAATTTGCTTTGAA